TAATTTCTAGAAGAAATACTAGTTTTTGCAAGGATGACATTGAGGACAATATACATTTCATTTTAAAATGTCCCACCTATCAGGGTCTTATATCTTATTTTATTTAACCTTATTATTGGAGAAAACCTTCAAAGAAATAAATATGTACAATTAATGAGTTCAAAAAATTTAAGAGAGGTCGTTAATTTGGGTAAATTCATATTTTCTGCATAAAACTTAAGAACTGACATGTAATATGTTTAACAATATTTTATGCTATTCTATGTATACTATATGTATCTTATAATGTATATATATAGTAGACTTTAGTAAATAAAGATTATTATTATCCTGAATAGTAAAATCAACTAATAAACATATTATTTAATGCTGTCTCTTATATCAATTTTGAATTATCAGGTTATAAGTAGATTATATGTCAACACTGTTCATGCTAGTGCCAAATACTCAAATGAATTGCCGTATACAATTTATCTTGGATAATACATGTATTACAAATGAATGGCTCCATTTAATAAGTTTTCATGTTTTGTTTCATTTTCTGGAAGGATGTTTTATACGGTTATAAAGTGGAATTTGTTCATGACTGTCAATTTTAGGTATTGTTGCAAAGGAATTGTAAATAATTTCTAATGTATATTAACATTTGTGGTTGGTATTTACTTAATAAAATTATATCTTACAAAGTCTTATCTTATCTAATGTATTTTCATTGAAAAAATAAAGCAACGTTGCTTTGACTGTCAGTGAGAAAGATACAACCAAACAATATTTTAAAGAAAAAAAAACATCATAACCTCACTGTTGTTTAAGCCTTTAACAATGACTTAGTAACAGCTTCTCCTATGTCATAGCTGTCCAGAAAAAAATGGTACTAGTATTGATAATAAATTTGTAACAGTAGGCTACATCACAAAAACTGTGGCAACAAATAATGAACTACATTTAACTGACTTGGTGTAGGCATCTATGGAATGTTGTTGCTGGAAATGTATTCCCAATGATGAATTAACATACCATAAACTGTTCACCTATCAAACATATTTACTGACAAACAGACCATGCATACTTTAATTGTTTAAACCTGGAGAATATCACCACCGCCTTTCTAACAGATATTAAGAATCTAACATTGACAAGAGTTTAAGACGAGGAAATCTAAGAAACATAATGCGAGATTTCCAGTTTTAAACAAGTCTTGTTCTAGTGATGGACGACTGAAAAACTTCCTTGCAGAGCCTGAGATATATCTTTCTTGAATTTTTGTTAATTTTCAAATTTTTTTCTTACCCATTGAAACATTCAAAAAGATGGAAACCATTCAAATATTGCATGAAAAGCAGAATTTAGCATGTCTCATCAAGGAGATTGGGTGAGACAGGAGTATTTCATCCCATAGCATACCAGTGATAGAAAAATAAAACATGGTCAAAATCAACAACAAAAAATGACATCGAATCTTACAATGCAAAAGATAAACACAAGTATATAGAACCTGCCGTACAAGATGGCTTGAACATTGGTATTCTACAATCACAGAAATTGCCTCATAACCAAGTTGGCTTGATAAACCAATGAAATTTTGTTGCCAGGTACTCCATTAGTTTTCTATAAAATAGGCAGAAGAAACCAAATAGACAATCAAATTCATAAGTGGAAGAAAAACCAACCACACCAGCCACCCAATTTCAAACTTGATCTGTGTTTTATGGTAATAAGCATTGTGTGTAAGTTTTATAACATTTGGTTGAGGCAAACTAAAGTTAGAGAAGGGAAACGAAAAATTACGCAATTTTTATGTTTATAAAGAGGCATTACTCATGAACAATAAAAGTGACTCCACCCAATTTCAAATCTGGTCTGTGTTTTGTGGTAATAAGCATTGTGTATAAGTTTTATAACATTTGATTGAGGCAAACTAAAGTTGGAGAACAAAAACCAATTTTGGGAACATACGCGACGGATGGAACAGACGGACAAGAGTAACACTAAATGCCCCCTCCGCTACAGTGGGGGCATGAAGAAGACAACAGCCAACAAAAACACTAGATATAAGACTAAAGACTGAGCAACATAAATCCTACCAAAATATCAGTGATATCATGAGCTCAGAAAGAGTAAGCAGAGGCTTCTCCACATGTTCAAGTTCATATCTCAAGATACTAAAATATAACTTAACTGAAGCAAATCAAAAATGGTACATGTATACTTATCACATACTGTGAAGGAAAACTTACCTAAATTTATTACGAACCATAAAAATTGAGGGTAATATATCAGACTTACATAAGGCACAATGAAGCATCTACAGACCAAATACAATATTTAACTTTCTACTAAAATGAAATAAACTAGGTAGATCTGTTTAAGTAGACTAAAACTTATGTCTCCCCTTCATCTGTAGACGTCACTCAAGTAAAAAAAATCACATTCTAAAACCAGAATGGAATCCGGTATCCATTTGTCAAATTAAAAAATGTGTGGTTAATGGTTTGAGATCTGAACAGTTTATATAAGGGACATGACCCCAGTAAAAAAACAATTGTTATACTCAAAGGTGTTGTCATGCTGATTAAGAATAGATATGGTTTAGGGGTTGGGATATGAAAATTTTCAAGCTATTTAACCATTGATGACAACACCTATGGTTATCTAGAAAGGTCTTAATAAGGAAATTCAGATTATATATTGGTTAGGGGTTGGTATCTGAACCATTTTTGAGATCACAAATTTATCATATGAGGGGCTGGGCATGACCTCCAAGGGCAAACTCTTAGTTGCACTGAAAAGGTCTTGCAATGGCAAGCAAGAATATATATGATTTTGGGGAGGACAAATATATCAAATATTTGACCTTGATCTTTTCACTGACCTTGAAGGTCATCATCCATAAAAAGCAACACATATTGTAGGGCTGCACCCATTTGTCAAATACCAAAAGCCTATGTCAAAAGTGAAAAAAGTAATTTAAAAAAAAGTATTTTACCTTGAGGTCATAGATCAGGGTCATATGATGGTCATGATATGCAACACATAATTAATATGGCAATACACCTTCATGCCAAATATCATAAGCAAGTGTCAAAAGTTAAAAAAATAATAGCCCATACAAGGTTGTATGAGAAGCAGAAGAATCAGTCAAAGAAAAAGAAACACTACTAAAACATAATGTCTTCCTTTGTAGAAGAGAAACAATAAAGTATGGAAGAAATGGAATACAAAAACCATAAGAATGAGCCTTTCAGAGATAAAGTAAATCAAGGATTGTTGAGGTCTTTTACTTTCCAAAATATGAGTTTAAGAGGAGGAAATCTAAAAAAAATAATGGTGAGATTTTCAGTCTCAAAGACTTGTTCGAGTGATGGTGTGATTGAAAAACTTCCCTAAGACAGCCTGAGAAATATATTTCTTTATTTTTTTCAACTTTAAAGGGGTATGTCAGGTATAATCCACATAAATCTTCATATAATCACTTCCAATCTGTTAACAAATATGATAAAAAGACTAAACTATATTTCAGAGAATAAAACAAAGAAATCAAGGATGGTCTAATTCTTTTACTTTCCTAAATATGTGGATTTGACGATTCAGTTTTACGGATTGCAAAGGAAAATTCATCTTTCAGCAGAGCAGAGAAAGCAATGTGCAAAATACATTTATTTCTAACCTTTCCATTGAAAAATGACCAAATTTACAAATTTATCATCTACTTTAAGGGGGCATTTCAGGTATGCACCACATAAATCTATCTCTGTAAAAACATATAACAATTGGTTGAAAAATATGATAAAGAAACTAAACAACTGAACACAGACAGATGTGGGGTATAAGACAGCAATATTTAAAAAACACTAAAACTAAAACTAGAGGCTCAAAGGAGCCTGTATTTCTAACCTGGTATATATATATCTATACACAACATTGTCATATGATCTTATAAAATACTAAAAGAGAGCATGGTGCATTTGCAGCTTGAATTTTACTAAAATGTTCAAGAGGTTTCCCGTACACCACCATCATTTATTCGTCTGTGAATTCATGAAATAAAACTGCATAAAGCATTTAAGGAATTCATAATGTACTATGTGCTAACAATGATGCCATGTTTTGTCATCCAATCAACGTTGTACATTAACAGAAAGATCATTTTGTCTTCTAATTATCAATCTCATTAAGGTTCAAAATATTTTGACTATATTTCCAAAGGATCACATGGCCATGATTTCCCCAAATCAAAATGAAATGAGGTTCTTTTCAAAATATATCATTCCTGCCTGCTTCAAATTGGCCTGGTGGATACAGAAACATTGGTTTCAGACAGACAGAAAATGGATGCAAAGTGATGACCACAGTTCATGTGGCCATGTGGACAAGGTGAGCTAAAATGTGGAATTATACAATGACTCCATCATTCCATGCAAAGTTTGTAATTCAACTATTAAAAAACATATTTAGCTCACCAATATATATCTGAAAAAAAATCAGTTCAATATCTAAATGCATCACAAAATAAATAGACAATAACTGTATAGTGTCTTTAAATATCAGCTGTATTTGTATGAGGCTAAGAAACAGGTGTAATGCGAGCTTGAGGGAGCTATTATTCCTGTTTCAAGCCTAGCACAAATACAGCTGATATTTAAAGACACTATACAGTTATTGTCTTTATCCTGCAATGAATTTTGTACATTTTTTTCCATCCCAATCGTTGAAATTTGTTTTTGAAAGAAATCGACATGACTTAAACGCGGACTGCGATGAGGACCCAAATTGACCCGTAACGAAAACATTAATTTGACATAACCGTGTGCTCGCAACAGAAGCAGGATACCAGGAGACTGTATCTGTCTAGTATATGTATATTGCTGCGTGTTATCAGTACACCTGTATTAGTATAGTAGAGAGGTCGATTGCAGGATAAAGTCTAGTCTACTGCTTGATTTTAGAATGCTGGAAGGTTAAAAAAGGGTGTCCCCTACAAGGAACATTGACTTATTTACCTTTATATTTTCCAGTTCTTTTATAGATTCTAGTGTAACTTCTTCATATGATAAACTTCCATCTAAAATTGAAAAAAAATATTATTCATAAAAATATTTACCAGTATGATTATTGAAAGTATAGATCAAAGTCAACCAAGATAGAGATCATAAACTTCATTTTACATGGAATCTTGTAGTTGTAGTAAAATGTCTTTCAATATATAAAAATATTTTTGTTCCAGATGACCTATGAATATTAAATGTAGTTTCAGGTGAGCATGGAGAGCTCAATACCTCTATTACATTAGTATTTTTTTTTAAATTGAAAAAGTTATAACAATTAAGCTTTATTTTGATGCAAAACTAGATCCATGGAAATGAAATAGTTTTAGTTTGGCTTAAATCTTTCAAAGTTTGTGCAGTGAGATATGTTAAAATGAAACAATTTGGATTTCAAACCAAGATTCACTCGCCAAAAAAGCAAGTGTAGGTCACTATGTGGCCTTCAACAATGCGCAAAACCCATACTGCACAGTGTGAGCTATTAAAGTTTGTTCTTTCAAGAATTAAATGTTGATATGCAAGTTAAATGTATTCCAAACTTTTATACATCTCTAGCGATTTAAAAGCATAACATATATTATACACACTTGTCTAGTGTTGAAAACTGTATGTTGACCTTTCAAGCATGCCTGTCAACTGACCTGTATTCTGCAGGTTATACCCGTGAACTTCCCCTTTCACACAGGATTTCTAAAAATGACCTGTTTTCACCCGTATTTTTTACCGGTATTGTGTCCGGTATTTAGAAGTCAAATATACATTTGGTTTTATCAGCTTTTTCCTTTTGAAAAGGTAAACAATGGAAAAGTCAAAACTTAGGATTTGCTTAACTACCATGCCGATGACAGCTATCAAAACATTACATTTGATTGAAAAGTAACAGTTCGAGAGAATTGTCTTGTTAATTGTACCCCAGAAAATTGAAGCCAGTCAAGCTTGACTTATCCAAGGATGTGATATAACTATACAAATCCTTGACATATCTCTGCCCTGATTAAAAGATTTGCCGTGGGCAAATATAAATTATCTGATGAAAATCATTTTAAAACAATTTGAACCTTTTAATACATTTCTCTTGGAGAGAATAAGTTTAATGTCACTTAAATGTAAAAGCTTTAAATCAAATCTGTATGCTCTAGATATTGCAATGAAAGGAAACACACTAACTTCTTTCTATTCATCTTCCTCCTGTGTATAGGAGCACATTAGCTATAATTGATTTCTAATTACATATATAGCTGGGGTTCATGACATTCATTAATAAAAAGTAGTGTGAATAGAACAATAAGAGGGCATTGCTTTAAGGTAGATGACCCATTCTTTTTATAAATTTTTTTTAAAAAGCATGATATAAACTACATTTTGGCAAATTATTAAAAAATTCTATGGATTATAATTTAGACCTTAAACAGATATATAATTAATGATAAATATGTATATAATTAACATATACAAAAGTGAATATTTGTAGGAATCTCAGTGGTACATGTATGTGTTATAGTATATATGAACAAAATATGTAAAATAAACCTCTAAAATTTGAACCGAAAAAAAAAGGTTGACCTGCATTTTCAGTTTCAGATATGTTCAAGGTCTTTTATTTTAGTTTAACTACAGTGTTAGCTTGATGTCTCATTGAAGTATAGATACTCATATCGCCTTTTATTACTATGGAAGATATCCCATACCCTAAAATTTTATAACTAACTGATATATGATAATTATTACATCAATCAACACTTTGTGATTTTCAAATTTGGAAAACCAAAATGAAGGCCTAATCATTTATTTCCTCATTTCAAAATCATTTGAAGTATTTGAAGTATTTGATTCAATCTTCAACAAAATAAAATTTACAAAATCTTACGACAAAAACCATACAAGTGTTCAAATAATTTTCTGCAAACTGCTCAATTCATTTACATTTTATCTCAGATAATTGATTGCTATTGAAATCAATATTGCTAAGGTAATCCAGCTTGCTTCATAATCAATTTTGGTTTTAATATCTTTTTTTTTTTAATCTCTTAATAAAATAAATACAGAATTTTTTAATTTCATGAAAATTTGGTACACACATGAAACGTAATGGTTGTAATTATATTACTTACTTGTACAAAGTTTAACCTTTTCACAAGTCTGTTCAGGATCAAAACCTGCTGTAATATCATTTATAATAATTGGTGCATAAGTTGTACACTGAAATAAAATAAAAGAAATTAAGGTCATTGATATTGTCACAAAATTTTTAAAGTTTATTTTTACAAGGTTTAGAAATAGGAAGAAAAGTGAGGCTTAATTTTTTTATATTTTTATGCCATTGTACATATATTGTTTCATCCTTCAGTTTTAAATTTCAGTTTTAAATGTTTAGTTTTATTATTCCAAGTCATCGTCTTAATTTTCATAGAAAAAAGGCATGATTGCTTTGAGGTTGACTAAGAAAAGAAAACCAAGACAAATTTTGACTTAAAAAGTATTTGAAACAAGAGTGCACACGCTGAAATGTCTCTCCTTCTTTACTGACCATTGATTTTATGTTGATAGTCATAAATATAAAGCTTTACTGAAAGTATCACATAAACTTACCATGATCCAAGAAAATGAGGTCAAGGTAAACCCAACCGGAAATACATGTACACCTTACAATCATTCAATACACCAAATATAGTTGACCTATTGCCTATAGTTTCTAAGAAACAGACTTAAACAGGAAAACTAAACACTGACCAATGAACCATGAAAATAAGGTCAAGGTCAGATGAACCATGCCAGACAAACATGTACACCATACAATCAATCTATGCATTAAGTATAGTTGACCTATTGCTTATAGTATCGAAGAAACAAACTTAACCAGGAAATCTTAACATTGACCATTGAACCATGAAAATGAGGTCAAGGTCAGATGATACCTGCCAGACAGACATATACACCTTACAATCATTCCATACAACAAATATAGTTGACCAATTGGTTATAATTTAAGAAAAACAGAAAAGACCAAATCACAATAAAATGCTCCGCTGGGCACAGCTTGATACGACTGCAGATGTCGAACCCTGAACAGTTAGGGCAAGTATAGACACAACATTCAAGCTTGATACAGCACTGAATTTGGATTGTGATTAAATATTTGACACAGCATAGGTTTCTGACACGGAATGAATGTGGTCTAAGAACTTAAAAACATTTAATTTACCTATTCAAACCATATCATTATTATTTGCTTTTATATATAAATCAGAAATAACCAACTTAAAACAGAAAATTTTAAAGAAAAAAAGGGAAAAAAAAATCCCCCCCCCCAAATTTTTTGAACCCCCTTATGATTCATCACCCCCAAACTCAATCCCAGCCTTCCCTTTGTGGTATGGTACCTTGCAGTACAATTTCAAAGAGATCCATACACTTGAACACAAGTTATTGTCTGGAAACTAGAAAAATGCTTGTTTTTTGGACCCTTTTTGGCCTCAAATTCCTAAACATTTAGGGCAATTACCCCCAAACTCAAACCCAGCTTTCCCTTTGTGATATGGAACCTTGTAGTACAATTTCATAAAGATCCATACACTTACACACAAGTTATTGTCCTGAAACTAGAAAAATGCTTGTTTTTTGCCCCTTTTTGGCCCCTAATTCCTAAAATTTTGAGGCAATTACCCCCAAAATCAATCCCAGCCTTCCCTTTGTGGTATGGTACCTTGCAGTACAATTTCAGAGAGATCCATACACTTGAACACAAGTTATTTCCTGGAAACTAGAAAAATGCTTATTTTTGGCCCCTTTTTCCTAAACGTTTTGGGCAATTACCCCCAAACTCAATTCCAGCTTTTCCTTTGTGATATGGAACCTTGTAGTACAATTTCATAAAGATCCATACACTTACACACAAGTTATTGTCATGAAACTAGAAAAATGCTTGTTTTTTGCCCCTTTTTTGGCCCCTAATTCCTAAAATTTTGAGGAAATTACCCCCAAAATCAATCCCAGCATTCCCTTTGTGATATGGAACCTTGTGGTACAATGTCAGAGAGATCCATACACTAACACACAAGTTATGTCTGGAAGTTACAAAAATGCTTATTTTTGGCCCCTAATTCCTTAACTGTTGGTACCATCACCCCCAAAAATCAATCCCAACCTTCCTTTTGTGGTATTGAACCTTATGGTAAAATTTCATAGAGATCCATTCACTTAAACTAAAGTTAGATTGCAAAACCAATGTGTCTTCGGACGACGACGACGCCAACGTCATACCAATATACGCCCGCAAATTTTTTTTGCAGTCGTATAAAAACTAAACACTGAGCAATGAACCGTGAAAATGAGGTCAAGGTCAAATAAAACCTTTCCAGACTTACATGTACATGGTAAAATATTTCCATACACCAAATATAGTTGACCTATTGCATATAGTATTAGAAAAAAAGACCAAAACACAAAAACTTAACTTTAACCACTGAACCATGAAAATGAGGTCAAGGTCACATGACACCAGCCAGTTGGACATGTACACCTTACAATCATTACATACACCAAATATAGAAGACCTACTGCTTATAGTATCTGATATATGGACTTGACCACGAAAACTTAACCTTGTTCACTGATCCATGAAATGAGGCAGAGGTCAGATGAAAACTATCTGACGGGCATGAGGAACTTGCAAGGTATAAGCACATATAAAATATATTTATCCTATTACTCATAATAGGAGAGAATTATTATAATTTATAATAAATAGACGTAGGATACCAGAAGAATTATATAAATCATTTATACACTATCATTTTTATAGTTCAATGACTGTGTACACCTTTAGTTGCATAATAACACGCAAATTTTGTTCACATGAAATTACATTTTAAATCAAGCTTACATATGAAATTCACGGGAAAAATTTCACGTGAATTTCAGATGAAATGCTGATTCACTTCAAATTTTTCACCTGAATTTAATGTAAATTGAGCTTTCATGTGAAATTAACTCGAAATTCATGTGAAATAAGATTCACATGAAATTCATGGGAGCAAAATTTGGATGTGTACACATATGTGTATAGTAAAATGCACTTTATCTATAGTAAAATGACAGTAAACACCTTTCTTTGTTCAGTAAAATGTCTGAGAAAACCTTTACGTAAATTAAAACGGCATTGTACACCTTTATGTATAGTAAAATAGCAGTACATCTTTATTTGTATAGTAAATTGGCTCATTTATTTCTATATAAAAATTTTGAATACAACCAAACATTTACTTTATTTCACTTACCAGATTTTTTAGTAGAGCTGGGAGTTCATTACACAAGTTATATACTGAAGCATTAATGGCTGCAGCTGACTGATTCTGGGTAGTGTAGTTGCTAATGGTTTGTACTATAAATTTACACAAAGTACAGCCTGGACTTGCCTGGAAATATAAACAATAAAATATGTATTGTACTTATCTAGAAATATCAATGATAAAGTTCATACTGCAGGACTTGTCAGAACATATGAATAATTATGTACAATCTTCACAATCAATGGATCATTCAGGGATGTTTAATAACTTAAATAAGATTTTCTTTGTATGTTACCATTTTTATGGCGATTATTGCAGCCATGTTTATATAGCTGCAGTATAAAACAATATTAGATCCATAGCAGAAAAATAGATCAAAGGCTAAAATGTCTTTGTTGAGTAGAATGTTTCTTAAACACTTAAATGGCTTGGTTGCATAGAATGTTTCTTAAACAATGTAGAATTGTCTTTACTGAACATTTAAATATAAAATGAAATGGTGAAAATGAGAAAAAAACAGCTCCATATTGGAAGGTTCACCACTTAATAGGTTAGCAAAATTATTGTAAAATTCCAAAGACCATGGTTGAAAATCTTTTTTACATCATTAGAAAATTTTGCTAAAAAAAATGACAAAGTTTCCAAATCTGGACAATGGAAAAAAATCCTGAAACAATTCCATAATAGCTGGTGCACAGCTCCAATATATGTGCAATCTTCCTGTCAAGTTTCAAGGGTCTACTGTAAAAACTGTTAAAGGAGTTGATTACACAAAATTGGTATCATCTGTTGTTAATATTTGCAGAAAAAAGACAAAGTCCGAAAATTTAGGAAAAATTTCCATAAACAATTCCAGCAGGTGCACAAGTTCAACATGTGTGCAATCTTTCTGTCTTTCTGTGAGGTTTCAGGGATCTGGATTGAACTGTAGTAGTAACTGATTATTCATATAAGGTACCTTTTTCCAGCCAACCCATCGGAACAACATCACTGTACTGCAAGCCAATTTGGACTTCATCCACAATTCACGAAAACATCAACATATTTTGTATTCACAATGAAAATGCTGAAGGGCTTTGAATACCAACAAACCTTCCTAATTTCTAAGCCTCATACAAGAAAGTTGATATTTATTGTATAAATAAGAATGACAAGTACATTTTTGTACTATCTGTATTTAAACACAGTTTAATGGTTTTGGTATCATATTGAGAAATGATTTATACATCAAGGAGTTAGGTCATAAGTTTGATATATAGGTAAAAGTTATACACAGGAATTTTTAAAAACAGTATCTAATAAGATGTAGCTGATTGAACACATCTATTATTAGTAAATACAGTCAACACAAATTAAACAGAATAGAATTGATCATTTTTGATACACATCTGGAGATTCTGCCTAATTTAACCATAATCACTAATAACATAGTTATTTAGACAAGAAAATGCCTTTAAGACGAGGAAAATACAACAACTTATTTTACCTCAACTTTTTCCTTGATCTTCTCTTCAATCTTTTTTGACTCAAATCTAGGTGACCATGAAATACTGTCATCTAGAAATATACATTTGTCTTTTAAAAACATCATTCAAATTTGCATAAAATCTAGACTAGCGGTTTTGCTACTACACTGTTTTTTATTGTCTTATTTTCAGTTCCTAAAAGAATATTAACTTCACTGACGACAAACATATCAATATGAGGTGCTTGATAATTACTATATGGAGCAAATATCACAATGTTACATTTAATAGGAAACCAGGGGCAAGATATTTGTTAGGAAATTTATAATTAATGGCACAAATTTTATATGAATTTTTCATATTAAACAATTCTGAATGGCATGTCATAACTTTATAGTATGTATGTAAAAAATATACAAGGTAAACTTATCGATCCTTTAAATAAACTTATTCTAAAAGGTTACCAATTCAACACTGTAATTAGATCAATAAATATTGTTTTTATTGGTACTAATATTGATTTTGTTATCAGTAAATAAAAGCAAACTAAATGTTATTGTTATATACATATACACATTTATGGATCTACAATCTGTCAATACCTGTATCTTGGCATTGCACAAGGTCATGTTTTTCTCTGACTGTTTATGATGTCTTTACACTAAATCCATTGGATGTTGGATGAGTACGGATTGATAATTTAGTCTTAGATGCATGATTTTTTTTATTAGTTGTTAGTGGCTTTGATCTAGCTGTCAGTACTCCCAGATCTGTACTTAGTGTCTTTTTGTTGTTTGGATGTACAAGTACCCGGCCACGTCCACTTGTATTTGTAGTATTTGTATTTTTATCCATCTGATGAGTTAAGCCTCTTTCAACTGATTTTTATAGTTCGCTCTTATGTTGTTCTGTTACACCACTGTCCCAGGTTAGGGGGAGGGTTGGGATCCCGCTCACATGTTTAACCCCGCCACATTCTGTATGTATGTGCCTGTCCCAAGTCAGGAGCCTGTAATTCAGTGGTTGTCGTTTGTTTATGTGTTACATATTTGTTTTTCGTTCATTTTTTGTACATAATTTAGGCCGTTAGTTTTCTCGTTTGAATTGTTTTACATTGTCATTTCCGGACCTTTTATAGCTGACTGTGAGGTATGGGCTTTGCTCATTGTTGAAGGCCGTACGGTGACCAAAAGTTGTTAATTTCATTGTCATTTGGTCTCTTGTGGAGAGTTGTCTCATTGGCAATCATACCACATCTTCTTTTTTATATGAATGCATTATGTCATTTTAATAACATAGTTGTCTCCCTTCAACCAGTAATAAAAAAACTAATAACTTAAAAGTAGCTACTAATTCACTGATACACGTTTTTATTATAATACTCCATAAAATATAAAACTTACTTGTACATAGTTTGACTTTTTCACATGTCTTCTCTGGATCAAATCCTAATACAACATCATTAACTATAATTGGTGCATATGTCATACACTGAAATAAATGAATGGTTTAATGTTTGGATATGTTGATATAAGAATGCAGAAATTTTCGTTCTCCATGAAAACTGAGTTATAGCAATAACTTAACATGAAAATATTAGTACTCAACGTAGAAAAAATATCGGTTCTCAACTCAAAAATTTAACTAAAGTACTGTCTTACTGAACCAAAACATGTCCCCTCTTCATTTATTAAAGTAACTCAAGTCGGGAAAGGAACAACCAAATTATAATTCTGGAAAAAATGTTGTAATGGCAAATAAGAATAATGGGTAGAGATGTTCTATGTATTTAATAGTTTATGATATGATGGGTCAGGGCCAAGGGTCCGGAAACAGTCATATTTGCCAGACATGACCAAATCTGAAATCTATTTGTCCTAAACGACAAATTGGGATTTAGGACAAATTTTATATTTTTACAGAAACAATTTCGGTCATTTCGTAAAGATTGGGTTTCTTCATCGCCATTTTGCACTTGTTTTTGTTTTGTTATCCCTTTCCTGTAATAAAACTGCCACTCCAGTATAGTATGATAATCCTGAGGGCCCTCCTAATAACTATATCAATGCCTCCGGGAAATATTGTCTATTCACTTTTTACCTGTGTTTTTAATTCACACCTGACATTGATCATAAGCTCGGAACTAATATCATAAAAAAAATAAAATTCCATGACAACTGTCTTCATTATTTAATTAGTTTTCAGCAAAGACAATCGTCAATTCTGATCTAAAAATTAAAACTTAATTTAATTTCCGTAGAAAAAAGTATTTTTCACGAGTAACACACATGTTTTATTAACTATATATGTAATACGCATGCGTGAAATTCTCTTCAGCAGATTAGACACTTAATCGTAAAATGCAAAATGATTTCATGCTAAATAAAACAAGTGCAACTATTATCTGTAATATTCAAACACTTTTAAAGGTAAAAAAAAATTTAAAAAGTGAGTGATTTCCTATCAATTTGATAAACAAACCGAATCCCAGAAATGATTTGGGAATTACTCGTACTTTTGTATTGGCCCAACACTTCAGGTTTAATTTCATCTTCAAAATCAAAAGAAATGTTAGCAATGTCAGAGAAATTTACCATTTTGAGTCAAATCGTTTTATATTAAAAATGTTGCCTTCCCTTAACTGTTCTTGAACATTTTTAGATAAATGGTAAGAAAATTCATGAAGTAAATGCAATGAAACAGTCAAAACAAGTTAGCTGATGCTATGAATCTAGTGTGTTTTCCACAATTTTTTTTTGAATGAAGGCAATAACTTTTAAGTTATCTCAAAATGACCGAAATTATGTGAAAAAATTCCAGATCCTTGGTCAGGGCATGACTTATCCCCGTAGATATCACCAGGAAAAGATTTTTGGTGCATTAAAAAGGTCCAGGACATGTCAGTTTAGAATAAATGAGGTTAAGGAGTGGAGATCTGATCAGTTATGAAAAAATTTAAACAATTCATTTTATCAGAAGAGTTTGAACTTGATCAGATGTGGATAACAGTTTATGTTATAAAAAGGGTGGGACATGACACCCTAAGTTCAAAACCTTTAAAGTGGGTTCAAATGGTCCCATTGTGGCACTTCAGATAATTTATGGTTTAGGGGTTGGGGGTCTGAACAGTTTTGATATATTTACCATATTTTGCAATATAAAAGAGTATGGGCACGACCCAAGGGACAAAACCTATGGTGCATTGTAAAGGCCTTGTAATGACAATGTTATATATATATATCTATGATGGCTAAGAATTCTTTTACAGAGATAATTCAGTGACGAAGTGAATTCTTTACAGAAGAATTGCTTTTCATCACTACACTAGATAACAAGAGAACTCAGTAAAGCAGGAAGTTTATTACATAAGTCATGCTCTACACAACTAACTAGTTCACAAGAGAATTCAGTGGATAGGAAGCTTATTACATAAGTCATGCTCTACACAACTAACTAGTTCACAAGAGAATTCAGTGGACAGGAAGCTTATTACATAAGTTATGCTCTACACAACTAACTAGTTCACAAGACAATTCAGTGGACAGGAAGCTTATTACATAAGTTATGCTCTACACAACTAACTAGTTCACAAGAGAATTCAGTGGACAGGAAGCTTATGACATAAGTTATGCTCTTAAAAACTAACTAGTTCACAAGAGAATTCAGTGGACAGGAAGCTTATTACATAAGTTATGCTCTTAAGAACTAACTAGTTCACAAGAGAATTCAGTGGACAGGAAGCTTATTACATAAGTTATGCTCTAAAGAACTAACTAGTTCACAAGAGAATTCAGTGGACAGGAAGCTTATTACATAAGTTATGCTCTTAAAAACTAACTAATTCACAAGAGAATTCAGTGGACAGGAAGTTTATTACACAAGTTATGCTCTTAAGAACTAACTAGTTCACAAGAGAATTCAGTGAACCAGGAAGCTTATTACATAAGTCATGCTCTACACAACTAACTAGTTCACAAGAGAATTCAGTAAAGCAGGAAACTTATTACATAAGTCATGCTCTACACAACTATCTAGTTCACAAGAGAATTCAGTGGACAGGAAGCTTATTACATAAGTTATGCTCTACACAACTAACTAGTTCACAAGAGAATTCAGTGGACAGGAAGCTTATTACATAAGTTATGCTCTACACAACTAACTAGTTCACAAGAGAATTCACTAAAGCAGGAAACTTATTACCAAAGTTATGCTCTACACAACTAACTAGTTCATAAGAGAATTCAGTGGACAGGAAGCTTATTACATAAGTTATGCTCTACACAACTAACTAGTTCACAAGAGAATGCAGTGGACAGGAAGCTTATGACATAAGTTATGTTCTACACAACTAACTAGTTCACAAGAGAATTCAGTGGACAGGAAGCTTATTACATAAGTTATGCTCTACACAACTAACTAGTTCATAAGATAATTCAGTGGACAGGAAGCTTATTACATAAGTTATGCTCTACACAACTAACTAGTTCACAAGAGAATTCAGTAAAGCAGGAAGCTTATGACATAAGTTATGCTCTACAGAACTAACTAGTTCACAAGAGAATTCAGTGGACAGGAAGCTTATTACATAAGTTATGCTCTTCAGAACTAACTAATTCACAAGACAATTCAGTGGACAGGAAGCTCATTACATAAGTTATGCTCTTAAGAACTAACTAATTCACAAGAGAATTCAGTGGACAGTAACTTATTACATAAGTTATGCTCTTAAGAACTAACTAGTTCACAAGAGAATTCAGTGGACAGGAAGATTATTACATAAGTTATGCTCTTAAGAACTAACTAGTTCACATGAGAATTCAGTGGACAGGAAGTTTATTACATAAGTTATGCTCTTAAGAACTAACTAGTTCACAAGAGAATTCAGTGAAGCAGGAAGCTTATTACATAAGTCATGCTCTACAGAACTAACTAGTTCACAAGAGAATTCATTGGACAGGAAGTGTATTACATAAGTTATGCTCTTAAGAACTAACTAGTTCACAAGAGAATTCAGTGAAGGAGGAAGCTTATTACATAAGTTATGCTCTACACAACTAACTAGTTCACAAGAGAATTCAGTGAAGCAGGAAGCTTATTACATAAGTTATGCTCTTAAGAACTAACTAGTTAACAAGAGAATTCAGTGAAGCATGAAGCTTATTACATAAGTTATGCTCTTAAGAACTAACTAGGTCACAAGAGAATTCAGTGGACAGGAAGCTTATTACATAAGTTATGCTCTTAAGAACTAACTAGTTCACCAGAGAATTCAATGGACAGGAAGTTTATTACATAAGTTATGCTCTTCAGAACTAACTAGTTTACAAGAGAATTCAGTTGACAGGAAGTGTATTACATAAGTAATGCTCTTCAGAACTAATTACTTCATAAGAGAATTCAGTGGACAGGAAGTGTATTACTTAAGTCATGCTCTACAGAACGAACTAGTTCACAAGACAACTCAGTGGAAAGGAAGCATATTACATAGGTCATGCTCTACAGAACTAACTAGTTCACACGAAAACTCAGTGGACAGGAAGCATTTTACATAAGTCATGCTCTACATACTAACTAGTTCACCAGAGAATTCAGTGGACAAGAAGTTTATTACATAAGTTATGCATTTCAGAAATAACCTGTTCATAAGAGAATTCAGTTGACAGGAAGTTAATTACATTAATCATGCTCTACAGGACTAACTAGTTCACTAGATAATTCAATGGACAGGAAGTGTATTACATAAGTTATGCTCTTCAGAACTAACTACTTCATAAGAGAATTCAGTGGACAGGAAGTGTATGACTTAAGTCATGTTCTACAGAACTAACTAGTTCACAAGAGAATTCAGTGGACAGAAAGCATATTACATAGGTCATGCTCTACAGAACTAACTAGTTCACACGAAAACTCAGTGGACAGGAAGCATATTACATAAGTCATGCTCTACAGAACTAACTAGTTCACAAGAGAATTCAGTGGACAGGAAGTGTATTACTTAAGTCATGCTCTACAGAACTAACTAGTTCACAAGAGAATTCAGTGGACAGGAAATGTATTACATAAGTCATGTTCTACAGAACTAACTAGTTCACCAGAGAATTCAGTGGACAGGAAGTTTATTACATAAGTTATGCTTTTCAGAAATAACTAGTTCATAAGAGAATTCAGTGGACAGGAAGTTTATTACATAAGTTATGCTCTTCAGAACAAACTAGTTCACCAGAGAATTCAGTGGACAGGAAGTGTATTACATAAGTTATGCTCTTCAGAACTAACTACTTCATAAGAGAATTCAGTGGACAGGAAGTGTATGACTTAAGTCATGTTCTACAGAACTAACTAGTTCACAAGAGAATTCAGTGGACAGAAAGCATATTACATAGGTCATGCTCTACAGAACTAACTAGTTCACACGAAAACTCAGTGGACAGGAAGCATATTACATAAGTCATGCTCTACAGAACTAACTAGTTCACAAGAGAATTCAGTGGACAGGAAGTGTATTACATAAGTTATGCTCTTAAGAACTAACTAGTTCACAAGAGAATTCAGTGAAGGAGGAAGCTTATTACATAAGTTATGCTCTACACAACTAACTAGTTCACCAGAGAATTCAGTGGACAGGAAGTTTATTACATAAGTTATGCTTTTCAGAAATAACTAGTTCATAAGAGAATTCAGTGGACAGGAAGTTTATTACATAAGTAATGCTCTTCAGAACAAACTAGTTCACCAGAGAATTCAGTGGACAGGAAGTGTTTTACATAAGTTATGCTTTTTAAAAATAACTAGTTCATAAGAGAATTCAGTGGACAGGAAGTTTATTACATAAGTTATGCTCTACAGAACTAACTAGTTTGCAAGAGAACTCAGTGGACAGGAAGTTTATTACATAAGTTATGCTCTTCAGAACTAACTAGTTCATAAGAGAATTCAGTGGACAGGAAGTGTATTACTTAAGTCATGCTCTACAGAACTAGCTAGTTCACAAAAGAAATTCCGTGGACAGGAAATGTATTACATAAGTCATGCTCTCAGAATTCAGAAGAGCACTGAGTTTGTTACATTAGTTATGCTCCTAGCACTGACAAGTTCACTACAGAATTCAGTGATGCAGGGAGTTAATTACATATGTTATGCTCTTTAGCAACAAGTTCTTCACTAGAGAAATCAGTGGAGCAAAGAGTACATTACATAAGTTATCTCTTCAGAAATAACTAGTTCACTTGATAATTCAGTGGAGCAGGGATTTAGTTACATATGTTATGCTCTACAGCACTGACTTGTTTGCTAGAAAATTCAGTGGAGCAGGGAGTAAATTATATACGTTATGCTCTTTTAAAGCACTGAGTTTTAGATTTTCACTAGAGAAATCAGTGAAGCAAAGAGTAAATTACATAAATTATTCTTCAGTACTATAAACTAGATCACTGGAGAATTCAATGATGTAGGGAGTTTATTGCATAAGTTATGCTCTTCAGAACTAAATAGTTCACTAGAGAATTCAGTTGAGCAGCAAGTGTAAAAATGTAATAAACTGTGGAACTGAGCTTCATATCACCACAGTATTCATTGGAGCAGTTTTTTAGGGAAAACTTTACTCACTGTGGAGTATATTTATAGGATCAGATAATTTATTTCAAAGGTTCACAAAATGTATCACTCATTATTTTATATTTAGTGAAACAGGAAGGTTATTTACACTTATTGAGGGAAGCTGATCAATAATTCAGGACAGCTGCAAGGAGCTTAGAGATTATTTCAAAAGTTATTCACCATAGCACTGATTTTCTCATAAGAAAATTCAGTGGAACAGATAATTTATCACAAAAGATCTGAATAGTATCATTCTTATACTCCATACAGAATCTTAAAGTGCACCTGGAAGACTGTTACACACATTATACACTATGCCATTCATTCACTAAACAAGAATGTGTCCATAGTACACGGATGCCCCACTCGCACTATCATTTTCTATGTTCAGTGAAATTGGGGTCAAAACTCTAATCTGGCATTAAAATTAGAAAGATCATATCATAGGGAACATCTGTACTAAGTTTCAAGTTCATTGGACTTCAACTTCATCAAAAACTACCTTGACCAAAAACTTTAACCAAAAACTTTAACCTGAAGCTGTACAGAAGAAATGGACGAACGGACGGACGAACGGACGAACGGAAGCACATACCGAAAAACATAATGCCCCTCGGTGGGGCATAAAAAATAAATCACAAACACACCAACTTGAGATGGTCCAGCGCAGAGCAGCTAGGTACCACTGGCCTTTGTTAGTCTTGTATGTTTTTTTAATTTTAGTTCATTTATATGTTTTGGAGTTTAGTGTGACGTCCATTTTCACTGAACTAGTGCAAATTTTTGTTTAGGCCAAGCTGAAGCCCGCCTCAGGGTGCGGGATTTTCACTCTGTGTTGAAGACCCATTGGTGGCCTTAGGCTGTTTTCTGCTCTTTGGTTGGGTTGTTGTCTCTTTGACACATTCCCCATTTCCATTCTCAATCTTACACATGCAACAGATACCACAACACAAGCTTAGTCACAGAAATGCTGCAAACACTAAATTGGACAACTCTTGAGAAAAGGTGAATAAGAACACGCATCATCTTCTTCTACAAAATCATACACCATCTTGTAGCCATATACCCGACAGATCTACTTACACAATCCGACACAAGAACAAGGCAACATTCACAGATTTATTCTTATACAGACCACTAAAGATTCATACAAATATTCCTTTTACCCAAGAACAATGTTACAATGGAACTTCTTTGAACAGGTACAAGTGAGATTTTTTAAATATTTGTATACATAATGATTAGTGTATTCAGTATATATACAGATATTAACAAAATCTCGTCTTGTACCTGTTCTTCTTTGGACCAAAAGTCAGAATCATTTCAGGTTGGACAGACTGTATTTGTCAGTTAATTTCTCTGGCTGGTCCCATAACAATTTATACAAGAAATTAAAAAGAAATTTGCCATATTTATATCTGCAATTTATTTGACCAGAGACATATAATACAATTGTATTATATGTCTCTGATTTATTTGACCAGTAGATTAAGACAACAATTTCACATTCTCAAAACCTGGAATTTTAATATTGTCAGAACCACCCACTCTTCAATCAAGATCACATTCTGTCAAACATCAAAACACATCTGTATATTAAATAAAGAGGGTGCAAGGGCAGAGTATTATCCCTCGAAAAATCCTAATTAACAACTGCTTAGCATCGGTTCACAGTGTTTTCAAGGGGTACTTATCTGCTCCCACATGTATACCCTGTGTGTCATTTCATTGTTATGAAGGTTCAACGAGGCCCATTATCAACATAATAACATACCATGCCAGATATTTCACTGCCATTTTTGGTTTAAGATAATAAATCGGCAAGAACATATTCCTATTACGACCATTGAAAAGCATAAAATTTTCATTAAAGTTTATTTTCATATTTCTGACAAAGAACTAAAACAGAAAATAAAAAAAGCTGTAGATTTAAGTACTATTCTAAATATTAAAGAAGCAGGCACATCAAACGATTTGATTTGGAACTTCTTTCTACTGTCATCAATAGAAAAAAAATACCATGTTTTCATAAAATAAAATGTTTTACCTACCTACCCTACCTAATTTTTTTTGGAGATGAAATAGGAAACACACTATTAATTTATTTTGGCCTAAATAGAAATTAGATCCCATGCACGTGCGGCATAGCAAAATCAGTGCCAGGCATGTTATCATCATACTTGCCAACCTCTGACAATGAGAAATAATGTCATGACATGACATGACATGTCAAAAAGCGTGTAAAAACGCGCGACGAAGATGCAGACTTTTTTTATATGAACAATGTTCATAATTTCACATTATCATGATTATACAAATTTGTTAATATATAATAAAAACAATATTCTAGAGTAAACATTTATTTTATTTAACAGTGGTCTGTAGTGCTGCTTTTAAAGCAACACACTAGGCTTAGGCACATATTCAAAACAACTGCCAGTTTGATTACATTTACTTGATAACAAGGCACACAATATATGATTGTCGAGTTCTGATCAGAATTCAGTGTAGATTTCTTTATAGTTGAAAAAGTTCTCTCACAGTCAGAATTTATATTTGGCTGAACTTAAATAGCTTGATCAAGCTTTGAATGAGTGTCATAACGTTTTTTTGTCATCTAAAATGTCATCTATTATCTTTGTCAGTGCTCCCAACGAACTATATATGTTGCTATTGTCTCTGAGGCTATTGTCTAGTCAAAACTGGGTAGTTCATCAGAAGACAGCTGGTACTATGAGAACTGATCCAACAGTTCCGTGACATTTCCATCCCCTTTGACCTGTGGGAATCTGTTGGCTAGATTTGAAACTGAAAAAGAAAAGTATTTTGTTATTTGATTACCATTAAGCACGTTAAATGCTTAATCAAATCGCTACATGTATTGTTATGATTGCAACATAGGGTGCACAATGCGTTACTCGTCTCTCGATAATTTAAACGTGAACTCCCAAATATAATTTGTAAATCTTGAAATTTATCTTGGTACGTACACATCGTGTTCGATTAGCAATCGGCTCTTTAGACGACGGCACAGGTCCTGAAAGCGAGCTATTTCTATCGACATTTCCCCTAAGTGAATTTGAAAGAAAGAAAGTCACAAAATCGTAAAAACTAATCACAAACTACTTACCTTAAGGGCTTTTGCTGTTCGTCCATATAGAAAAATAAACAATGGCGACGATACAATTACTTCGAAATTTTCTGTAATTTTTGTCTAATAATGAAAAAACCCGAGAACCGCGATATCACTAACGACCAAAAAATCAAAACAACGAAAAAGCGTGTAATTGCGTGTAAAGTGGCGAAATGCGTGTACACGCCATGTGACAAAATCCTCGCGTGTAAACCGTTGAAAAAGCGTGTATTACACGCGAATATCATGTCAGTTGGCAACTATGGTTATCATCAGTATGTTGTTGGAGTGCTGAATTTTAAAGGTGAAGAAGAAAAGAGCATGGAAAACATATTATTTTGTCCTACTGCTCTACATCTAGGAATTGATTTATTCACCCGAGATTTAAGTGCAGCAGAGAGTTTTATAAGTTTAGATATGATAAGCTCACCAAAGAATTCAACAGAGCAGGGTGTATTAGTGTAACAGGGAGTATAAATGGAGCAAGGAGTTTATTCATACACAATTGAAACATCAAGGAATTGATTCACTCACAAGAAAATTCAGTGGAGGAGAGAGTTCATAAGTTAAGAGCAGATTTACTCACCAGAGACGTCAATACATTAGGTAGTTTTCCACAAAACTCAAATACAGTAGCATTGATCTGATTAACTGTTTTGTTCTGTGCTATATATGCATCTATTTCCTGCACAATTAATTTACATATGGCACATCCTGGACCAGCCTGAGACAAAAAAACATAAAATGACCAATATGTCAGTAAATATAATAGTCCTAAATCTAAATGGTTAACTGAATTATTTTGTACATTATAAGTACAACTTCTTCAATATGATATACCTGCTTCAAATTTTTTATCAACATATTATTCTAAACCCAAAATCATAACCATTAAAGTCATATGAAACTTCAAATTTAAAATAAAACTGAATATGTTGTAGATACTTGAATGGTTAAGTTTTACTACAAAACAAGTGTACGTGAACCTTCTTGCAGAAGAAAATCCATTATATTATCAAAATCTTCATAATTGTACTGCTATTGAATTATTGTCTTCCTGTACACTAATTTGCATTGACCTTACTAGGAGACCTCTCTTTAGAACTTCGGCCACTGCACAGTACAAGTGCGAGGGGAAACCATGATGAAAGAATGTAAACAAACATGCGCTGGAAGGTAAAAAGTACTTACTGATACTGAATGGAACAAATTTTATATAACAAATCATTTAACAACCGTTAGGAAAAGATTAATAATCAAATTGGAACGCATGGAAATTATAAAAAAAACATCATGGCTCTAAGTGCTCTGTAATGATTGTTTGTCAATGTATGTCACTATCCGGTAAACATTTTCTGAAGCTCTTTGTTTATTCTTGCAAGACGACACTTGGCAAAGATATTTTGCATCCCAGTGAATATTAAGGATTCAAATCTAAAAACTATTATTGAAATAAGGATTAAGAACAATCATAATCATTGATTTGTTATAGAGATAGGTGTGTATTTATCTATCTTTATCAACAAATAAAATCACTCCACAAAAAAGAGTTCTGACTGTACCTTTATCATGATTTCTTCAATATTACTAGAAGGGAAATCTTTTGTCATTGCTACACTGTCATCTGCCAAAAAAAATTATAATTTAAAGCAACATTAAATTTAATAGTATTTTAATCATGACAACTTTAAAATACATTTTTTGCTCTATGTTAAACTATAAGCTCCAAGAATCCCGATTTGCTCACCCCAATATCTTAGGTTGAATAGAAATGTAAATATAATAAATTGAATGATAAGGGCTTATACTCATTTCCAAAAAAGCCACTTATCACTCACTTATTTTTCTACAAAAATTGTGATAATAATATGCCCATGAATATAAGTTGGTTTACAGTATATTAACCCGGTAATATCAAATGAGTATTAATAATATTAATATAGATTCTACCACTGCATCGAGTGTGATACGATATTTATCCACTCGAGACAGTTAAATTTTCAAATTTAAAACGCGAGGCTTGCCGAGCGTTTTAAATATTTAAAATTTAACTGTCGAGAGTGGATAAATATCGTATTACACGAGATTTGGTGGTGGAATCTGTTTCTCTAATGATTTTCAAACAATATACAGGCAAACTTATTCCTTCTTATTGAATGATCTGCAAAAAGATGTGTTCTTTCTATGTGATGTCATCAGGCATGGTCGCCTTTTTTCATGCCGTCACAATAGGAAATTCAGAGGAAAGCAAGAAAATTTGACGTCATAATCGTATTTTAACCAATGAAGAACTGAGATCAAACGAACCACACGTTGCTACACAACAAAGCTACATCCAATATACTATAAGAAATACATTCATCTAAAAAAAGAAACCTGCATGGTATCTAGAGCAAATTAAAAAAAGGTATAGCTAACAACTGGATGACAGTCTGGTTATAATGTTCCAAGATACAAATTGTGTGTGACCTAGGTAAATAGAGGGATAAGATATAAATCTATCTGCTATTATTCATGCCACAAAAGGAACCTATTCATCTCAGCATTTGAGACTAACATAAGCCTTGAGAGCCTGAGCTTAATTCTTATATCTAATTAATGCAGTCAATATATTTGTAAAATTAACACCTACTTGTACACAACTTCACTTTTTCACAAGTCAGTTCAGGGTCAAATCCTGACACAACATCTTTAACAATAACTGGTGCATATGAGTAACACTGAAATAGAATATTATAACAACATTAACCGATATACGTAACAATTTTATTATATTTAACCATAGTTATGTTAATTCCATACCAACATTATTTTTCAACAGCACAAGTAAAAGTAGATAGAGGATTACTATATTAGTTAGTTGATGTGGAATCTTAAACTTTTTAAGTAATGAGTAATACTTTTAAAAGTGTGCACCAAAATGTTGTGAATGGTGAACTACATCTTTAAAATTAAACCAAGGTATATAGAATAATGGCATTTTTGTTTTTGATACTGACTTTATCAGCAAGAATATCAAGCGAGCTTGCTAGGAGCCTGCTAGGGCGAGCTGATATTCGATCTGATGAAGTATTCTTTTTATCGGCACTTTGTTTGTTTTTTTGGTTTAGAATATGTAGTAAAATGAAATACCATGTAAAACTACTTTCACGCATACAAAACATTTGGATAGTTGTTTGGTTTTATGAATGAAGTTGCATGCATTTCATTGATAAATAGATGCGGATGGACTTGAGCATGTGACATTGCTGCATTGATACATGACGTCATTGCCTAATATTTTCGAGTATGAAGTCCTGTCCATGATCTTAAAGATATTAGGAAGTAGGATAAAAGGGAAAATGTACAAATTGCTGATACATATCCTTATTTCTATTTTTGGTACATGAACAATGAAGTTATCAATAATAGATTCTTAAAAGAAAATTTGACCTGAAAATTTACTAATGCTTTGATTCAATGACCAGAGAACTCATTTGGCCGTAAAGTTATTACACAAGTTATATTTCAATACAATAATTTACTCACCAGTTTGTCAAGTGGAGCTGGTAGTTTACTACACAAGTTATATACTGATGCGTTGATGGCTGCAGATGACTGATTCTGTACAATGAAGTTGTCAATCTCTTGTATTATAAATTTACACAAGGTACAGCCTATACTTGCCTAGAAGTATAAATGACAATGTATATCTTTAGACTTGCCAAAAATATGAAGAATAAAATAGACTAGTCTTTCCTGGCAAAACAAACAATATAAAGTATATCTAAACTTGCCTTGCAAAACTTTCTATTATGCTAAGCTTTGACTTGCCGTGAACAGTAGTACATCTGTATACTTGTTTTAGGATAAAAACAATACATTTGTACAAAAAAACTTCTAACATATTTGGATGCAATAAAGTATGGCTTGAGCTTTGCCAAAATATATCAGTGGTAAAGACCTGACTTTCCTGAAAATTTAAGCTAAATTTAAGCCTGACTTTCCTGAAAATTTAAGCTAAATTTAAGCCAGATTTTCCTAAAAATATACCAGTTCTACAGTCTTGAACTTTACAAGACACAACAACATGAGTGCACATGCTAAAATGTCTCGCCTGAATTGCTGATCATGACTGAATTTCACATTGAAAATCTTTAAGATAGATGAAGGATCTGCTACAGGTATCACATAAACTTAACATTATCATTGATCCATGAAAATGAGGTTGAGGTCAGATGAATCCTGCCAGATGGACATGTACACCTTACAATCATTCCGTACATGAATAATAGTTGACATACAGCTTTAAGTTACATTTCCATATATTTTCCATGAAAAATCTAGTGACATTATTTACAGGCCAATTTTCAATTCTCAAAAGTCTTATCCCTTAAAAAATAAATCACACAAAAAAACAAACCAACCTAACTATATTCATCACTGATCTTTAATTATTGTATCTTATCTGGTGAAAAATGAAAACATCCACCTACAGTTGTCCATAATGCTTAATGTTAATCTTTAGATGTCTTTAAGTGTGGTTGTTGGGTTGCTGTCTTATTTATGTATAATTCATATCTACTTTTAGTCATAAACTTAAGTAGTATTTTTATTTTAAAATTTCCTAAAAAAAGAAAGAAATTGACATACCTTCACATCGTTTTCTTTTTCTTTTTCAACCTTTTTCAATGCTTCTTTCACAACCAAGTCATAATTTTCAAACTCTTTCTTGTCCATCTCCATCAAATCATAATCTTCTACTTCTAAAAATACAGAAAGAGTTAAATATCAAAATAAAGATAAATAAAAGAACAGAGTTCAAATGTCCCCCGTGTTGCACATATTTTATCTATCCAAGGTACAAGGGCAACAACTAAAAAAAGCACTTTTTTTTTTAGCTTTAAAACTTTTTATTAATATCCATTTTAATAAACATTTCCAAGGGGCATAACCATTAAAAATAGTTGATCGGCACTTATTTTCGAAAGTGTCAAAGACATTGCTGATATAAACCTATGATATAAGTTTCATAAAATTCTGGAAATAATTGTACACATGAGAGCACTGACGATGCAGTTTTCCATATAATCAATATTTCCAAGGGCATAACTCTTTTAAAAATAATTGATCGGCACTAATTATTGAACACGTCAATAATATATAAATATAAACATATAATATATAAATTTCATAAAAATCTGGCAAGAATTGAACACATTAGAGTGCAATTTTCCATATGATTAATATTTCCAAGGGGCATAAGTCTTTTAAATCGGTATTGATTTTCGAACTTGTCAATGACATTGCTGATATAAACCTATGATATAAGTTTCATAAAAATCTGGCAAGAATTGTACATGTTAGAGTGCTAACAAGACCGGACGGACGCCTGGTATTTCTATGTCTCCCGCAACGCGTTGCAAGGGGGACAAAAATGCAAAGGGAGACAATTTCTGTTTTAATGAAAACCATCTTTTAACTGACATTCACTAATTTATTTTTCATTACAATTAATACCTATGTGACCTTTATCTAAAACTTGTAAATATCATGTGACAGACAATTTTCGACTTGTAAACATCATGTGATCTTCATTTTTGACTAATAAACACCATGTGAACATCATCTTTAATAACCAGAAAACATCTTGTGACCTTGATCTTTTCCTAATAAACATCATAATAAGACCTTTCTCTTTGACTAGCTTTTTCAAATGCTTGTATTTCAAATACAAGAACAATTATATGGACCTATCAGTACTTAGCATACATTTAAAATACTGTCAATTCTTAATTGAAAAAAAAACCTTATATTAATATTTGTTTATTTTTACAAAAAAAGCTACTATTTAGAATTTCAGTAGTACATGTAATAGTTCTATTTTATTTATTTAATTTTTAAATGTTTTTATTAATGCAAAGCTATGACAATATGAATACTGTAAACCAACTAATTTTTGCAAGCAATTTATTTTCACGACTTTCAGGAGTAGAAAAATAACGCGGAAAGAAGTTGTCATGAATATATTTAGGTTGGATATTCCTTTATGTAAATACATAGCAAAGTTTAGAAAATCGCGAAAATAAGTTGTTGCTAAGGTGGCTAGATGATGCAAAACGCGAAATAAAGTATCTGCGAAAATAAGTTGGTTTACTACATCATGATACTTGCATAGTAATTTTACTTGTACAATATTCTGACATTATCATCAGTTTATTTATTTTTGTACTCACCGTTATTGCACAGTTTTATCTGTGTACAAGCCATGTTAGGATCTAAACCATTTTTGATGGCTATCAATAAAATTGGAGCAAATTGTTGGCACTGCAAATTGTAAAATAATAAAAACTTTTAAAAATGTTTCTCATGAAAGCTTATATTTTGTTTGCAGTGTATTTTTGAAATCATGTGTCTTATATTTTTCAGACATGCTAATAATTTACATATTATCAGTTTGAAACACAACTAAAATGTTTCATTATGACTTCTTTATTCTATTTTGAATGTTGTAAACATCTTTAATTTCAGCATACATACTATGGTGTTTTGTTTTTTTTCTTCACTGTTTTGATATTACTGTATGACATCTATTCAAAGTTCAATGGCCAATGTATTCTGATATTGGACTTACAAGAATGTATAAAGACTATAGTACATCTTTTGCAACTTTAAATTCAATTTTAAAATAAACAATATTTCATTTTCTACATTTTAAAGATCTGCTTTTAGAATATATTCAGATATTCTGGCCACTGGACAAGAAATATTCTGTAATCAAACATTTTTGGACTTTCATTCACCTAACATTTAAAAGTCTATACTCCATTACAGAAAATCAAAATTACAATATCTTTCCACATTGTGATGCAAGTTTTCCTTAATCCACGAAAAGTGTCAAAGTCACCAGGAATATTTTTTTTTTAAACCTAAGAACTTACCAGTCCCTGCAGTTGATCTGGTAGAGAGTTACATATCTGCTGTAATGATGCATTGACGGCTGCTTCTGATTTGTTAGAACTGAGTAAGTTATCGACTTCACGCATCACAAATTTACACAGAGTACACTCTGCTAATCCATTCTATAAAATACATAGTATTCTAATATGTTGTGTAGTTTTTGTTTTGTACACAAAATTATTATCTTATTAGCATGCATATTGTACACAAGCACACAACCTATGCTAGAAGTCTACTGCTTTTAAGCAATTTTATCCTGTAAAAATATCGCATTTAGTTCATATAAAGAAATATTATAAAATATCCTTAAACTAGATAAAGTGATGCCCCCACACTCCACTTTGAAGTAACTGTATTATAACAAAGTCAATGTAAGACTTTCTTTGAGATATTATTGTGTCTGGGAGACAATTATGATGCCCCGCAGATGCAAAGTTAAGCATGGGAGCACATAGGTCTATGGTTCACTGACCACATGCTCACCTTCAATATATGTACAAACAGCCAGCAAAGTGAAAACTTCCTAGCATTCAAACTGTAGGAGGAATTATCTGTAATAACTATGTACCCATAATGGAACGGAAGACGGAAGGATAGACAGACAGACAGACGGACAGACAGGGGTAAAGCAATATGCCCCCAACTTTTAGTTGTGGGGCATAAGCGGGGGCATAAAAACTCATAAAGCGTTCCCTGGAGCCTTGTGTCTCACCCAGGGCTTCTAAAAAATATTTGAGCCAGCCGGACATTTTTTGTCTTATTCCGATTTTAATCCCTTAACACTTAGTAATCAGTTGAGCATCATCTAAATAATGATTGACATAAAAACGACATCAAACTTGACTTTTGATATAAATTCGTTGTTCTAACGTAAACTGATAAATTGACAGTGCATGATTCGAAGTGTGCATCATAAGCAAACTAATATCTGCCTTAGACTCTTTATTTGTGCAAAGTTACGCTGTCAAAAACTTTACTTTTGTTTTTAAAAAGTACATTTTCCTAATACCTGATGTTGACTTGACAATGGTAAAACACATCAAATCCGTGTACTTTTACAAAGCCAGATAGAGTATAAGTAGCTCTTTCCATGTTATTTTTTCAAGAAAATACTCGAAATGAACATTAGACAAATGTATCAATGATAATTATATAGCATTTTTGAAGAATTGGGATTTTTTATTAAATCTCGCACCCACGTACATGAGCACATGTGTAATAGTTCAAACAAAGTGGTTCGGATGATTGTTCGTTCAAAACCTTAATACTACCTTTTTTAAATTTTTCATCATATTTATAAATGTATTTCTCAAAATCTAAATCTTTCTGACGCAAACTGCTGAATTTTAAGAAAATAATTTTAAATAGATCGGTCAATGTCCGGTACAAAATAGTTTACCTGTGTCGCCTGAACAGGTAAATTTTAGCTGTCAGACAATTAATTAACCTTGATTGTTATTAGAGGGTATTAAAGTAGGGTTTGTTTTGATAGTACTTATTCATCATCATCATCATGTCACTTTTATGACCAGAAATGTGTGGTTGTTTAAGGTAAAAGGTCAGTTCAAAAAGATTGCATAAATTATTATTTATTTCTGAATTATGCTTAAATGGCAAACCCATGGTAAATGTCCGTTTCAGGCTCCACACAACAAGTCAAATATATAATTTAACGGTCAAGTCCGAAAAAATACAACTGTTTTTGAAGCCCTAGTCTCACCTGCCATTATTGCTATCAGTATAATTGTGTAATGTTGACTGCCAAAAACTAAGTTCATTTATCAGAAAAATACAGATAAAGGTTATTTTTAATCTGAGCTTTTTTCTATCAGTAAAAAAACTGAAAAACAAAAATCATGAAACATGTATTTTCAAGATTTTGCTTTTAATCAATTTCTCTTTATCATGATAAAAAGCTTCTTTCAAAGTATCATTAAAGTCAACAAAATAAATGTCAATTCATCAGTAAAATATGGAAAAATGAAAAAAATATTTTCAAAGTTTTGCTCTGGATTCTGTCTTTTGATTATTAATAAAACTTATCATACTTACTGGTTCCTCGTAACTTTCTGGTTCCACTAAGTTGGTACTCTCATGCTGGATCTGGATCTTTGATTTCCCACAGATACCTGCCATTTGTAAACAGACCTGTATACCTGTCTGAATAATAAAAATAGTAAAAACAATGAGAAACAAAACTTACAATAAACTAGCATTGAAAACTGTGTTCCAAATATAAACATTCTCCAGACAAAAGTAAACAAATTTGACCGATATCTGCTATCAAAACCAAATACTGTGGATTCATTATTATTCATTGGATACCAATTTTTCGTGGATTTCGAGGGTAAAGGGGAACCACGAAATTAAATGTTCAACGATAACAAATTTTCCATAGGCTTGTATGCAGACTTCGTCAAAACCACGAAATTCAGTATCAACGAAGATGCAAGTTTTCCTTAATCCACGAAAATTGGTTCCCACGAAAATAAATGAATCCACAGTACCCTAAATAACATAAAATATTAATCTCAAACAAAAGACAAACCATTAATCTCTAACAAAAGACAACCACTCATAAGGTTCCTGATTCTGAACAAACCTTACAGGATAAAATAAAATGCACCTGAAGCTTTAACAATATAATATTTTTCAGACAAAATTCACTAATATTCCTGTAAAAACCTAAAATTATTCATAAATATTGTTATCCACTGTATTGATATTTTTTCCAGATTACAGGACAACGCAGTGTAAAATTTCTACATCACAAGGAACAAGAATGTGTCCATAGTACATGGATGCCCCACTCGCACTATCATTTTCTATGTTCAGTGGACTGTGAAATTGGGGTCAAAACTCTAATTTGGCATTAAAATTAGAAAGATCATATCATAGGGAACATGTGAACTAAGTTTCAAGTTGATTGGACATCAACTTCATCAAAAACTGCCTTGACCAAAAACTTTAACCTGAAGCGGGACAGACGGACGAATAGAAGAACAGATGGACGGACGAACAAACGAATGGAAAAACTAACAAACGGATGTTCAGACCGAAAAACATAATGCCAATAAATAGGGCATAGAAATGTCAGTTGCTACAATCCAAACGGGTTTGTTGTATCATTCAATACTAAGTCAAATGTTGCAAAATTTCTGGTTAAGTGTTGCAGAAGTCAGAAGAGGGATAAGACCCATGATATCAGCTATTGTATTTTAAACAGCCCTACCTCTCCAGCAATTCCTTCCATTATATCTTTACAGTCCTTACAGGATAAAACTGGTTCATGGACAAAGAATGCATCTTCTGAAAATGAAAAGTTTATGAATGAAAGCTAATGAAAAACATGTTATCAGAAAGAATTAAAAAGCTGCATGCTATAAAGTAATGACAATAGAGACTCTTACAAATAAAGTAATGACAATAGAGACTCTTACATATAAAGTAATGACAATAGAGACTCTTACATATAAAGTAATGACATTAGAGACTCTTACATATAAAGTAATGACAATAGAGACTCTTACATATAAAGTAATGACAATAGAGACTCTTACATATAAAGTAAAATCAAAAGCATCTTGTCAGATGGACCAATGACTGGAGCAATACAAAAAACAATAGCTCTTTCCCAATAAATTATTTTCTGAATCCTAAACTGATTTTATACTGTGGATTCATTTATCGTCATGGATACCAATTTACGCTGACCAAAGAAAAATTATGTTTTTGAGGATATTTGATTTCGCTGTTGTTCCAAAGTCTTCCGAAAAGCCTGTGGAAAAATGATACTTCGTTGAACATTTAATTTCGTGATTAACCATTACCCACGAAATCCACAAAATTTGTATCCAAAGAATAATTATGAATTCACAGTACTTGTATTTTCACATGAGTTACCTCCCTTACAGGAGACTTATACTGCAACAGTAAATTTTCTCTGGCAGGGAACTTTTTTCCTTTTGGAAGAATAATAATTCCCTGAAGTATTTCCCTAGGGGTTCATTTGCAAAGGAATAATCACACTAGAGTGAAGAAAAAATGCACAAGTATACATGAAAGTTCTACAAGTCATGATGAAAGTACGCTTAAATTAGCTCCCTGTAATCTGAATTAACCAGTAGAAAATGTACTCACCTGCCGCACAAACTCTGATAGCCTTGCATGCTTTCTCTGCAGAGAATTCATCCACTAAAGCTTTAAGTAACTCTGGCTCAAACTTCTGACACTGAATTATACAAAATAAATTTTACAAATAAATCATAGTCAATAGAGTAATAGCTTTCAAAGTTCATACTTTCTTATGTACTTCAAGGAGAAGGTATGATTGTCATTATTTGGCCCTAAAATTTGGCACTGCCAACTTATGCTTGCCAAAATGCACATTTATTGAGAAAAAAAAAATTTGACCTTTGACATGAAAAATCAAAAGGATTTTTCAAATTCTTTATTATATCGCCCACGTAAATATGTCTCTTTTCTCACAAATAAATGCATACATTAAACCCATGAGTTAACAGTGCAATAACCTATAGTTAACCAAAGATATTTAGCAAAACAGATAATATATAGATTACTCAATTAATTTCCAGCATAAAATTTTGGCTCATATGCAAAACAGCAATGTCAATTTATCTACATTCTACCACACAACACACAAGAAACATAATGGGTGCCACAGTGGAGCAGGAACTCCCTTCCAGAGTACATGGTTATAACCGTGGTTTTTAGTGGTGCTCTTGTTGCTCAATCTTAAGTTTTTTGTTTAGAGTTTTTTTGGTGGTTGTTTGTCTTCTAATTATTTTATTTTTTTACCATGGTGTTGTCAGTTTTTATCTGAATCAAACTTATGATTTTTGATAATTGTCCCCTTATCTCCTCTTTCATTTTCTCACTAAATCAAGATCTAGAGTGATACATTTCTCTACAGTTTATTTTTTTTTAAATTAAGAAGATGAAGCTTACCAGGCAGTTCAACTATTTGACTGTTGAGATTGAGATTGCACAAGACACATTGGTGCAATCTGTTTCCCTAAAGGTTTTTAAATGAATGTCAAAAAACATTTATGTTTTTTTTCTCAATGATCTGCAAAAAATGTATTCTTACTGTGATGTCATCAACTATTGTAACCTCTTTTCCTGTCATCTCAATAGCAATATCAGAAGAATGTAAGAAAATTTGTACAGACTAAAAGGAAGTCCCTTTTTTATGAAGGAGTTATAAAAATAAGAAGATGTGGTATGAATGCCAATGAGACAACTATCCACTATAGACCAAATGATGCGGATGTCATGGTATAAAAATAAGAAGATATGGTATGATTGGGAAAGAGACAATTATCAACCAAAGTTCAAATGAAGTGGTTGTACTCCAGTCAACAGGAAGTCAATTGGTGTAAATGACATTATTAAACAATTGATTCTTATTTCGACATTATAACAAAAACATTGTGACATTGGAAATATATGGGAAAATGTATGAATGTTAAAGACACCTATTTTAACCAAGGAAGAGCTAAGAACAACCAAACCACGTATTGATTATGAAGCAACAAAGAATAATCAACGAGTTTGGGAAAGGTTAAATAGGCTTATAATTAGAGCAATGATACTTAAATTATATAGATGAGCAGATACCTACCAGTGCTCCTAATTGACCCGGTAGTTCATTACAAATTTCTTCCAGTGTAGCATTGATAGCGTCCTCCGATTTGTTGTTCAGGAGTCTTTTCTCAACATAGGTAACTACAAGCTTACATAACTCACATTCTATTGGCTGAAATAAAACACTCAGATGAATAATCATTGAATTATGGTACATGTAACTTCTAAAGGTAATTGGTGGATTTTTCAAACTGAAGTTGATGCCAAAAAAATTGAACATGAGAGGAAGTTTGATAAAGATGGCCTTTAGTTTCTGTGTAAACAACATTATTGGTACACAAATGCAATGTATTATCTAACTTAAAATTTGAGATAAATAATAGAATAATTTTTTGTGTGTGTATTTTTGCAAACGCAAACCACATATGCATATATGAGAATACAAAAAGAAAGTTAAAAATGTTGATCAAAATTAAAAATTAATTCATTGAAATATTTCAAGAATAGATCCTCAGCCACTCTCTGAAATGTACTTGGTTCTTTACCAAGTTGATACTGTGGATTCAATACAATTCTTGGAGTTCTTATTTTCCTGGATTTTGGGGGTATATGTGCTGCTTGAACCCCAAACTTAAGGTGCTCAACAAAATACAAATTTTGCATAGTAATGTATTGAGATTTTGTTAAAAAAAAACAAAAATGTTCATGAAAATATTTTTTCCCAAATTTACGTGAAAATAAAACAATTGACAGTATTAAGTTTAATCCCTTGATTAAAATCCCAATGCTTCTGATCTGATTTAGATCCTCTTATTACAAATGTCTTCTTTTTATTTTGAAATCATTCAAAATTAACTATGCAACTACATTTAATAATTTCTATTTACATATTTAATAATAATAACATTTGTTTAAAGTTTGAACTCAGCCTTTATGTAGAAATGAAACTGTAGAACTGTAGAGTACTTACATTGGCACCAATATCCTGTGTTATCTCATTTATTTCATTTGGTATGATATCATTGCTGACAGGTGCTGGTAAAACCTTGGTTAAAATGTCCTTCTCCAATGATGGGCATACTTTTAACGATATACAAATCTGTTCTGGATCCTTAAAACAGAATAGTTTGTGTAGAATGTAATTATCTGTTCCTTGTCATAGATAGTGCTTGCTGAGTGTTTTTTTTTCACTTTGTTTATTACTTTATTTATTTCACCTGACTGGGAGATAGTGCTAACTGAGTGGGTTTTTTTTCACTTTGTTTATTACTTTATTTATTTCACCTGACTGAAAGATAGTGCTTGCTGAATGTTTTTTTTTCACTTTGTTTATTACTTTATTTATTTCACCTGACTTGGAGATAGTGCTTGCTGAGTGTTTTTTCACTATGTTTATTACTTTAATTATTTCACCTGACTTGGAGATTGTGCTTGCTGAGTGTTTTTTTTTCACTTTGTTTATTACTTTATTTATTTCACCTGACTGGGAGATAGTGCTTGCTGAGTGTTTTTTATTTTACTTTGTTTATTACTTTATTTATTTCACCTGACTGGGAGATAGTGCTTGCTGAGTGTTTTTTTCACTTTGTTTATTACTTTATTTATTTCACCTGACTTGGAGATAGTGCTTGCTGAGTGTTTTTTTACTTTATTTATTTCACCTGACTGGGAGATAGTGCTTGCTGAGTGTTTTTTTACTTTATTTATTTCACCTGACTGGGAGATAGTGCTTGCTAAGTGTTTTTTCCACTTCGTCTATACTTTATTTATTTCAACTGATTGGGAGATAAGTGTTTGCAGAGTACTTTTTTCATTGTGTTTATTACTTTATCAATTTCACCTAACTGGTCTCTTTCCCTTTTAAAAAAGAAACTGTTAAATGATTGATTGTTGTCTCCTTAGCATAGAGTGGTAAAGATTTCATGCATATAGCATGTATAGTAAACACAAAGTGATGCAGTTAAAAATTAATCTTGTTGGTGATTTTTCATTAGATGATGGTGATTTGATTCTGAAATAAACTCACTGTATATTCCAAAATTAATTAATGATGAGGTTGTTGATTAAATTAATATCACCACAAATCACCACCATTCACCCTGTTTTAATCTGATTCACTAAGCACCAGCAAGAGTGATTTTTACATGAATCACCTTGAGTGTATTGTATTCAGGACATCAGTAATTTTTAGACTGATGATTTTTACTTAGGAAACTGATATTTTACTACTTTAACAGATTTCACTTTGGAATGGAATCGTTCTCCATCTTTTATAAACTAGAATGGCATTTAACTGTGTAGCTACTCAGTTCATACACAATCTGATGAAACATTAGCCTAGTGAAGAAAGTCTAAATGTGAACCAAAATCCAGAAAATTGGGAAACTGTACTTTGAACATTATTATGTATATTTAGCTTGATCATGAAAACTTTGAAACAATTTTATTGTTAAGTTTATTCAATTTATCTCTTCCTGAAAATTCATGAAATAATTGCTACTGGAAATTAAGCAAGAAACAACAATCAATCAATCAATCTTTAATTTAAAACCTCTTTTAATTCCCAATCAACACCACAAAAAATTGTAACCAATTTTTGCAATGCTTTTATCGATCTGAAATTTTCTACACTAAAAAAAATTGTGTTTAATATATAGACAGTACCATTGTATGTAGCATGTCCTGAAATCAAAGTTATAAATCTCTAAATTTTGTTTTATTTATCAATTACAATAATAAATGACATGAAAAAGTTGCTGCCTGGTCTAAGCATCTAATAATCATTTGAAATAGAATAAAGCTTTATCAATTCAATTATAACTACTGAAGGTCTATAGCATGTGATGGGTCATCAAGGTTTTAGGAAGGCATTTTCTAAATGGAAAAATTCTAAAAAAAATTCAACCGAAGTTTTTTTAATTCTACTATTATAAAATCATCAAGAGATGATTCCCAACTAAATATGAAAAGATATGTGGAGTTGTCACGGAATAGAAGTTCCTTCATAATATAAGTTCCAAATGGAAACAATATTCTGGAATATTATTTCCACTGGAATATTACAGTAAATGTTCCTAACGGAATAAATGGTATAGAATATTTGTTCCAACAGGAACAGATATTATGACATTGTTTATAACAAAGTTTCCAGTGGAACTTCTGTTAGGCGGAACAAATACACGTTGACAGAGTATACAAATCTAATGACACAACAAACCAAAAAGACATGTGACTTTAAGATGAAGAACTGTTCCTTTGTTTTTGATTATGCTAAGATTTTGTAGGAATTTTGTGTCATAAATCAAAACATTATATCTCTTCAACACCAGAAAGGAATATATGCCCTGATGCAAAAAAAATGAATAAATTTAACAATGAGACTCTCAATGATCTGTAATCAACAACTAATTCCTCAACTAACCTTAAAAAACAAAAGAAAGCCTCTGGCCTGACTTGGGCTAGCATATGACTGCATTAGTTAGGGTTAAAGAATTTCATTTTTTTTTTATTTCATCCCCTCCCCTCTTTTTCACCCAGTTCAGAATAACATAATGTTCATAAAAAAAAGTCTTTTACAGATAGTAGGTAAAAATCTCTTGTAGTTTTTGAGAAATCAATTTCTAATTTCACAATTTGAGGTATTTATTGAAATCACAGAGCAAGGGCTATAGTATTTAAGGGGTCACTAGGGTTTTGAGGAGGCTTTTCTAAAAGGAAAATTTCAAAAATTTATCAAAAAAAATGTTTTTTTTTAATTTTATAATTACAAGAGTATCAGTTGCACATCTTATATGACATTAAATTTTAAGTGCATACTAAACAGTTAAAAGAAAGAATGAAAATGTCATATCATAAATTTTTCTCCAATGTCCGTTTTTTTTTCTTCAAAATTCCCAACTGTCTGGATGGGCCCCATATGAGAAAAACCTCTGACCTGGCTAAATGATATCAAAATATACAGATAAGTTACAATTATCTCTGAACTAGATGTTTCTGATAAAATATTTCTAATTTGTTCTTTGACCTCTGATAATTTTAACTGTTAATGAAAAATAAATCAATGATTGGATCAAATCTCTGCTAAATTATTTCTACAACTCAAATACTTCATAAATTAGACCGTTAGTTTTTTCAATTGAATTGTTTCATATTTTTCCTGTCGGGGCCTTTTATAGCCGACTAAACAGTATGGGTTTTTCTCATTGTTGAAGGCCGTGCGGTTGCCTATAATTGCTTACATCCACTTTATTTGAACTTTGGTGGATAGTTGTCTCATTGGCAATCATGCCTCATCTCCTTATTTTTACATAAAGAATATTTTCACTACACTACACTTGCTTTAAATTAACAATTTTACTATGGCATCGGTTGATTGGTTGGAAGAAATCACTTCAGAATGCCCACCAGTGTGAAATTTACTATAAAACAAGGAGATGAGGTATGAATCTCAATAAGACAACTATCCATCAGAGTGCAAATGATGTTGATTTAAGAAACTATAGGTCACCATAAGGCAAAACCTATACCTTATACGATATAGTCAGCTGTAAAACTGGCCACAACATGACAAAATGTTTAACAATTCAAACAAAATCATTCTTTGGACATCTTATGTGTAAAAGTTGCACACCAAAATCTCCCTTTCTGCAATGATACAATTGGTTGTTATATAATGTGATCTGTACAAAAATCTAAAGAAATTAATCTCTTTCCAAACAGGTTAATACCAGATCACCATTTGCTGCTGTCCCATTTGCAGTGTAAATATCACATCAATACATATCAGTAGATGGGAGCAATGATGATTTGGTTCTAATCAGGATAGAGATTAACTAACAGACAAATCAGGAAGGAGATGCTATAGGTTTTCTAGGAAGACAGAATATTTCATATAAACAGTTGCAATTGATCAGACTTTAACATCTTTGATGACCATTTACTTTTTAAAAAGTAAGATATTTGCAATATCATTTTTTAATTACCAAGCCATCAGATATTTCTGTGAAGACCTTTGCAATCAATTTTTATTTACCAAACCATCGGATAGTTTTGAAAAAAACCATTGCAATCAATTTTTACTTATCAAACCATTGGATAGTTTTAAGAAGACCTTCAGAATCAATTTTTACATACCAAACCATTGGATAGTTTTGAGAAGACCTTTCCAATATTGTCTTTGACAAAGGCAAGACATGTGTCGGTATTTGCAGTAAGTCGGTTACAGATATCATTTAAATCGCCTTCAGCTTTTGCCTGAAATTAAAAATATACACAATCAAAATTGTAGTTATAGCAGTAAGAAAAATCACTCTAAAATAATGATATAAATAGAATATATATACTGTTAACAAAAATACAAACATAAACTATATTGTACCTCTTCTAGACAAAAAAAAAACAGAAACATTGCAGTTATTTAAATACCTTCAGCTTTTGCCTGAAACCAAAATCATACACAATCAATACAGACCTGCCATCTTTCATAATTCACTGGGGATTTCCACCATGAAAAGGGTTGTAAAGGTTTTGGTTCATCATAAAAATTGGACAAAAATGTCTGTGTTTACACCTCCAAAAATATACTTTGAATACAGACAAACTGCACAGTTGGAAATGTTAAAAGCCCTTATATCCCTAGATATGCATTTTGTGTTTCAAAAAGATACAATCTTTTGGGATTTTGAAATTCATTTTTTTCATCACTGCAGAAAAAATTATATATACTAGAAAGAAAGCTGTGCAATCTGGGTATTATGGCCATTTAAATAGATATTGATGAATACAGACGAGTCATTCTTTATTTTTTTCGACTTATTTCAATTTTGGTTTAAATGAATTCCAGTATAAGAGTATATGAAATATTCTTTTAATTCACACTAAGTCACTACCAATGTTCGCATTTGAAGTCCTTCATCAAAGACCATTCATATATTAAACCAATACCATGAAAAAAATTGAATTATCCTGCCAGTCTATAATATTTGTAAAACTGGGTTGATGCAAGGGGAGAAAATACAAATTCCATAAGCCATCAGAAATCACACAAATTTGTGAAATTGAATTGTCAGTAATTATTGATTACAAGGAAAACAAAAGGTTATGGATGGGTGCAGTTTGCAGCCTTACAATGATTAAACACAAATGGATACTTCATCTTTACAACTGAAAGTACTAGTAGGAATAATTTTGATATCAAGGATTCTGGAAAAAACGAATGCTTGGGAGAATTTAATTTTTAAAATTGCATACAAACTGAATGTGAAAAATAAAGGTTAAAAAAATGTTTATGTTCGTTCTACTTTATATACTAATGCTAGAACAACCTGCACAATCTAAACCATATTTCTTTCAGTTTTAGAGACACATGTTTTCCTGAAAATTCGTCAAATTTGTTCCTTTTAAGGTTCATCATAACAAATGGACAAAAATAGCTGTATTTCCACCTCAAAAACTACTCTGAGTACAGACTTACTCGTTCATGCAGAAGGTGTAAAAATAAACTAAGTTGGGATACAACTTTGAGATGCTCCCTCTCAGGTTAAAACTGTATTCTATTGTATTGATTGTCCTTGATTGACATGTAATTTAATGTTAACATGGATCTTGTCTATATACCAGCTTTGATTATTTGGTATTTAATTTACTACAAATTTTCACTTCTTCGTACTATGAACATCAAAATTATTTCATTTGTTCTTGGACCTGTACAGGAAGTTTTATCTAGCACTAATTGTATATTTTTATTGTTGATATTCACCCCATATGTACCAAGTGTTAGATTAGTTTTATTGATATTAAAGAAATTTCTTGGTATTCCTAAACGGAAGATTTTATACACACAGAAGAAGAAGTATACTTAACAACAAAATTATTTTCATTTACCTGTGTATAATATGACGCAGGTTTCTTCAAAAGTGATGATTTTCTAAAAATTGTTTGAAATTTCGAAGTGATATCATACTTTAACTTTGTTTAAACCTATTTATTTACTTTTGACTTTATTTATCCCTTGTAATTTTTTATTAACTGTGTATTTGCATTCAGGTGTCACAGGTCAAATTTATTCGTTCATTGGGTGTTAATTTACATTTTTTGATTGAGTTAAGCCTTCCAATTGATATTTGATAGTGTGTTTTTCTATGTTGTGATGTTATACTATTGTTTCAGAAAAGGGAGAAGGTTTGGTACCATTAAAACGTTTAATCCCGCTGCAAATGTTTGCACCTGTCGTAAGTCAGGAATCTGATTACAGTAGTTGTCGTCTGTTTATGTAGTTCATACATGTTTCTCGTTTCTCGTTTTTATATAGATTAGACCGTTGGTTTTTCCGTTTGAATGGTTTTACACTAGTAATTTTTTGGGGCCCTTTATAGCTTGCTGCTCGGTGTGAGCCAATGCTCCGTGTTGAAGGCCGTACTTTGACCTATAATGGTTTACTTTTATAAATTGTAACTTGGATGGAGAGTTGTCTCATTGGCACTCATACCACATCTTCCTATATCTATGGACAATAGGTATCTACACAACTATAGGTGAGTTTAAGTGTTTAAATGAGTGGACAGTATCAAAGCAATTCAGGTGTTTGTTTATTTTTACACCTTCTGCAGAAAGGGAAAAAAATGCCCATCAAGATCCAAAAAAAATTATATCTACCTGAAACACAAAATGCATTCAACTTTTATATATCTAGTGGATGTCAGGCCTTAAAACTTTTCCAACTGGACAGGTAAGTCTGTACTCAGCAGTTTTTTAGGCGGAAATACAGCCATTTTTGTCCATTGGTTATGGTGAACCTTAAGAGTATCATCAAGGATTTACATATTTATTCATTAGTTCTAAAAAAATGTACATTAATTTATACCACAACTGATTGAAGGCATATAAACACTATATAGTAAGATATACTTTATGACCTGAACAGATCCTTAAGTGGGGGATTGGGGGGGGGGGGGGGGGGGGGGAGGGGGAAGGGGAGGGGAGGGGTAAAGGGTGTATGCACCCACCTAAGGCACCTTTGATTGCCACATTTTTTTCGCCTCCCCTTTTCAAAAATCCTGTATCCGCCCCTGTCCTTGGCACTACAGAGTTGGTGCATTTAAAGTGTTAATAACATGATACCGAAGAGTTCGTGCGTGGTATAAAAAGTACAAACTTTGGCAACAGATTTCAATCCCTCTGTTTAGAAGGGAAAACCTGTCCAAGGAACACAACGAGAAGAGGGAAGGAAACGAAGGGGTGAGGTTGAAATGTTTGGTATTCAAGTCTTTGCCAGTTTTGCTCTCCGTAAAATAGTGTCCTATGCCCTATAAGTCTAATTATTGTCAAACATTTGATAAGGTATGATTTTTTAGATGTTCAAAATATATGCATGACATGTATTGAATGTTTCAGCTGATACATATTTGTTTGTTTTTCAGTATAGTGATTAAGATTATAACACAATGTTGACCGCTGTACCCCTATTTTTGACATTTTTACCTATTATGTCTGTTTGTTTTGTTCACACAATATTGTCAATATAATAGAATTGTATGCGATTGTCATACAAGTGAGAGGTTTAGCTAGCTATAAAACCAGGTTTAATCAGGAACATATCATATTGTTAGATATACTGTTCCCAGGTTTAATATCCACCATTTTCTACATAAGGAAATCCGCGGCCTGTACCAAGTCAGGAGTATGACAGTTGTTTTCCATTCGTTTGATGTGTTTGAGCTTTTGATTTTGCCATTTGTTAAGGGACTTTCCGTTTTGAATTTTCCTTGGAGTTCGATATTTTTGTTATTTTACTTTTCACCCCTACCACAATATGTTTGAAGCCACCCCCCCCCCCCCCCCCCCCCCACACACACACACACACCCACCCCCACCCCAAACCCCCAGGAATACATAACACGATTTTTTCCCAAGTTTATGATATAAAAACAAAAAAAAACATTTTAAAAAATGGAATACATCGTCACTAAAGGTAAATTAATCCTCAGCGATTTGACTTGTTGGTATTGAAAGTTCTCTCTATTTGTAATAATTTATAAAATTATAAACAAAAACACAAAACAAGGCGCGATACTGAAAATTCGTCTTTGAAGGGCAGTTGCTCTTTTAAAAGGTGTTGAGTCCAATGACGATTTTTGTCATTTGACTGATTTTTAGACCTCGATTTGCTCATCACTTTTGTTTTTTTACAGATTCTCTCCATCTAGTTCTGTCAAAAACACAAAATGAGTAAAAATTATCAATAAATGGCAATAACTTCTATTAGGAGTAGACTGACGATTTCGGCCGGCGGCCATGTTGACCTACTTGCAGATCTGCCCTTGCTGTGGTTTTTGCTGACAAAAATGGGTAAAAAAAATCTTCATACGGGGAATAACTGTTATTGGGTGTCATTTATAGACTTCGTTCATTTGACTTATTTGTTGATCTTATCTTGATGATCCTTTTATCCCTGATAAAGTTTCTCTTTATCTATTATCAGACGTCTATATATAGTTTTCAAGATGATAGAAATACACGTAAAATAGTAGATAAAAATAGTTATTTAAGAACAAAAACTCCCTTAAGGAGTGGTCTGGCATTTAAAATCGAGGACAGTCGCTAGATCATAACATTTTGAATATTTATTGACCCTACCAGTTTAATAATTACTCTAAATTAATGGTTTTCAAGATATTATAGATTACTCCATCTTCGCTAGCCAAGGATAACGATCCAGAGGGGACTGGATCGTAACCATTGGTTAGCGAAGATGCGATTGTTCGCATTTGGCCTCTGTTTTCTATCTTAAGCACTAACGACCAAGTTGGTAGGTATACGGGATCACGGAACAAAGTCATTAAACAGATACCATAACAATGATTGTAGTTAAGTTTGGTTTCAATTGATTCAATAGTTTCAGAGGAGAGGATGTTTGTAAAAGCTAACGACAACGATGGCGTACGACACGTGATGGGAGAAGCTCTTTGTGGACCTTCGGCAATAATGTTTTGGTTGAATCATGAAATGACTGGGTTTTGTCACGTCTCCTTTTACAAGTATTTCATACAGGAGTGAGAGTTGATCTTGAACTTTGTCGTATCCGGCAGGTCCCTTTATTTACATGATTGATAACGGGATCTTTACTCAGCTAGTACAGTATAACACATTTTATCTTTCACTGATAAAAGTTTAAAAGCTTTATTTGCGTATAACTGGGACATGATATATTTATATGTATGTATAGAGTATACTATCCCCAGCGTACAATGATACAAATATTGTATATAATTGTATCAACTGTATTTAGGAGGCTTTTATTACTTAGGCAAGGTTGTTAGTATGATTTTTCAGAGTTTTCTCGTCTGGATGATAATTGCTTGGGTTAAAATCACAACTTCTTAGCAGGTTAAATCTGAGCAAAATATCAAAGCATGGTTATAGACCTCCTTACTTAGGACACTGTTAACTCATATATAATTTTTCATTCAAACAATAATTTCTGATCCATTAGACTGCACATGAAGTTTTTACTGTGTTATGATTATTAGTGTTTGTTTTTATCTCCTACAAGATAACATTGGTTCTAAAATTATTAGAAGATAGGACTACTCAGCGAAAAGAAAATAATCGTGCTGAACGAATATTTATTATTTTGAGAGAGAGAGAGAGAGAGAGAGAGAGAGAGAGAGAGAGAGAGAGAGAGATATTTTTGTTTGTACCTTATTGTTTTGTCTATAATGATGTCTAATATTGTACTATGCTCCTTGTGAGTCCATTTAATCAAAAATAAATATTTTCTTCTCCTATTTAGTGTTCTTTAACAATACATCTTCCAGTGATTTTTAGACTTTTAGACGAGACATCAATCCACATTACAATCATACCTTAACCCACGATTCTGACGCAAAGCCGACCAGTGTGTGCTATGACTGCTAAATGATTCGTCCTTAGCAGCATATACCAAATTTAACTTCTTCGGTACATGTTCCAACCGGGTTCGAAACCACCACCCGATCATATGCTTTACGGGTCACGGGTTGGATGCGTAACGTCCGGCGACAAATATAGCAAATAAAGGACGAAACTTTAATAAAAGGTAACCCATACGAGGTGTACGTAAAATAAACATTGACGCTCACAAACATACATTCATAGGTCAACAAACGCTTTTCAACATCTCCGTCATATATGAGTACTAGACTGATACTGATTTTAAACGTGCTGACCCACTAGACAAAATACTGCAGGAAGACATGTATACAACCCTAACGATGACATGAATCTGAAAATGCATCACAAAGTATAGCATGCTCACATGAAGCTTGCTAACAAATTTTAGGGAGCTCTGATTTATAGTCCCTTAGAAAAACGCTACCACATTTCCGGGTCCAATTCGAGGCGCTCACTAAAACGCCCAATCGGTAGTAGCGACGGGCGGTGTGTACACAATTTATGGGACGGAAGAACGGACAGATGAAACCAGTATACCCCCTCCTTTTGGAGCGGAGGTATTCAAAACCATAGACATAAATAAAAGAAGATGTGGTGTATAACGTCAATGAGATAGCAACCCAACGACATAAACAACATACCGGTATCTAAATCTAAATCGTCCCGAGACTATAAAAGTTGTTGATAAGGTAAAGAAACTTTCAAAGATCTGCCATTAAAACTAAATTTTCTACTTAACATAAAATATAAGATATGATAAATAAGCTATGTGTGATGTTAATAAATTTAAATTCAACACACTTATGAATAGATAGAGCCTATGTTGAAATATTGACAAATCGTGATTATTGCGCATATTTCGAAACATTTTGTAAAAAGTGACCAATTTCATTTGATCTATCAATTTTACACTAGGCTGACTAGGAGTGGTTAAACAAAACAAACTGTGCATGGACAGATTTTGTGTCATGGATGGATACCCCATATCCTATGTTTTCTATTAGTTAAAGACCGCAACATGTTTTTGACTTTTTTGTGTCTGTCCCAAGGTAGGAACCTCGCCCATGGTTTTCTTTTAGTTTCTCCTATCTTTACTTTTTTTATGGGACAATAAATATTCAAAATGTTATGATCCACCGACTGTCCGCGATTTTAATTGTCAGACTACTCCTAATGGGAGTTTTTTTTTATCTTAAAAAATGAATTTTATAAAATTTGTTTGTCATTCGGATTCTCAGTTTGATATTGATGGCAGATCTTTGATAGTCTCTTTTAAATCAATGAACCTCTTAGTCATGGATGATTTAGAGCGAGTAGGCACGTTGTATAGTTATTTATCTATTGTTGAAGACCGTAGATGTCGTTCGGTTTTTGTTCCTCATCTCATCTTAATTTTTTTAACTTGCAATAACGAGACACCAAAAATAATCCCGAGAGCAAACATATACCATACAAAATCATATGTAGAACAAGCATAATATCGGACAATATAGAACAAGCATAATACAAGTCAAAACCACATGTAGAAAAAGGATAATACAAGACAATATAGAACAAGCGTAATATCAGACAAAACCATATGTAAGACAAGCATAATACAAGACAAAAGAGAACAAACACTGATAATACAAGACAGAACAAGTATAATTATACAAGACGACATAGAACAAACATAATACAAGACATAACCACATGTAGAACAAGCATAGTACCAGACAAAACCACATGTTACTGTAGAACAAGCATTATACGTGACAAAATAGAACAAGGGCAATGTTAGTCAAAACCACGTGTAGAACAGGCATTATACTTGACAAAATAGAACAAGGACAACATCAGTCAAAACCACGTGTAGAACAAGCATTATACATGACAAAATAGAACAAGGACAACATCAGCCAAAACCACGTGTAGAACAGGCATTATACATGACAAAATAGAACAAGGACAATATCAGTCAAAACCACGTGTAGAACAGGCATTATACTTGACAAAATAGAACAAGGACAATATCAGTCAAAACCACGCGTAGAACAAGCATTATACATGACAAAATAGAACAAGCATAGTAAAAGACATAACCACATGTAGACCAAGCATAATATCAAACAAAATAGAACAAGCTTAGTACCAGACTAAAAACCACATGTAGAACAAGCACAATATCAGATTGATTGATTGAATGTTGGTTGCTTAAAATCCAGTGGCAAATGTTTTATGTATGTTCAGGACAAATTAACGATAAAAACAAAATGTAGGTCCTGTAATAGAGGCTGTCCGAGACTACCACTGATAAATTGCAACAGACCACCTACGGACCCCCCCCCCCCCCCCCCCCCAAAAAAAATATAAAGCTGTTGCAAGGTCTGACCGGACGTGGCTTCGTACTTGTACATCAAAATAGAACAAGCATAGTACCAGACAAAACCACATGTAGAGCAAGCATAGCAACAGACAAAATAGAACAAGCAAAGTACCAGACAAAACCATATGTAGAACAAGCACAGTAACAGACAAAATAGAACAAGCATAGTACAGACAAAACCACATGTAGAACAAGCATAGTTACAGACAAAATAGAACAAGCAAAGTACCAGACAGAACCACACGTAGAACAAGCATAGTATCAGACAAAATAGAACATGCAAAGTACCAGACAAAACCACATGTAGAACAAGCATAGTAACAGACAAAACAAAACAAGCATTGTACAGACAAAACCACATGTAGAACAAGCATAGTAACAGACAAAACAAAACAAGCAAAGTACAGACAAAACCACATGTAGAAAAAGCAAAGTAACAGACAAAACAAAACAAGCATAGTACAGACAAAACCACATGTAGAACAAGCACAGTAACAGACAAAACAAAACAAGCAAAGTACATACAAAACCACATGTAGAACAAGCACAGTAACAGACAAAACAAAACAAGCATAGTACAGACAAAACCACATGTAGAACAAGCACAGTAACAGACAAAACAAAACAAGCAAAGTACAGACAAAACCACATGTAGAACAAGCAAAGTAACAGACAAAATAAAACAAGCATAGTACAGACAAAACCACATGTAGAACAAGCATAGTAACAGACAAAACAAAACAAGCATAGTTCAGACAAAACCACATGTAGAACAAGCATAGTAACAGACAAAATAGAACAAGCATAATACTACAAAACAAAACCACATGTAGAGCAAGCATAGAGAAAACAAGAAGGATAAAAATGTAACCAGAATAAGACAAAAAGAACCACATTACGTGCAAAACAAAATCAGCTTAATACTAGACAAGGAGAACCATATCATAGTACTAGAAACTAGAAGCAGCATTTTGAGGATATAGGTGACTCTGAATGTAAGGTGATGTTGGGTTGTTTAGTACCCGACTTCACAAATAACAATAGAGACATGATTACGAGGTCAATATACGGTCTTCAACAACAAACAAGCGTCTGCTTGTCAGTTTAATACAAGTTTTCTAAACAATACCTAATGTTGAACATTCAGAGTCATCATCAACGATTTAATTTTTAATATTGTTTTAATTAATATCTCACCTGTGTGTTATTTTCGGCCACGAGTATTTGTAAATCCCTCACTATGACATGGCACACTTCGCACATTAAGTAATCCTTTTTTAGATTTGGATCAAATGATGGTGCACCTGAAATAATTTCAAGAAAATAGCATTTCTTTTGTTACAAAGCCGCATTAAAAAAATAATCTTATACTTATAAAACTGAAGATCAAAACAAAAAATTGAAAATGCACAAGAACATAATTTAAGAATTCTTAGTGTATGCTCTATCATATTGTTTAAGAAAGGCCTTCATAGTGTTAAGTTAGCGAAATCTTACGTAATCTTGATCTTCATACATCCAGTATCACTCAGTCTACCAAGTGTTTTTTTATAACGTAATCTGGATCTTCATAAAATCAGTCTAACATCTTGATAATATACCGTTAATTAGTTTGAAATATTATTTAGAATATGAAATTAACAAAGAGGAGAGAAATGTACCAAGCGGAAACTCAATCAAAATATTGGTAAGATGACTGCAGTTTATATATGCAGACGAATTTTGCAATTCATATAGGGATTAATGGGGTAATTATTTAATTTTTCAGCAAAACCTTACCCCATACAGAAGCCACAGAAATGAACAAAAATAAACTAATTTTCCAGATCATTTTTTTTATAATATCACATTCAGCTCATATACGAATATAATACAGAAAGGGACGGGCTGCGACAAAAGTCCGATAACAATCACGTGACTTTATACGACGTACAAAGTCATCACATGACCGATAAGCATGGCGGACCAAACAAGGTCGCAAGGAAAACATAGATATAAAACCATAAAAAGCAAGCGACAGCCACTGTGTGCTAGAACATCGTATAGCTGCCATAAACTATGCTTATTTCTGTATACACTTTGCTACCTGGTTAGTCTAGATTTGAAACCTGATCGGAAATATTGTAGTATTTTCGTGGCAAATTTTGCATAGAGATTTTTCAAGTTGTTTACTGTCCTAATAATTGTTTGCATGCAAAATCGGTGTTATCGCTTGACTATTATGAAATTGCGTAAATTTGACACTTGTTGTAGAAATATTTTATTTAAGTTATACATTAAAATCTGATATTTTAAGCAGCTAACAAGACTGGCTATACATGCTAAAATTATAAGATAATCTAGCTTGAACCTTACCCTGGACTTTATTATACTAAAATATTCAGATGCTTATAGTATAGAAGTATTTGCTGTGATATGATTGAAACTTCTATATTATTGATACAGATTTGCATTTATCAAGTTGTACATATCCTTCAAGTATTTAAATTGGTAATGAGTTCAAACAAAACTCAGATAAGTTGACCAAAGATTAAAGTTCAACATAACTTTGTGATAAAACAAAAATTGCAATACACATAGATATCTGTTATTTAGTTTAAAATTAACTAGATCTTTATGAAAATTAATATTAACCATGGGTTTAAAGGCTTGGAAATAATATCCTTTCTGAATATATGGATTTTATTATTAATTCATGACACAAAATACCTATAGATAATAGTTGTCAAAAATTCTATATGTATACACAGTTTAATGCTATAAGTACACACATGTGTCGGGTAATAACACCAATAAACGGACTGCTGCTGGAACAGGGTGATTGAACGTGATAACTCGCTGAACCCATGCACTGTTGTCTATCTGCATGATCTGTGTAATCTACAGACCAGCAATCATTGTAAACAAATAACTACCACAAATTGTATTCACAAATATAAACATTTTCCATAGGCCTGAATATTTAGTTGCTTTATACATGCTATAAAAAGGTTCAGTTGTCTTAAATGTCTTTTTTGTTTCTTGACAAGGCGGTGAAATATCTTAACAGTGAACAAAAATCTCCTAATTTCCCCCTTTTTCAACATTTTTTCACCTTAAAGTACATGTACATGAACTTGCTTGACTTTTAAAAATGAACGAATTATTGGGAAATACTTTTTATTAACATATTATAAAGTGAATCAATGAGTTAATATGAATGTTGATTGTAAGAACTTTTTAAACATTAATAATTTAACTGCAAAATGAAAGAACAAGAGAAGAAAAAAGAAAATGTAAGAAAAAGAGACTGAAGATACCAAATGTACATTCATAATTAAAGAACAATCTATAACCCCATGGGAATAAAACAACAAAAAGACAAACAAAACACTATACAGAAAGCTAAAGAGTGAGCAATTTATCAAAAACTGGGGTGATCTTAGGTGCTCTGGCATACATATCAAAGACAACAAAATTAAATAGGTATAAAAGGATGATACTTTAAATTCAAACAGATTCTGAAGAATTATCCTCACTGACCTGTAAAAGATTTTCCAATGAGGCCTATGGTTTTGTGTTTTGGAGGTTTGAAAAATTGAATGAGTTCACCTATAAATTCTGTTATTTCAGTTGATTGGGATTGCTTTGCTAGGAATTGGTATTTATGTTGAAGTGGAGAGGAGAGAATACACAGGCCTAGAGAAGTCCTTGTCTTTACCAGTAGCCATTTTGATATTCATTGGACTCTTCATATCTATTAATGGTCTCTGTGGATTGGTTGGAACAGTGGAAGAAAATATTTCCTTACTAAAACTGGTAAATATAAATAAATGTAGATGTCGGTTATATGACCATGAGACAGCAACCCAATATAAAATATTTACCATAAGACATCAGGGTCAAAATGATGTGTCCAGGTAGCTATATAGGTGACATATCTTTCTTTGGACTCACCTTGTGAACTATGGTTCATTATCATATCATATTAATACGTTCTTATCCTGATATGTATGTGATAATTGTTTCTGGACATTAAACACTAATTAATCATCAATATCATCCTACATTATGGCATGGAGGAAGGTATGTCCTGCAAGTTATGAGGGTCTGGATGGGGTTTACAGAATAGAGAACAATGGACAAATGTGCAGAATAAAGGACAAACAAAATACTGTAATATCAGAAATTATTGTGTGAATTTTGAAGAATGGACGTAAATGCGAGATTAATTATTGCGATTTCAGGAAAATATACATACATAAATATGCATCAGATATCAGAATGCGAGTTCTTATTATTGCAATACTCACCCAGTTGCATTATTCGCAATAACTTCTGAATTTACAGTAAAGAATAGAGAAAAATAGGCAAAAACAATTAAGAATAGAGAATAATGGGGTGCTAAAATATAAAGAATAGAGAATAATGGACAAAATATAAAAGAATAAGAGAAAATTGTATAAGACATCCAGACCCTCAGTTACAGATGGCCTTATTTTGTCCAAAATCAGATCAGTTTTACACCACATTTGCAGACAGTTATGATGTCATCAATTATCATATGACACCCTGTGACTATGGGATAACATAATGGACCCTCTGATGTTAAGGTTTTTAGTGGATTTGTCAGTCGTTGTCTGATTAACCTATAAACTTGACATTGGACTGTTCAATTTTTTTAAATCAGGTAATTTAATAAATAATAATCTATACTGAAATATTTTTAGAGATTAAATTTGTAGAATTTATTTTAAATTGTTGAATTTATATGTACAGGATAGGTGATAGAGGTTTTTTTCCAAAAGTACATGTTATCAATCATGTCAAACTGGCCAAAATGTAGGATTTGAATTTACGTGTTAGCAAAAATATTTTGAAGATAAGATCTGATTATTTAGGTATGATATCAGTCTATAAGTAAACATACTTGACACAGCTTGAAGAGATACTTTGAATGATAAAAAAAATATGAGTAAACAGAGATATTGAGTAAACACTGATGGGACAGCAATGTAACAATGCTAACAAATCCTTAATCTAGAAGTCAATGAAAATAACTCTTCATTAATTTTCAATTTTTGTATGTCTGAAGCACTTTTCTTGATTTACCTTCATTAGGAATATTTGAAAGTCCAAAGATTTATAAGATTAGCTTTATGACTAAAAAGAGATCTATAGATAATATAGCCAAATTCATCTAAGGTTAACATTCCCGAGGAAAATATAACCTTAGTTTCATAATAATTTCTTAATTTATGAACAGAGAATTGAGGAAAAGTGTGTTATAAATCATGTCAATAGTGAAGCACTAACTACTGAGTTGATGAAACCCAAGTGTACTAACAGTCCACATGAAGTGCTATGGACCCAGTGGTAGTAAATGAAAATAACTTTAAATTTATTTTGTAGTCTTCAACAATAGACAAGAATCTTAAACAACATTTCAAGCTCTAAATAACCTGTGTTTGCCTAAATATTAGAATACGTTACTTCATATCTAATCACAAAACTTTGAATACAAAAAGTAAAATAACAAAAATACCGAACTCCAAGGAAAATTCGAAACGGAAAGTGCTTTATCAAATGGCAAAATCAAAAGCTCGAACACATCAAACGAATGGAAAACAACTGTTATAGTTCTGACTTGGTACAGGTATTTCCTTATGTAGAAATGGTGTGTTAAACCTGATTTTATAGCTAGCTAAACCTCTTACTTGTATGACAGTTGCATAGAATTCAATTATATTGACAACTATGTGTGAGCAAAACAAACAGACAAAATAGGTCAAAATGTCAAAAATTGGGGGGGGGGGGAAGTCCTCACACATAATCCCCTTCTTGGTAGAGCTGAAAAAGAAGAAGATCTCCTCCTTTGTATCTCCAAAGGTTTGGCAGGTGAAAAAGTAGGCAATAAGTTGATTAAATAATACACTGTAGGATTACATGAGAGACATCTATATGAACCCATTTCATATCAAAGATAGCCTTCAAATATTCTTTTTTCAAGTTTGTGTCAGAACTCCATTAAAAAAATTACACAAAGTAATTTCAAAATTTCAAAAGAATTCTAAAATTAATTTTTCGTCATATCAATTAGTAATAATATAAGGAAGAAAAACTCTTTGTTGTATGTTCGACATGTAAATATTGATTTTTGTTTACATTTTAGTTCCTGGTTCTCTCAGTTGCTACTTTCCTTGTACAGATAGCAACTGCCATCTTGATATATGTGAATGGAACAGAAGTAAGTAATACTATAAGATAAAAAAAAATTGCACAAAACTTGTAGGGAGAAATATTGCATTCATATAAAGAATTTGTACTAAATATTCTGACAGCATGCTGCATTTCCTAAAATCAAAATTACCGATCGTGTGAGACCCTCATTGGTAGTCAAGGTCATTACAAACCCCCAAAGTCAGTAAAATCAGAATATGTAGAAAACAAGGATAAGATCACAAAAACATATATGCTTGTTTCATGCCTCATGGCAAAAAAAAAAACGGTAGGTAGGTAGATAAAATTATTTTATTTTTTAACCCCCAGAATCAGAACTATATTTTTGGCACTTAATATTTGTTTTATGATCAATATATCAAACAAGAAAACACTACTCTTTATTTTTTTGGTACACACTTAAGAATGTTTTAATTCATCTCAATTGATCAACAATCATTTCTGAGTATACAGGAGATGAAAGAAATACAACAAATAACAAATAAGTTGAGAAGAAGAAAAAATAAGCAAAAATAATTAGAATACTGGTGACTTCAAAACATGAAAAGGTGATAACAGAAAATCCTGCATTCTCAATCCCATCTGAAGTTTATTTCCATAAAGTATCAGTAAAAAAGCCTGTTTAAATTTGAAAAATAAAATCCAATGAAAATCCAGGAAATTTTGATTATGACGTAAAGGACAGTTATATTATGAACATACATAGATATCTGGCTTATTTTTCATATTATTTGTTTTATTATATTTATAGATATCAGATTTAGTAAGCTCTAAATTAGCATTAGTCTTAAATGACTTCAACAGAAATCCAGACATTAGAAGTACTATGGACACAATACAAGATAAGGTAAGATAATTCAAAGAAAAAAGTGGGCAGAGTAATAACTGACTATTTGGTAAAAGTTGCCATATGGGAAGACTGATAAGTTTTTAAAGGCAGTGCTTTAATGCCTTTCTGGTTGCCGGGTTAATCCTTCCTTCCGCGATATCCAACTTATCTACGTGGGGGGTCATTAGGCTCCAAGTAGATCCGGAAATATTGAATTCTCCTCTCCTTATTGTGATATAAAATGCTTTTTGTTTCATTTCATTTACATTGGGAAATAGAGAAACGATAATTGTGTTTTGTTAGTTTTAAAACCTTTTTATATATTTGTATTTTGCATTATAAGCAGTCAACCGATTGACAAACTAGAATTATTTGAATTCCGTGTGGAAAGAGGTCGGGTTAATTGCGAGTGTTATCTGCAATCTAGATGTTTATAAATCATTTCAGTCGTTGATATAATAATTAAAGGTTGACTGAACATGAATTATATTATACAATTTAAAGCGCATTTCTGTTTATGCACGTGAACCCATCTAACATTATTGTTATTTCGCAGTTATTGTAAGTAGCAAATTATCGTTCCTGAATAGGTGGTACCGTGGTAGCCGATCCTGTTCCTCAACTTCCGGTTTCTGCACTGAGTTACATTTTTAATTAACGATGCCAAGTACTTGTTGTTGTGTACCTGGATGTCATTTAAGAGGAGGACATGCATTTCCAAATGACTTAAAAAGAAGGAAAAGTTGGATCAACGCCATGGCCCATACGCAGATTGGACGAGAACACGATGAAATCGTGGAGTCCATCTCAATCAGCTGTTCAACTGTCAGGCTGTTGTTTGCAAGGCACATTTTACTGAAAAAGACTACGTGCAGGAAACTATTCATGGTAAAACTCTATTTTCTTTTTGAAATATATAGTTATATATGTAATCGCCATGCGAATAAACCAAAGACTGTTTACAACCGCAATTATAGTATTAGAATAAAAGGGGTGGTTAATTCAAGACGTCAGAATTTTTTGGATTACGATTCAGTGTGATCTGTTTGAGATTTTTTGGTGATTGCTACAATTATAATGATTTCTTACAAGAGGTATATCATACTGAGAATTATTTTAGCAGTAATTATGCTAATGTAGTAATGACAGGAATGCATAAGCTATGCCTCATAGACTTTCTTGAAAAATATCAATGACAATGTTAACAGGAACAAAACAATGACATGCTCTCATCTATATAATAGTTATTTAGGTACAAACAATGTACGTTTGTTGCATAAGTCTCTCATTGTTTGTCCTTTGGATTTACATTATATACATTGAATCAGGCAAACATAGTTTTATCCAGATTGTAATGAATAAATCTAGATAATATTTTGCCAGGTAGTACAAAGTATACATTGCTAATGGAAGTTCATTTAATTTTCAAAAAACTAATGTTTTATAACCTTTTTCAGGGCGCAAACCCACCATACAGAGACTTAAGTCTACTGCCATTCCCAGCCTATTTTCCTGGACCAAGCAAGAGACTGAATCGTCCGCAAAAAGAAAAATCAGGGCAGTTTCCTGTGAAAACAAAAGAACTAAACTTGATGAATATTGTAGTCGAAATCTAGAGGAAAGTTTGATTGTAAAGTTGGTTTTCCTGAAGAAGTCATTCATACTGCAGAAAGGATTTATGACTGTCCACCACCAACTGCCGAGCTAATTATGAGGTTCACAGATGGAATTACGCAAACACCATCAATGTCTATGTTTTCATCAGAGAATTTTGAAATGAAGACATGTGACACAGCCATGCATTTTTATACCGGTTTAGAGTTGTATACTAAATTTTTATTTGTTTTGACCACACTTGGTCCAGCAGCACATTGTTTGAGAGACATATATTTTCAAATTGATAGGGTGTCAGTTGAAAATCTGTTTTTTTATGACTTTGATGAAATTGAGGCATTATACAACCAACTTTGAACTGTCTAGATTCTAGATTGAATCTAGTGTTAAGAATATTGTGTATACATGGATTGTTTTTATGTCTAAACAGTGGTGTGAGGCTAACACTTGGCCATCTAGTGGTTTAGTCAGGTATTTTTCGCCATCCAACTTCAAATTAAAGTTTCCTACAACTTGGATTATTATTGACAGCACAGAATATCCCGTGATAAAACCTAAAGCTCCTAGAGCTCAGGCAACCTTTTCATCATATAAAAACAGAAACACTGAAAATACTTGTATGTTCGACACCTGGTGGTTTAGTCAACTATGTCTCTAATGCAAATGTTGGTTGTACCAGTGACTGTGAAATAATGTAGTTGAAAGATGTAGAATAGTTCAATTATGTGATCCAGGTGACAGTGTGATGGCAGACAAAGGTTTAAATGTGCAAGATTTGTTTGCTAACTTTTTTTCAAAAAAAAAAAACAGAATTAGTTCCAAAACTCTTATACAGGATAGAAAAGTCTCTAATTAACACGTGCACATAGAGCGAATTATTGGACTTGGCAAAACATACAAAATTCTAATAAATCCTATGAATGGAACTAAAACAAAACTTTCATCTGAAATTTAGCATTTTTCAGAAATAACATTTAGTTGTTTTATGTTGTGTAATTTTAGAACTTGTATTGTGCCAAAGGATGCATAAATAAAAGTGACGCAATGAATTTTGTTCTGATATATATATATTTACACATGTAAATTGTAATGCATATAAAAATAAGGAGATGTGGTATGATATTCAGTGAGTTTATCGAACCAAAGTGCATAAGAAATGGGTTTAAGCAGTTACAGGTGTTACTGTCACTGTACAATCTCCAACAATGAGAAAAACTCTTACCATGTAAAATATTTCGGAGATCTTACAACTAAGTTTTGTTGTCTCACCTTGACTTTGGTGAATTGTTTATATCTGTTGATGTAAAAATAAAAAAGAAGATGTGGTATGATTGCCAATGAGACAACTCTCCACAAGAGACCAAATGACACAGAAATTAACAGCTATAGGTCACAGTACGGCCTTCAACAATGAGCAAAGCCCATACTGCACAGTCAGCTATAAAAGGCCCCGAAATGACAATGTAAAACAATTCAAACAAGAAAACTAACGGCCTAATTTATGTACAAAAAATGAACGAATAACAAATATGCAACACATATAAACAAACGACAACCACTGAATTACAGGCTCCTGACTTGGGACAGGCACATACATGTACATACAGAATGTGGCGGGGTTAAACATGTTAGCGGGATCCCAACCCTCCCCCTAACCTGGGACAGTGGTGTAACAGTACAATATAAGAACGTACTATAAAAATCAGTTGGAAGAGGCTTAACTCATCAGATGGATAAATACAAATACAAGTGGACGTGGCCGGGTAGTTGTACATGTACATCCAAACAACAAAAAGACACTAAGTACAGATCTGAGAATACTTGCAGTTACTGACAGCTAGTTCAAAGCCACTAACAACTGATAAAAAAATCTTGCATCTAAGACTAAATTATCAATCCGTAAGCTCCCTTTAGAATTTTATAAATTTTAGATTTTACATTTCTGAGTTATGGGGTATTATTCATTAAAAAAGGGGTGATTTTCCAGTTTTTGGACAACTCAAAAATGCTTTATGCAGTTCGCATGAAACTTTGGTGAATTATTTATAGCTATTGATGTAATCTCCCTATAGATTTTCAAAAATTTCAAATATGACATTGAGAAGAAATTGAACTTTATTTGTTTATAGTCTGGCAACAGATTTATTAAGTATTGTGCAACAGCACAGTGTATTGCACAACAGCAAGAAATCTTTAATTGAATATAAATTCAATTCATATAACCGATTTCAAGTTCTTTGACTACATTTATTCAGAAACTATAATATGTCAAATATTTAATTACAATCCAAATTCAGACCTGTATCAGAATATTGAATATTGAGTCCATTTTTGCCCCAACTGTTCAGGGTTGGACCTCTGCCGGTGTATCCAGCTGCGCTCAGCGAATCAGTTTATTTCTTAATTAAGAACTCCTTTTTGCATTCATAAATTACTTTATACTTGGAAATATAATTTTGCTTGTAGTTATAGTTTCTAAAAAAAGTATTGTCATTGAAAGAGTTGACATGTTGCAATGTACATTTATTCTACATAGTTCTATGGTACCAAATCAAAAGTTTATATAAAAGAAAGAAGTCAAAGGTTTCCCATCATAGTTTAGTTACATACATTTTTTTTGTACCTGAGTTCATTGAATATAGATCATTATATAAATAAGGAGATGTGTTATGATTGCCAATGAAACAACTATCATCCATACTTACCAGTAACAAACCACATTTGCAAAGTTGAATAAAATACAGTTGATAACATTTACTTATTACTAAAAAGAAATTGCCTAACTATTTTAAACAGTATTTGACTATAAACATAGATAAAAAAAGGTACAAACTGGACATAATGCACTAGTTCATAAAGAAGTGAGAACAATCGCCTTTATATAGTGCTCAGAATAAGACATTCATAAAACTTGTTCAATATCATTAGAGAACTATAAATCTTAAATACTGAAAGCCACCTCTGATAAGTACAATGTACTATGCAAGATAATGATATAACTGGACTAAAAATACACACAACCTGTAATTAACTGCCTTTACAGCGCTTTCGCGCTTTGATTTATTTGTAGGTATACAATCATAAGAAATATGTATAACATTTGTTTTCATCCCATTTTCTAATGTCCTGATTTAAGTCAGCAAACTCTGTGATATTTTTTAAAACACAGATAGCTGGTATTTTAACCAAAACAATGATAAAATGCTAAAAGGTTGTCAAATCTAGCATAATTCTGTGGTCCATAGGATTTCATATCTGCTTTGACATTAATACCCATCAGTAAGCCTATTTCAAGAAATGTTTTCATTTCCTCAGTACATTTTGTATTTGGTATAACCCATGGCGATTTATTTTCATCAGGATGCTCTAGAATTAGTTTATTAGCATACCTATCTGTCTCCTGTATGATGAATTTCAAGATCTCATTTGTAAACAGCAGTGGGGAAAAAATCATATGGCTCTTAATAATAGGTATGGTTACATTTTCATTGTTAAAAAAGTATAGGGTATGTCAATAGGGACTTTTTTCATATATAGAATATACATATTAAAGACACATAATGACTTCAAAATATTTAAAAGCTGGTTATACATGTAGTAAGGGCTAAAAATTAAGATAATGGGAAACTGGAACCACTTGTTTTATTTGGCATTACTTAAACAAAGAAAATTGTGAATCTGATTTCCTTTTAAAAGAATTATCTGATTCCTATGTGTAATATTTTATTTATTTTTAGTATTCTTGTTGTGGGATAAGTTCATGGCATGATTATGTAGACTATGCAGATGCTTGCAGAGAGAGATGTACTTATGGAAATACATGCAATAGCCAGTGTATATTTCCACAGTCTTGTTGTTCCTTGCCAAATGTAAGAATTATGGGATTAGGAATGGTTCCAGAAAGGGTCTTTAAAACTAGACACTCTCAACATAGATGAATATAATTGCACATAGATGAATGTATTTTATGATAACTTTTGATTTTTGAGCATTTTGACCCTTGATATCTTTGAATTAAGGGTATGCATTTAAAAGTTTTTGGTCCTAATATCTTGACTCTCGGAGCATGTTTGCTGGTAAAATAAATATGACTTCTGAGATTGCTTATAAAAATTAGGAGATGTGGTATGATTGCCAATGAGACAACTATCCACCAGAGTTCAAATGAGGAAAATATAAGCAATTATATATTACGGTACGGCCTTCAACAATGAGAAAACCACATACCGTATAGTCAACTATAAAAGGTCCCGACATGAAAAATGTGAAACAATTCAAAGGAGAAAACTAAAGGCCTGATTTATAACAATACAACAAAAAAAATGACAGATGTGAACTGAAAACAACCACTGAATTACAGGCTCCTGTCTTGGGACAGGCACTTAAAGAAAGTGGCGGGGTTAAACATGTTTGTAAGTGCACAACATAAGAGCAAACTTAAAAATAAGTTGCAAATGATTAATCTCAATAGATAGCTACGAAGCACAAAAAAAAACAACAAAGCACCTAGTATTTTTTTTATTAAATTGCTGTTTCATTTTGAATAAGCATAATTTTTATCAGCATATGGGGCATTGTCTTGTCTTTATTTCTGAGATATCAATATATAATTTTGTTGTTCTACTTTTGTGATAATTATTTTTTAAATTTGTTATTTGGGCATATAGGAGATGTTACTTATATTAATATATAATTCAAACTATTTTGAAGAATTTGTTGCACTACATTTCATTTTACAGTTTTGGTTACCTCCCTTTATATAGATATGAGACACTATATGTTATTTTGCAGGTTCCACAAAGTGCCATTAACTGTACCAGTAATAAAGTGTCAGAGGTATGCTTGTATTTTTATAGCAATTTAAATATATTAATACTTTGGGGAAAGTTATTAAACAATAATGGCCTTCATATTAAAAAGTTAATATCCAAAATTATTACGTTAAGATAAGGCTATTTTCCCCTAGGTTCAGAGGACCAAAGAACATAACCTTTTCAAGATTTGAAAAAACAATTCTATAAATTTTGATAAAGCATACAAATGTATATGTATTTTCATACTGAACTGAATATGAGGGAATCCTTTACAATTTTTTTAATTATCAATTTAACATCAACAAGTAAATTATATCCTCCATATGTCAAGAACTCTTTGTTCGTTTAGATGGTTAACTCCATCTTTAATCTGATCTTGTCATTTCACTTTATTCATTTTAATTTTAATCTATTTTCTTTTATTTCAGAAATCATGATTGTTTCAATTATGTATTATTTTTTTTTTTGATAGAAAATTTAAATACTCCTAGTGAAAACCTAGTCACTTTTGCACAGGTAAATATTGTGCAAGTAATGTGTTTTGTCGTGCAAAACATAGGACAAATTTACACAAACATAACACGTTGGTTAGCCTCAACAAAATTGAGGAAGACATAATTCCTAACTGATTGTACAAGGAAAAAAGAAAATAATTAATTGTCAAGACTTTTTGTAAGTGAAAGATACCAGTAGGTAAGAAAATCTGTAAACCTGTTGTTTTTGTCAATATTCAAAAAATGTCTTGTTAAAATTAAAAAAATTACAGATAAATAAAACAAGTTTTCCATTGTTCAGGTTCTGCAAAATTTTCTTAACCTTGTAGTTATTTTATTTAGGTACCTCCATCCATGACAATTAAGAATGGTTGTTTTATTTAGGTACCTCCATCCATGACAATTAAGAATGGTTGTTTTTATGCCTTTGTTGATTGGTTGAGTGATAGGATGGATCTGATTGGTGCAACAACTTTGGGCCTGGCATTACCACAGGTTAGTACCACAAATTCATCATGCTTATTTTCCTCCCCGAAAGTCGCAGAAAGCAAGACATAGGTGTTGCTTTATCTGGCGGCGGCGTTGGTGGCGTCAACAATTGTTAAGTTTTCTGGTTAAGTCAGTTTGATAGGAACTACTTATGATAGATGAATGACATTTTCTATAAAGTTGCATTACTATCAGTACATATCAGTGTAACGACTATTTCGAGGCCCTGTCCCCATAGGTCATGGTCCAGTGACTTTCAATTAATTATCAATTTTCAATTTTAATTTTTCTGCTTATTAAGTTAGTTTGATAGGAACTCCATAGGATAGACAATGATATTTTCTATAAAATTGCATTACTATCAGTACATTTCAGTTTGAATATCATTTTGATGCGCTGCCCTCTATGTCATGGTCCTGCAACTGTGAATTAATCAGCAATATTGCTGTCCATTTGATTGTTTTTTTTCTGAATTTTCTGTGGACAGGCAAGACATTTCTCTGTGTCAACAGTTTATTAATTCAGTTTTTTCAAACATTATGGCATTTGTGGGAATTTGGTATCCAAGCAATAAGGATGAAGCCACAGTCCACATTAGACTTGTACGCAGACTTTGGCAAAAAAATCAAATATCAATGAATATCTATTTTTTTCCACATCCACAAAAAATTGGTACCCACGAAAATAAATGAATCCATAGTTTGCAGGAATGAAATTGAAACAAATATTCAATAGATTTGTTTTCTATTTTAATTCTATTTTGTCTAATTTTAGGTAGCAGGTATAATATGGGCTTACCTTGTACTTAGAAAAATCAGAGAATACCAGTGCTGGTATACTGTGGAACTTGCTTCAGATTATGAAAATAAGCTTTGAATTTCCGGTAAGTTTGCAAAGGCTGTTAAAAATAAATTATCAAGGAGGGAGAAGGTTAGGGTTAAATAACATGCTTTTCTACTCACATCACCAATGCAAATTAGGTGATACTATAGGGGTTAGAGCAATCTTGCAAAGACTTGCATTCACCTTGTCCATCTATATGTCTGTCTGTCTTTTTATTATACAATCGCAAAAAAAAAAATTTGCGGTTGTATATTGGTATCACATCGTTTTCGTCGTCCGCTTCGTCCGAAGACATTTGATTTCCAGACAATAACTTTAGTATTAGTAAATAGAAATCTATGAAATTTAAACACAAGGTTTATAACCACAAAAGGAAGGTTGGGATTGATTTTGGGGGTTATGGTCCCAACAGTTTAGGAATAAGGGGCCAAAAAGGGGCCCAAATAAGCATTTTTCTAGTTTCCAGACAATAACATGTGGAACAGTATATGGAACTCTCTGAAATTATACCACAAGTTCCATACCACAAAGGGATGGTAAGAATTGGCTTTGGGGTGTTATGGCTCAAACCGTTTAGGAATTAGGGGCAAAAAAGTGAGAAAAAACAAGGGTGTCCTGGTTAATGGACAATTACTTAAGTACAATGTTTTGTTTGAATTCCCTCCCTTACACTGCTTTTAAAATATGTATAAAGAAATGTTGTATTGTCTTGAGGTGATTAGCTGTCAATTTATTTTTAGAATTAGTATTTTAATTCTAATATGATGTATTTAAATGGGTTATTATGGTTGCAAACTCCATTGGAAATTTGAATTGAGATAATGACCCTTTCTTGAGGGAAAGAATTTTTTTTGGAAAAAGGGGGGGGGAGGTTAAAAAAAATGTGTGTGGGGGGGGGGGGGGGTAAACAAAAAAGTGGCCCAAATAAGCATTTTTCTAGTTTTCAGGCAATAACTTGTGGAACGGTGTATGGATCTCTCTGAAATTGTACAACAAGTTTTTATGCCACAAAGGGATGGTTAGAATTGACTTTTGGGGGTAATGGCTCAAATTGTTTAGGAATTAGGGGCAAAAATGGGGGAAAAACAAGGGTTTCCTTGTTAATGGACAATCACTTTTTTAAGTACAATGTTAAATTTGGATTACCTCCCTTACACTGCCTTAAAATTATGTATAATGAAATTTTGTATTGTCTTCAGGTGATTAGCTGTCAATTTATTTTTAGAAGTTACTAATAAAAGTGCTGATTAAAGATATATTATTTTTAGACATGATTATGTATGTCATTTTCTATTTTAAGACTTATGATGTATTTAAATGGGTAATTATGGTTGCAAACTCCATTGGAAATTTGAATTGAGATAATGACCATATCTTGAGGGAAAGATTTTTTTTTTTTGAAAAAAGGGAAGGGGGGAGGTGAAAAAAAATTGTGGGGTAAACAAAAAATTGTGGGGGGGGGGGGGGGAACAATTTTTTTTTCTCATTACAGATTTCAGAAATTAAAAAGAAAATTTCTTCAAATATTCAAATTTTGCCAAGGGGGGTGAAATTTTTTTTTTTTTTTTTTGGGGGGGGGGGGGGGGGGGGTCAATTCGCAACAGCATAGTGTATTGCACAAAAGCAAAAAATTAAATACAAATTCAAATCATATAACCAATTCTAAGTTCTTTGACTACAGTTATTCTGTATCAGAAACCTATTATGTAACAAACATTTACTTTTTTAAATTTTGACTTGGATGGAGAGTTGTCTCATTGGCACTCATACCACATCTTCGTATATCTATTTAATTTCAATCCAAATTCAGACCTGTATCAAGCATGAATATTGTGTCCATTTTTGCCTCAACTGTTCAGGGTTGGACCTCTGCGGTCGTATCCAGCTGCGCTCGGCGAAGCATTTTATTTTTGTTTGTTTTGTCAAGTAACATGTCACTGAAAACAGATAGGTTTGAAATGTAGATACAATTATTATTTCTAATTTATTGTTTACTGTGTTGAAGTTTACATTTACTTTCTTATCTTTCACATTTATTTTAGAATATCATATTTTAAGGTTGGAAGTCTTTGAAGAATAATATTTAAATCTTATCTTTCAACACTTGTTTATATACAGTTACAAGGAATTATGAAACTGGGAGGAAGTTATTTTAAAAAAGAGCTTGCAATGTTACACTTTTAGAGACTTGGGGTCATTAATTTTTAATCACTTATTAAATGTATTTCACTTTTCTTTCAGATTTCTCACAGATTATTACACCTCTGACAGCATATAGAAGTCCCAAAACATGGTTGTCTTACCTAAAGTACCTCATATTTTGTTTCAAAGATTTAAAGATAATTTTTTGTGCAACAAAACTTATGGAAAAGGTCAGGTTTAAAACAAAATAATTGCTATAATTTCTTTAATTCAAGATGATAAAACATTGAAAAAAAATCACCATGAGATGTAACCACTTAAATGTTTGGTTTATTTAAATGTTTTGCTTTAGATTTGAAACATGAGTGAGTTTTCTCCCTTTACAATAAAAAGCATTTTGATGAAGATATCAGAATTAATTAGTAGTATATCGTATAGATATTAAAAACTGATAATAAAGACAATTAATAAGAAGAGAAATGAGAAATACCAATTCCATTTTGAAAAGTTTACTTTAATAATAAAGATTTTTATTCATATTATTATTAATGATTTCATGCCAGTAGCTTTATCCTATGTGTTTGGTCATTTACACCAATATTCATATTTTCACCTTTATTAGATATTTTTCAGTGATTTTTTTTTGGCTTTTGAAGTCAGTTTAAATAATTTTGGACAAAATATGATGCACCATTCTTTAACTTTTAGGTAGAGTAAAAAAGATGAAACAAATATACCACTTATTCAATGTATTTTCAAAGTGTCATATCTTACATTTAATATCATATATAACAATAGTGCAATATGTTAAATCTGCAACATCAAGAAGCATTTATGTAAATATCCCTGTTTACTTGTTGAAATTGTTTGTTTATTTTTTACAATCTGTAGTATTTTCAGCATTGGTTTAATGCCTTTTAAAGTCATTGCCTTGCTTTGGTTCAGAGCCAATATCTTGCTTGCTTAGCTTTCTCTTGAAGGAATGTTTCCATTTACATTTGAAATACTGTAAGTTCTAAAACTTTTGGACTGTTTGTATTATTGTGAAGGTAGGTGCCGAAAAAAAAAATGAATTGGCATTTTAAATTTTGACAGCATTATTTGGAATCAGCTTTTTCCTGACATCACAATAATTAAATTTGCATTTGTGTAGATTGTGGATTGTTCTATAATCTCAATAAGGGCTATTCCATTAAAATGTATGTGGGAGGGTAGGAAAGGACTTTCAAAATATCCCTACAACCAAGAACCATTTTTTAGATGATTTTGCATAATGGTAATAGACGCATACTGCAAAAAGACCCATGACCCACATTCAATAATTAAACTTCCCTTCCTACCCTCCCACATACATTTTAATGGAATAGCCCTAATAAACACATGCAATAATTTCTGATGTTACACTATCCTTTATCCTGATTGAAACAGATATTCCTCTATAAACAATTGATCTTTAGAGAAGATCAGAGTCAAGTAAATCATAAAAATGAAGCCTCAAGAACAGTTTGACCCTAAAAATCTTAAATTCAACCTTCACCTTCATGAAAAAAATCACTTTAAAGTAAATTGAAAGGCAAACTGTAAGCTAATCCTAGAAATTTTAAAATCCAATACAAATTTTTTGTTATGCAAATTGTGTGTATATAGCTTTTATTGTGTCCATCTTTTTATAATTCCTTCCATCCAAATTATAATAGGTGTTCAGACATTATTTGTTGTACCTGCAGATTTATTTAGTTGGTTATGTTAATGTATAACAAAGTTACGAGTTGATTGTGCATGTTGTTCTAGTTGACCCACTTTTGACAGAGTTATTGCCCTTGTCCATGTCTTATTTACTGCAGGGAGTTGAAATTGTATAATACTTAAACCATAAGAAGATTCAATCCAAGCTACTAGTTTTCAACTAGCTGTCAGTTGATTGGTCAACTGTCTGTCTTCACTTCTAAATTTGCTTTTATTTTAATTGTGAGAGTTGATCAAATTGTATGTTACCAAAGTGTTACTTTTCTCACTTGCCCAACAGGCCTAGGATTAAGTGAGCTTTACTTTTTATTTTGTAGTAGTGTTCTATTCCAAATAAATAACTTGATCTGAAAAGAAAAAAAAAATAATGCAACTAGAAACAAATCTCAATTCCAATTGGTCAATTGTCAAATTTCTATGTGAACAAGACTACATGATATTCATTGCCATCCCAGTATTTACTTGCAGTAAAATTTGTCACAAAACACTTTGAAAAATATAAAAATGAAATTATAATCATTTTTTTTTTAACCCCATTATTAGTTTACTTATATCGATAAAACTAGGAAAATATGTTTTATATGTTATACGAAAAATACTTAGATGATGACTTAATATTCTTGAATTTTGCCTTTAACTACAAAGCAGAAGCCTTCAAATAATTATTTAATCGTATTTGACATTGAATGACAGGAAACTTCACTCTTTGCTATTTAAAAGTTCAGCACCTCAACCAACAGGAGATTCTTAAACTCTGCAATGTACAAGCATAATATTAAAAAATATCTTATTGGAGAATGCTAAACTTGAGTGGTGAATAAAAAAAATCGTCCAAGATACTGAAAGGCTCATAAGGCTTATGTAATTTTATGTGAATTTTGAAGAACAAAATGCTTTATAAACCAAATGTACGTTATAGTAATTTAGCACATCAATGATCTTAAGTACAAGTCTGTGATTTTTATTTAATTTGTAAGGATACTGTTAGTTACAAGAAAATAGTTGTTAGTACAAAATGTCATTAGTATTAGTGTTGTAATTTATTTATTTTATGATATTATAATTCACTTTTATTGTTATTTCATGTATATTATAAAGTCTTTCTATTTATCTTTCTGTCTCACATGTTTACGCTTTCTTTATGTTTATTTTTATATTATATAATATTGGTATTGTTTACGAGGCATAATGTATATTTAAATAGGATGTGGTTTCTATAGGGTTACAATAGAGCAGTTATTTGTTGATAGAGCAAAACATTTTATTGATTCAATGGGAGAAAGACTTTTTACAATTTTTGTTTTTAACAAATACTGTATTGACAAATAGAAAAATTGTGACTAAAGTATGTTATTTTATTACATTTTGCCCGCACTTTTTTTATCCTAGATTTGGCATTGAAGGAAACCTGTATTACTTTTCAGGAAAGGATATAACTTGTATAAATTATAACTTCAAAGTGAATTCAGGATTCAGGAAAGTACTTGGTAAAAAGAGATTTTTAGAGTAGGAAGTAACAAATACAAAAATGTAAATGTGAAATAAGATCTTGTATGCAAAAATTAAAAACTTTTAATTAAGCAAATAAGTAAACTAATAAAATATTACATATATTGGATTTGGATAAAATATTTATGTAAGCTTTAGTCCTGTAATAGGTCATAAGATCTTGAAGATGGATCTGTCAAGTACTTGTACCTTTATTTAATTATTCTCAACTAAAGAAAATTTTGACTCAAAGCTGATGTTTTAACCTCAGGTTTTATTGCCACAATCCTAAATATCAGCTGAAATGATTGGTTTTATGATATATTGGAATTTTTTTTTATACACAAGGCCAGAATGGGTTTTAATGTTCTATTTTCTTTAATTGAAGTATTTTGCATTTGGTCATCTCATGTATTCGCTGCATCTTTTGCTCTACCAATATTTTCGGCAAAGGTTGTGTTTCTGTTTCTTCAAATTGTTTGTTTTAGTTAACATAGTCTTATTTATATGGCAGCAGTGTTCAAAATAAGTGCCCACACAATATATGTTGGGCTATTAATCGTCTGTAGAAATTTCCCCCACTGAATACATTGTGTTTAAAAATAACATTGAAATCGCAGTATATGTACATGATTTTAGATCTGTGTGAACCAGTAGGTGTTTTGTTCTTACCAATTACCCCCATAAGATTGAATCAAGTTTATGGTGTTTGGAATTGAAAATCGGACATTATGTCAAGTGATTGGAAAAAACAGCTGTCAATCAATTACGAATAACTCAATATTACCTTGAGAAGGAGTGACTAAGAGTATAATGTAAGAGAAGATGGTATTTTTAGACCTTATGTATTTTGTCAACATTTGAAGACTTGGAAAGCGTTAGCAAATCTTTTCCTTAGACTAGTCTGGTGAGGTAATTTTACCACTTATTTTGAACATAATCTTGATAGAATTAGCAAAATATTTCTTTACTTAGCCTTGCACATGTAAGCTTATTTACTTGGTATATTTTTAAACACTGCTTTTTGGGTATTGGTGTAATAATTTATGTACATATCACCATTAGTATTTTATTAATACCCGGTAGTGTTGGGGTTATACAGTACTTACATATGTGTGATCCTATAAATAGATTTTACAAATATTTACTCATGTTGATTGTGTTCAGTTGTTTTGCTTAAATAAAAATAGTGCCTTTAAAGTTGTTGTTTTGAAATTGAATTTCATTTATTTTCAAAACCACAAATATCTCATATGAATAAGGAAATGGGGAGTAAGGATCTATGAAACAGCAGCCCAAATACACAAATAAAAGTAAATAAACTCATCATAGATGCCAGGATTCAAAGGAGTAGGCCTGGTAAAACCCCTTTTTGGCCCCCAAAATATAGCATTTTTACAAATTTGTTGAAAATGTAAACTGTTAGCTATTTATTAAGAATGTGAATACTTTTGTTACATAAATATGGGCTGTTTTTGACAATACAATGGACATGCATCAGGTACAAGCATCATTATTTCAAATCTTCACAATTTTAGCATTTTTGTCGAGCCTTCGACTTTAGTCGAAAAAGCGAGACATAGCGATCCTACATTCCGTCGTCGTTGTCGTCGGCGGCGTCCACAAATATTCACTCTGTGGTTAAAGTTTTTGAAATTTTAATAACTTTCTTAAACTATCCTGGATTTCTACCAAACTTGGACAGAAGCTTGTTTATGATCATAAGATAGTATCCAGAGGTAAATTTTGTAAAAATAAAATTCAATTTTTTCCGTATTTTACTTATAAATGGACTTAGTTTTTCTGCCGGGAAATATTACATTCACTCTGTGGTTAAAGTTTTTAAAATTTTAATAACTTTCTTAAACTATCCTGGGTTTCTACCAAACTTGGACAGAAGCTTGTTTATGATCATAAGATAGTATTCAGAAGTAAATTTTGTAAAAATAAAATTCCATTTTTTCCGTATTTATTTATAAATGGACTTAGATTTTCTGCCAGGAAACAACAAATTCACTCTGTGGTTAAAGTTTTTAAAATTTTAATAACTTTCTTGTACTATTTTGGATTTGTACCAACTTGGACAGAAGCTTGTTTATGATCAAAAGCTAGTATCTAGAAGGAAATTTTGTAAAAAAATAAATCCGTTTTTTCTGTATTTTACTTTTAAATGGACTTAGATTTTCTGCCTGGAAACAACACATTCACTCTGTGGTTAAAGTTTTTAAAATTTTAATAACTTTCTTATACTATTTAGGATTTGTACCAAACTTGGACAGAAGCTTGTTTATGATCAAATGCTAGTATCTAGAAGGAAATTTTTTCTTCCAGTTAACATAACATTCAGTCTGCAGTTAAAGTTTTTAAACATTTATTAGATTAATAAACTATCCTGGATTTTTACCAAACTTGGACAGAAGCTTCTTACAATCAAAAGATAGTATCAAGAGGAATATTTTTATTGATTTACTTCCTCATTTTTGCTGAGCCTGCGATTAACAGAAAAAGTAGGCGAGACACTGGGTTCCGTGGAACCCTTACGAATTTTTTCTAAAGTTAAGACAGTTTTTGTCTAAAATGGAAGTGGACGCACTAGTGTTCAGTCTTAATATTTAAATATATGTTGTATTTAATGATAATACATAACACATATAAATGTTGAGACTGAACACGAATGCGACCACTTCCATTTTAGACAAAACCATCTGAAAAGTTATGTTTTATGGCATATTTGATTAATTTTTTATATTTAAGCTTGAAATAGAGCGTCTTTAATGATCAAATCAGTTCAAATCTTTAACATTAACTAATTGAATCAACTGAAGTAGACACTGAAATGTTTAGAAAATGTAAAAAGTTTTCAAAAGATGAACTTTGAATTTTAGGCCAAATTTAGCCTGTACCGGACCTTCTCCTTTCATACGCTTGACTCGTGTTATGTCTACTAAAGACTCATCAGTGATGCTCGAATAAAAAAAGTTAAAAAGGCCAAATAAAGTATGTTAAATCATCACAAGTATGAGTAAAAATTATGACACATACATTTTCACTTTGTTAAAGATACTCATGAGTTTCCGTTGCTTGATTGGAATGAAACTTATAAAGAAGGAAGATATAGGGAAGGGGAAACACTTGATTTTGAGGCAAATATGTCAATGGTCAAGATGATTGTTACTTAAAATAGAACAAATGAAAATTTTTTACTTGAATTTCTCTTTCTTGATTGGAATGGAACTTGTGCAGATAGAAGATAAAGGGAAGGGGAGGAAGCTTATTATGCATTTGAGGCTAATAGGTCAAAGGTCAAGGTCTCTGTTACTAGAAATAGAAAAATAGTCGACAAAAAGGTTTACAGCTGGTAGATTGGGTTTCTCTTGCCTGATGGTAATGATAGTGCATGTTTTATTTGTCCCTCCAATAGATATAAGAAGATGTGGTATGAGTGCCAATGAGACAACTCTCCATCTAAGTCACAATTTATAAAAGTCCAAACATACTAGTATTTTAAACCCTTCAAATTAAAATGTTTTCTCTCAGTAAATGTGCAATAGGGGGGGGGGGGGGGGGGGGGGGGGGGGGGTGTGTGTAGGTTAACAGAGCCAGATTTTTACTTATTTGTTTTGATTCCATTTCAGTATTCTGTAAGTGTAAAGGAAACATGAGAATCGGTTAACACTTACATGGATCAATGAAAAGTGAAAATGAGCATAAGGTCCTGTCACACAGACATGGTAACCATAATGTGATTGTATAGACCCAAAAAGAGTAGTTGATCAATTAATTATAGAAATTGAGAACCTGATTGGTTATGAAACTTCAATGAACCATTTGAATGAGGTCAAGGTTGGGTGAACCTTTATAAATTAGCATTATGCCTTAATATGCTAACCTATGGCTAGTATTAGATCCAAGGTATACTAGATATAAATATTACTGACGACCTTGCAAGACCATCATGGGTAGTCAAGGTCCTTAAACACCCCTGTTGTATTACAATTTTCAATCTGAACTATGAAGCTTTATGCAAGTAAATTATGCCATATGACTTTTAGCATCTTCTATATCTTCCCTTCTGCAACTTTCATTGTAGGGAGTCAAAAGTAACGTTCATTCTTATTTTCTTTATTTTTTACAAAATCAAATAAAACGAGTGGATAACCACTGTTTGATTATCTTCCCATTAATTCAACAAATTTGTGCAAAAGTTACCTCCCCTGTCAGAATCATAGTTTTATTGATTTGTCTATAAATCATCATTTCTAATGAATCATAAAATATTTTAAGAAAAAATTGTGATGATTTAGGCACATGTATTATCAAAAATTATGTCTACGAATTCTCAGTTTTGTTCGATGTTTAAAAAGTTTGAAAACTTATGATACCAACAAATAAACTTAAAAAAAATAGTCAAGATGACACCTGTCACTTCTATAACACATACCGACCGTACAAGGGCTGTATAGCCAGTCAAGGTTGTTAAAAAATTCCATATATATATAACACATATACATACTACAGTAGACTCAGATGACACCTGACACTTCTATAACACATACACATCCAGTAGACTCAGATGACACCTGACACTTCTATAACACATATACATACAGTAGACTCAGATGACACCTGACACTTCTATAAAATTGAAAATGGAAATGGGGAATATGTCAAAGAGACAACAATCCGACCAATGAACAGAAAACAGCCAGAGGCCACCAATGGGCTCTTGTTTAATTTTCGTCTATTTCTTTTGGTCATAATGTGGTACTATCTATTGAACCCTCATATCACAGCATACAATATAAATAAGAAGATGTGGTATGAGTGCCAATGAGACAACTCTCCATCCAAGTTACAATGTATAAAAAGTTAACAATTATAGGTCAAAGTACGGCCTTCAACACAGTCCCCCAAAATGACTAGTGTAAAACAATTCAAACAGCATACAAGTACATATACGATACGGCAGTATTTTCCTGATTAATATCGTGATTTTTCATACAGACTGGGACAATAGAGAATAAACAAATGTACTATACATGTAGATATCAGTGAAATAGTATACAGGCTAATTCTGGATAAATCTCCGAAACGATAATGGATGCATCAATTGCCAATTAAAAGTTCCAGTCCTAACTTTGAACAGAAATTTAAATGAATATAATTGTTGCACGTATAAACTTCAACACTAAATGCTTCGGTCAAGGCTTTTTAACCCCAATAGAATTACAAAAAAAGCATTCAATTCTTAAGTAAAAGGACCAGGAGGATTTTGGAGATGAATATCCTAATCATAGACAGAATGAAATAAACCTTCACCTAACAAAATGCAGGTCACAATTGTGTACAAGATCGAAAATATCTTTTTGCGCACAAAGCCGCACTATAATACAAGTAAAGTGGAATCATCTATCAGCGGAAAATCCTCCTGTTGACCCACCCTCCGGTCTCCCGAAAGTTGAATAGTTGTCCCTTAACTACAAATACTTGAATCATTTTTGCAGTCATTATAAATGATATTCCTTTGTGGCAAGCAAATTATTATAAATACCATTTAAGGGAAAGAAAAACACAGTTTCGATTGTATTATACGCCCGTTTACGGGACGTATTATGGTATACTGTTGTTCGTTCGTCTGTCTGTCTGTCTATCCGTCTGTCCGGCCGTCCAGCCGTCTCACGGTCCGTTCGTTGTCATCACTTCAAACAATAATTCAAAAACACTTTCACCATTCTTCATGACACTTTGGAGAATTGTTTATATCTATTGACGTAAGCTCCCTTTCGATTTTTATAAATTTTAGATTTTACGTTTCCGAGTTGTTTTTCCAGTTTGTTTTTTTACTATAACTCAAAAATGCTTTGAACAATTTTCATGAAACTTTGGTGTTTTGTATATATATATATTAACATAAGTTCCATTTCGATTTTTAAAAGTTTCTGATATTACGTTTTGACGTATTGGGACTTTATTTATAAAAAAAGGGGGATTTCCCAGTTTTCGGACACAAACTTAAAAATGCTTTGAACAGTTTTCAGGAAACTTAGGTGGCTTGTTTATCTCTATTGGACTAAGCTCCTTTTTGTTTTGTTTTAATTTCTTATATGACATTGCAGAGAAAAGGAACTTAATTCGTTGAAAAATCAAGTGTGTGGACTTTGTTCAACTTGAGGTAGCCTTAATAGTTCCAAATTATCCATGTTTTGTGTCAATTGAGGAACAATTGTTTGTGCATTTTTTTAATTTTTTTAGGGGGGGGTTCTATTTGAGCAGTGCTCACAGCATTTCTAGTTGATCATATAAATTCATTTAAAGAAGACAAGCAAAATGGACGATGGGCCTATCGATCATGCGCTCATGGCGCAGCTCTTTATTATTTATAGCCTCACAAGTCAAGATTGCTGCAACAAAAACCGTATGTTTATAAGCTTGTTATTTCGTTATTTCGTAGCATAATTCGAACCATCTATTTTTATCATTACAAAAACATCACACAAATTATGTACCATGACCATGTCATACCTACAAGAAATGACCCTTGGTCCTAGTTCAAGATGTTGTAAATATTTACTGGAAAATTCATAGAAATCATGGAAGTATCATATTGACATTACTTCCATTTTAAGGTGTTACTATTAAAATCAATTCCTTGTTAGGACCATCGACTATTTATTTAAGCCACTTAATTCCGTGAACAAATACAAGTCAGCTTCCGGGAAATCAAGGTTGTTGAGTCACATTACAAATACCTTATAGTTCATAAAAAGATTTTTAATGTAAATAAATAAATGGCTAGGAAGTTATCTCACTTTGTGAAAATAGTCTTTGCATTTAGTTTGATTTAAAACAACATATAAAAAATGGGAGAATATAGGGTATAATAATAGTTTTATGTATAAATTAAAGAAAGGGGCGTGCATACCATAAAATTGGTGGAATATCAGATTTTGATTAAAACATCTAAAAAACTCTTTTTACTCAGTGTGCCCGAGGATAAGAGTCGGTGTCGCTAGCCAGGATCTATGTGCATCTTCATTTTTTTCAACTATGGCCACTATCCAACATTGTAGACTAGAACAAAGTTCATGGCTTAAATCTCTTTTTTGTTGATCATGTCTTGTTGGCCATTTTTACTGTTTCTCTCTATCTGCTATAGTTGTTGCACAAAGTACAAAAAATGGGCCGACTGACAATTTTGCTTGTGTTCACCTATTTGTAGGTCATTTTTTGCTGGTTATTTTTGTCGTTTACAGATAATCTTTATCCACTAAGGTTTTCCTCCAGAATGCAAAAATTGTGAAAATCGTCATTAAAGGTTAATGGGCAATCACTCATTGAAAGAGTTTTCGGCCATCTAGGCATATTGCAGATCTTATACTGTTGATCATTTTTCCAATCAAAATTTCGATCTATCTTTTGAAGTTTTTACAAACGAAAACTATTAGTAAAAATTGTCATGTAAGGGCAATAACTCCTTTAAAACGTCGACAAACGATTTCGGAAACATTAACTTATTTTTAGATCTTTTCTTGTGGATCATTGTTATCGAGCCTGCGAAATTTGTTTCGCGAAGGCGAGACATGGCGATCCTAGATTATGTCGTCGGCGTCGGCGGCGTCAACATTTAGGTTCAGTCTGTGATTAAAGTTTTTTAAAGATCAATAACTTTGTAAAACCTACATGGAATTTTATGAAATTTGGACAGAAACTTGTTTATGACCAAGAGAAAGTATCCAGAGCGAAATTTGGAAAATATTTATTTTCATTTTTCCATATTTTACTGATAAATGGACTTCTTTTTTACAGTTAACACTCAGGCTCAGTCTGAAGTTAAAGTTTTTCAGTCATCAATAACTTTGTCAAACCTTCATGGTAATTTATGAAATTTGGACAGAAGTTTGTTTATGACCAAAATAGTCTCCAAAGCAAAATGTTGAAAATATTTAATTTCATTTTTCCGTATTTTATGCCGTTTTATGAATTTTTGGCAGAAGCTATTTAATGATTAAGAGAATCAGATAATGTCTGAAGCAAACCTTTGAAAGCATATTTTTTTCATTTTTATTATTTTTCTGATAGATGGACTTCGTTTTTTACAATTAACATTTACAGACAGTCTGGAATTGATTTTTTTTACATGATAAATTTGTAAACCTTCATGGATTGTTAGCTAATCTTCAAGACCAAAAGCGGATTTAAATTTAAAAAAAACCCAGTGTTTTCAGTGAGGAAAGATACACAGGTGCTCGATGTAGTTTTCTTTCTTTTACAACGAAATAAACAACTAACTGTTACTTAGTTGTCGATCTTGGTCTTCTTTACCGTTCAGGTGATTTACGCTATGATATATGAAGAGGACATTGAAATATTTGGATGCAGTTTATGATAGAAACATTGCATGCATCGAATCGATGTAGTATCAAATGTGTTGTTCTTTGGTATATGTGTTCAATCAAAATTTGAATAATAAATTATGAATTTCAAAAAACAAAACTTAATATTTTATATTCCAAAAGAATACTTTATTAAGATCAAAATAATTCCTGAATTTGTGAGACGGAAATGTTTTTCTCTACAGTTTGTGACAACTACATAGTCCGTTTCTGTCTGTTTACCTTCTTTAATCATTTCTTTCTTATTTCATTTATCTATATTTCAATATGTTTTCAATGATTTATTCTCCATTAGAATCTGTTTGACTTTCTTACCTCCTCTTATCTGTTATTTCTAAATACATTCATTTTGGTGTTTTTTTTTTGGTTTGTTATTTATCTTTATTCATTTAATTTATTTTCATTACTTTTTTCTCTTAATCAGCTATTAAATTCTTCAGGTTTTTTTTATTTGCTATTTTGATTTTTTTTGTGTCAAAATATCGGACCAATGCATAACACGAGTGGCTACAGTGACTGTCACACAAAGTTAAACAACTTAGTATGAACTTGTAAAACTATCAAATTACAACATCTTACGATATCTTAACATGTATTAATTATTTCGATAAGTAGCCTATTTGTTGTGATTATAGAGAGAATGTCATAAACCAGATGTTGGAAAACTTTTCAACAGTTGGATCCGACATCATGGTGTTATCGTCTGCTGAGACTGCCTTGTCGCTCGTAGCAACGGTACCTCCCTCTCTGCCGAATTTAGAAAGTTCAAAGCTGTAATGGAACTTGATTGGCAGGCGTGTAATATTTTGGTATTTGATAAGTTGACTCGTTGGCCTCAGAATCCCAGAACAGGGGAACATCGGGGAAGGCAAGATGACAGGCATGATCGAGACCAATTATCAATATCCCCAGATGGTTATGAACTGGGGTGTGTACCTTACCATGCCCGACGGGCAGGGTGGGGTACAACAGGCTGGACAAAGCCTTTATAGTGATCCATGGTCAAGCCCAGTTTCGACAGTAAACAGCGTTAACACCGTAACTTCGCTGTTAAAAACTGGACAAAATTATTTCGGAACAGATGCCTGGTCATCGATGCAACTGAATGGAATAAATCCGGTAAGCAATCTTTATCATCATCCTCCCCCATCTTTTTTCTTTATTTCCGTTGATGAGTCATTTGAATTATATTTATATATATTTATTTTTTTGTCTTACGAAAATAAACCATGATCTTTCTTTGTATTTTTACATTTTGAATACGAGAAATAATGAAGTTCGTGAATGTGTGTTAATCGTACGCATAGTTTTTTAATTTTATGAAATCTACAAAAAATATGATTTTATGTTATTTAATTACGGACTACAACTATGATCAAAAATTAAAACGTATAAACAAATAGGAAACTTTCAATTCGATATATTTGTTTCTATGCGCACATATGTGTTGAGTCTTTGGCAGATAACAATCGTCCATGCACTTAATAAAACGAAACACTGTTATGAAAAAAATGAAAACATTCATATGTGCATGTATGTTCTTGTTTTTCTCGCGTGTTGATTTGCTGTTGCAATTCGTTATATTTGTATCAGTGTACACATATGGTATAAATCATTGGCATATAGCAATCTTTTATGCAAAAAAAAAAAAGGAACAAAAACATACGCTGTGATGAAAAAAAAAGTATAATGTATTACTGTTCTTGTTTGCTCTCATGTTTTTGTTGCTGCTGCATTTCAATATCACCCCGTTTATTCTTTTATTCGTAAATATATAACATTACATTATATCAGTTGTTTAACGAAAAATAGAAAACAAAATTATGCAAATCAATTTTCATATTTGTCGTATTTATTTTTAAGACAACATATTTGTCTTATCTTTCGCTTCGTATATTTTATCAGCAGGTCATGATACATATCATTATAATAATCATACAGTTACACACAACTCTCATCTGGTATTCATTAACTGAAGATAAACATAGCCCACTCTTTTGACGGAAGTGTTAGCGGGGGATTAATTTAAATTTGTCACCCTGTGGTGACAACTTATGTCATAGTATTTGTCCTTAGGATCTGACCCTCGGGATCTGACCACATACATTTACATTGATATTCAGAACATCAACAATTTTAAGGGTCAGACATTCTAACGTCTCATCATGTTCCGTGGATGTACTATATTTACAATAAAGTCAATTTAGTACTTCCGTGTCATTTTCTTCTGATTCCCCAGCAAGATGTGATATATAATTCTTATTTTTTGTATACCTGCGGTGAGACTGATATAATTCAATCATAAGCACCATGTATAATTCTAGAAATGCTTTATTGAATACTTAATAACTTTGTGGTACCACCTTCTCAGCAGAGATTATATACATTCATTTATTATTGTAACAATATTTTCTTTTAATAATGGAGGGGATATACAGTTATATATATAATGTTTATAAATGTGGTCAGATTATGTTTGTATGTTTATGTATAGTCAATGTTTATTGTCTTGGTAACAATCCTATAATTTTGGATTTTGAACCAATAAAATGGTCTTATTTTGTTTTAATGTTCAATGCAACATTGTTGTTCATCTGTAAAATCTACTGTACGAAGAAATTATCTAGAATATATGTTAAAAATAATTAAACATTTTGAACATAATTTATATACTAGTATTCTTCAACAACGAAACTAGAAGTCAATGTTTTAAGAGTCAACTACTTCCGTTCAATTGACTGTCGAACCCTATAAAAAAAGACATGTGATATGATTACAATGAGACAACTCTCCAAATGATTACAAAGATTGAACAATAATAGGTCACTACACGGCCTTTACCTTCAACTATCAACAATTAGTCATTTGCAATATTTTAATGATTTCAAAATATAAAAGATCTTGTAGAGTATTGTTTGTTTTTATAATGTTATGTTGTGTTACTTGCTAGGAATATATGGTGTTATGGCAATAAAGATTTGAATTGGATTAAAAATAAAAACTACATTTCAAAACCGTGTTCGCTTGATGTCAGGACGGGTGATATCAAATTCTGAAATAATTTCCAAACATGATAAACAATAATTTAAAAAATAAAAATCTCATGTACATTTTGTAATATTGCATATTTGCAATGGGTTTCATCTCACGAAATTGTAAAAATTAGTTTATTTTGAAATTTAAAACAACATTCAGTTGTCAAATGAAACTACACACAAAATTTTGAAGAACATATTTTAAAGCGCAATTGCGAAATGAAAAGCCGCTTCTAAGGAAGCTTGATAATCTGTGAAGTTAATTCCTGTAAAATCTCTTTTTCTGTTGGATCAAAATTATATAAATTTTGAGCATTCAGCAAAGTTGGCTTTACCTGTATCAGTAAAAGGGGATGCTGGGAATATGTAATGAGATATAACAAAACACTGCAACCCCCCTCCCAATAGACACCCAAAGGTCAACATACGGTCTTCTACACGCAAACAAACATGTGTCTTTACAATACGTCAAGCTATAAATCGCCGTGTCTAAAAAGAGTTTGCACTCATTTTATCATTAGTTTTTAGCTTATTTTATATTAAGCTTTTATTAATATATTTTCCAAATTATGCCCCCCCCCCCCCTGGGGACCTAATTTTGAAAATATATTAATAAATCTGAAATATGCTTTGCTCTCTTAATAAATACGGGTGAATATATTCCCTTTTTGTGACTGTTCAAATCGGGTGGATAACAAAAAGTTGTGAGCTTATATACTAGAAAAACGGTGATCCGCAAGATGTGCTTAGTGTGCTAATAATTACGTATTATTCAGTGTTGCTTATTTATGTGTGAGGGCAGTTAGTGTTATAAAAGAGGGTATGGATGGGGTTTATAGACTAAAGAATATTGTACCAATACGACAGAAAAATGGGTCAAAAATTAAAAAAAATAGTGAAAAAAGGGCCCAAAAAATAATAGAGAAAAATAATAGAGAATAATGGGGTGCTAAAATATAAGGTAAAGCGAATAATGGGCAAACTTTATAACGAATAGACAAAAGTGCTTAAAAAATGAAAGAATACAGAATTGAAGGACCCCCCATCCAGACCCTCGTAAAAGGGGTTAATTGTTGCGTCTTAATGTTAAACTGTCAGCAATGAAAATGTCACCGTTGTAATTTGTGATCTTCTCTAACTTTTTAATGGGGAAAACATTCTAAGACAGTTCATATGGGTAATCTCTAGGTCGTAATTTATTTGAAAGAAAACAAACGTAACGGGCCACCACCTGCCAAGACCCATAATGGCTGTCATATCTTTCACCGCAGGAACACTTTCTCCCCGTGTTGCGGTTTGCTCGCGTTTCCTAAAAACTGCTAATAATTTTCCTAAAAAATAACACAACAGAATATTTTGAAAGTTTCCCAAGCTACAGTACCAGATCGCATATATATATAAAAGGCCGCTTTCTGCGGCATTTTTTCATCGAAACATGCATATCAAAACCTGCCATGAAAACGATCTTTATGCCAAAGAAATAGGAAACCTGTGTGATGACACAAGGAATAGAACTTACTCTATTTTCCATGTAAAAGATAGCATTTCAAGCAAGATTTGAGGAAGTCATGTTTTTAATCCCAACACGAGCACATGCTTATTAAAAACAAATAGAAATTAAAAAATCTTCGAAAAGAGGAATTATACCTGTTAAACCTGAAATACAAAGATTTTGTGAACTATACCACAGAGAGAGGCAAATCTGGAACACACACTTGTCCCATTATTACAAATAGATAAGTCCCCTGCAACTACTGTAGTATTTGTTACAGTGGAAATAATATTTCAGAAAATTTCTTCCACTTGGAACTTATATTATTGAGTAACTTCTATTTAATGACAATATGAAATTGAGTGTGGTATCGAAAAAGTAAGCAAAGATAAATGAAACCTTTAAAATTTTATATGTAAAGTGCAGTGAATATTTTTATATTTCTTTTCTATTTTCTAGGCACCATTCCACACACACCAGCTTTCACCTTATGGGTCTATAAACGATCTAGTGGACCATTTCAGTGACCTGACATTAGACCGCAAACCGAACAAAAGACCACCATCTACATATTTGTGTCACCTCTGCTTTACAAAGGGACACTACATCAAAGATTGTCCTCAGGTAAGTTATATGGTCTAAAAGGTATAAGCACACCTGGTAATGTGAACAAAAAGAGGACTTAAATAATCTTTGAATGACGAGTAGCAGAACTGAAGCCGTGTAGGTTTGGGTGATACGTAATATTTCGTATCTTACTTTTACTCTTAAAAAAATGCAAATTCAAAAAATAAGATGTCATCGAATAGTTGTTACATCTAACCAGGAATCTTTGTTAAAAACACAATGCCGTAATGTTCGTTCCAGTAGGAACAAATATTATATATCTTTTATTCTGTGAGGAACAAATACTGTAACATTTGTTCCAGTGGAAATAATATAAAAGAATATTTTTTCGTCTTGGAACTTGTATTATGTTCTTGAACATTAAAACCTCTATTTCATGACAGTTTTTAAAAGAGAGCAGTCGCATGCTTCCACGTAAATTAAGACCCAGCGCGATTGTTGGCCATTATTACTAGACAGCCGGGTTCATGGATTCATTTTCGAGAATCATTGAGAACTTGCTGTGTGGTTTTGCTCATGCAGTATGGTGATATCTGAATGTTATTGTTGCTTGTTACGTTGTATTTGTTATGGGGTTGCAGTCTTGTGGTCCATACTTAGTACTTGTTACTTTTGTGTGGCCCAGTTGTCTAGAAAGTATACATATCTCTTTATATAAAATCATTGACCAGATAAAGGTTTTGGAAGATATATGCTTCCCAACAAATTCACCATTGCTCTGCTAACGAATTATTCCTGATCGACATATTGCAAGTCGTTGTCACATTACGTAAATCTTACATAATGTCGGAATATACATTTGATGACAATGTTGTTAATTTCAAATGACAATGTTTTTAATTTCAATCAATTAATGACAATGTTGTTTTCTTCAAGAATTATTATGACTAGAATAATATATTTGATTAGTTCCAATTAGAAGTTTGGCTATTTTCGGATTCAACTCGAATGAACATATTGGTGATTCTGTAAACAACTATTGCTATGTCATATATGGAGGTCACTTATTTGGAAAAGTCTCTTTCCAAAAAATATACCAGATTTTAATTCATACAAAACAAAAAATGACAAAAATAATATCTTTCAGCCTATCAACATCCAAAGAAGTAGAAGACTCATGTTCCTTTCTTGAGCAAGCATTATAACTGAGGACAGGGGACTCTTAATTTATTTATCTTATATATGAATATTTTTTAAATCACATAAAATCGACGAAAAATATCTTGCAAGCCACCACAAACCTTTTAGAAAATGTTGGATTCACATCTAATTAATCTATTACTTTTATTTCAAATGTGGATCATTTCCTAGTTTGTTATATTTATATTGCAGGCTAGGCCTAAGGGCGAAGGACTGACTCCATATCAGGGTAAAAAGAGATGCTTCGGAGAGTACAAATGTACTAAGTGCAAAAGGAAATGGATGAGTGGAAATTCGTGGGCAAATATGGGCCAAGAATGTATCAAGTGTCATATTCTGGTGTATCCCCATAAACAGGTTAGTATTAGCAAACATGGACCAAGAATGTATTAAGTGTCATATTCTGGTGTATCCCCATAAAGGGGTTACTATGGGCAAACATGGGTCAAGAATGTATCAAGTGTCATATTCTGGTGTATCCCCAGAACGAGGTTACTATGGGCAAACATGGGTCAAGAATTTATCAAGTGTCATATTCTGGTGTATCCCCATAAAGAGGTTACTATGGGCACACATGGGCCAAGAATGTATCAAGTGTCATTTTCTTGTGTATCCACATAAACAGGTTAGTATGAGCAAGCATGGGTCAAGAATGTATCAAGTGTCATATTCTGGTGTATCCCCATAACGAGGTTACTATGGGCAAACATGGGTCAAGAATTTATCAAGTGTCATATTCTGGTGTATCCCCATAAAGAGGTTACTATGGGCACACATGGGCCAAGAATGTATCAAGTGTCATTTTCTTGTGTATCCACATAAACAGGCTAGTATGAGCAAGCATGGGTCAAGAATGTATCAAGTGTCATATTCTGGTGTATCCCCATAAAGAGGTTACTATGGGCAAACAAGGGACAAGAATGTATCAAGTGTCATATTCTGGTGTATCCCCATAAACAGGTCAGTATAAGCAAACATGACCAAGGAATGTATCAAGTGTCATATTCTGGTGTATCCCCATAAAGAGGTTACTATGGGCAAACAAGGGACAAGAATGTATCAAGTGTCATATTCTGGTGTATCCCCATAAACAGGTCAATATAAGCAAACATGGCCCAGGAATGTATCAAGAATCATATTTTGGTGTTTCTACATAAACAGGTTAGTATAAGCAAACATGGCCCAGGAATGTATCAAGTGTCATATTCTGGTGTATCCCTATTAAAACAGGTAAGTATGGGCAAGCATAGGTCAAGAATGTATCAGTTGTCATATTCTGGTGTATCCCCCAAAACAGGTCAGTATAAGCAAACATGGCCCAGGAATGATGAATGTATCAGTGTCGTATTCTGGTGTATCTCCATAAACAGGTTATGATGGGCAAACAAGGGACAAGAATGTATCAAGTGTCATATTCTGGTGTATCCCAATAAACAGGGTATGATGGGCAAACAAGGGACAAGAATGTATCAAGTGTCATATTCTGGTGTATCCCCAAGAACAGGTCAGTATTTGCAAACATGTGTCAAGAATGTATCAAGTGTCATATTCTGGTGTATCCCCATAAACAGGTTATGATGAGCAAACAATGGACAAGAATGTATCAAGTGTCATATTCTGGTGTATCCCAATAAACAGGGTATGATGGGCAAACAAGGGACAAGAATGTATCAAGTGTCATATTCTGGTGTATCCCCAAGAACAGGTTAGTATGGGCAAACATGGGACAAGAATGTATCAAGTGTCATATTCTGGTGTATCCCCATGAACAGGTCAGTATTTGCAAACATGGGACAAGAATGTATCAAGTGTCATATTCTGGTGTATCCCCATAAACAGGTCAGTATAAGCAAACATGACCAAGGAATGTATCAAGTGTCATATTCTGGTGTATCCCCATAAAGAGGTTACTATGGGCAAACAAGGGACAAGAATGTATCAAGTGTCATATTCTGGTGTATCCCCATAAACAGGTCAATATAAGCAAACATGGCCCAGGAATGTATCAAGTGTCATATTCTGGTGTTTCTACATAAACAGGTTAGTATAAGCAAACATGGCCCAGGAATGTATCAAGTGTCATATTCTGGTGTATCCCTATTAAAACAGGTAAGTATGGGCAAGCATAGGTCAAGAATGTATCAGTTGTCATATTCTGGTGTATCCCCCAAAACAGGTCAGTATAAGCAAACATGGCCCAGGAATGATAAATGTATCAGTGTCGTATTCTGGTGTATCTCCATAAACAGGTTATGATGGGCAAACAAGGGACAAGAATGTATCAAGTGTCATATTCTGGTGTATCCCAATAAACAGGGTATGATGGGCAAACAAGGGAAAGAATGTATCAAGTGTCATATTCTGGTGTATCCCCAAGAACAGGTCAGTATTTGCAAACATGTGTCAAGAATGTATCAAGTGTCATATTCTGGTGTATCCCCATAAACAGGTTATGATGGGCAAACAATGGACAAGAATGTATCAAGTGTCATATTCTGGTGTATCCCAATAAACAGGGTATGATGGGCAAACAAGGGACAAGAATGTATCAAGTGTCATATTCTGGTGTATCCCCAAGAACAGGTTAGTATGGGCAAACATGGGACAAGAATGTATCAAGTGTCATATTCTGGTGTATTCCCATAAATAGGTCAGTATAAGCAAACATGGCCCAGGAATGTTTTAGTATCATATTCTGGTGTATCCCCATAGTCGGGTTAGTATAGGCAAACGTGGGCCTAGGATATATACTAGTTCCAGGTTTTCTAGAATGCATTCAAACTTTTAAGTATCATTATGATTATCTACTATTGAGAAAATCAAGTACCTGTATTTTTATGCCCATGCCGTAGCGGAGGGTGCATAGTTTTACCCTTGTCCGTCCGTCCGTCCGTACGTACGTTCGTCTTTAACTTTAGTTTGCCTCAACCAAATGTTATGAAACTTATACAAAATGCTTATTACCACTAAAAACAGATCAAGTTTGAATTTTGGTGGCGTCGCTTTAACTGTTCTAGAATTATGCCCTTTACAAATGGAAAAATTGCTGAATTTTTCGTTTCCGTTCTCTAACTTAAGTTTGCCTCAACCAAATGTTATGAAACTTACACACAATGCTTATTACCACAAAATACAGATCAAGTTTGAATTTTAGTGGTGTCACTTTAACCATTCTAGAGTTATGCCCCTTTGCAAATGGAAAAATTGCTGAATTTTTGTTTCCATTCTCTAACTTAAGTTTGCCTCAACCAAATGTTATGAAACTTATACACAATACTTATTACGAAAATTACAGATCAAGTTTGAATTTTGGTGGTGTCACTTTTACTGTTCTAGAGTTATGTCCCTTTACAAATGGAAAAATTGCTGATTTTTTTGTTTCCATTCTCTAACTTAAGTTTGCCTCAACCAAATGTTATGAAACTTATACAAATGCTTATTAACACAAAATACAGATCAAGTTTGAATTTTGGTGGTGTCACTTTTACTGTTTTAGAGTTATGCCCCTTTAACAAATGGAAAAATTGCTGAATTTTTCATTTCTGTTCTCTAACTTAAGTTTGCCTCAACCAGATGTTATGAAACTTATACATAACCACAAAACTCAGATCAAGTACAAATTTTGGTAGCATCACTTTTACTGTTCTTCAGTTATGTCCCTTTATAAATTTATATATGATATGCAAGCAGGGGCATCATCTGTGTCCCATGGACACATTCCCCATTTATTTTAAAAAGAAGATACTGCCTCTTGATTTGGAATACATTTTTACACCACAAATGTGATAGAATAAAAGAAGTATGGAAGGAAACATATGTGGTTAAATGACAATTGTTTACATGAATTTTACACTAGGGTATGAATGGGATTGACAGATAAGATAATAATGGATTAAAAAAATAAAGAATAAAAAAAATGGACCAAAAAATAGAGAATAATGGGGTGCTTAAAAAATAGGGAATAGAGAATGATTGAAAAAAAATAAAGAATAGAGAAAATGGCTTCTAAAATTAAAGAATACAGAAATGAAGACCCTACTATCCAGACCCTCTTACATCTTATTTACATTATAACTTGGATTACAATGTAACTCTGATTCATTTCAGTAGAGTTGATTTTATGTTGGGTTTTTTTTTTTGCAGCGACCCCTGGAGAAGCCTGATGGTCTAGACGTCAGTGACCAAAGTAAAGTACACCCTCAGCACCTCTGTGAAAAATGTAAAATGTTGGGATTTTACTGTAGAAGAAACTAACATTATAATAGATAAAAAACAAACATGTTATTATAGTTCCTGAGGATATGGGAATAAATCAACATGGTCAATATAGAAATGCCTATGGAATATATCACTCAAGGTATATTTTTTTATTTTGTGATCACAGTATACACATTGAGGATAAATTTTTATACACATTGAGGATGAATTTCATGTATTTATATGATGTTCTATGATAGTATGATATTGTCAGCATATATCAGGATCTTGTAGTTCCCCTTATGAAAAAGTTTTCTCTGTCAACCTTCATCAAGCCAAAAGTTTAGAAGGTCAAATTATATATTAATACCTAATATCTTACAAATGTTACAAAACTTGTCAGAATAAAAAAAAGAAAAATATGTTACAGGTTTACCAACCTTCCTTTTATAATTTATTCACATCTAAATGTGTTGGAAATATTTGGGAAAACTATGTATTAGTAAATTTTTCTTTAGATTTTGTAAAAGAATTGATGTATTAGGTTAAATATCAAAATGTCCAGGACTATAAATACTGCATATTTGTGTTTCATTGAAGGAAGTCATATTTAAACAAAACAGCTGTTTTTCAAATGTTAGTGTGTCAAGTACTATCCATTCATAAGTATATGTAGAGACTCTTTAGTACCTTGCGTGTGTGTATGCCTTCTGAAGTGACATAAGTGTGTGTTTTACATACAACAAAGTCCAGTTGTCCTGAATATGCATGTAATATCTTCCACTGGACATAATGAAAACGGTGATATATCATATTTGTTAAAGAAAAAAGGTATCTCTGTGTGTCCAAAAGTTCACTTAAAAGTTCAGGAACTATATAGATCTCATATGTAATATACTTACTGTAAATTCATGAATGTGTTTGTTGCTCAAAAGACAAAAAATTGAGATAAATGAACGTTATTTAAGGGAAAAAAAAGAACATATCGGAATTTAAAATGTTAGTTCTAATTAAAGCAATATTTATCCTGTCCCATTTTCCCCCATAAAAAAAATTTGCAAAAATTATCTGAATTTACAGTATCTAATTATAAATCATAGGTTTGCAAGATTCTACATGGAAAGCCAAATAACCACATGTGTGTTTATATTGTTTACTTAACCTACCATCACAATTTTAATTGAGAATTTTGGTTGTAAAGGTTGCATAAAGTGTTTACATTGTTTGCCCTATGTACAAAGTCAAATTATTCTGCACTCCCTAATTTTTATATTTATGGATTCCTATGTGGGTTAATCTGCAATTGCAATTATTTAGTTGAACATAAAATTTTCAGATCATTCAGTGTAATCAAATCAATTAAAACAGATGATAAATAGGGAGGTTAGACTAGGCCCTGAACTATAAGCAGACATGTCTTTTTGTTGTTGTGGCCTTAATGAACATTGGTTGTGAACAGCTGACTAATATTACATATTATTATCATACATTGAAATGCAGATGGCTTTAGAATCAGTTTACCATCCATATGGGAATTGCATAAACAATATAAGCATTTAAAAAAATGAAGATATATTGCTCAAAGATAATTTACATGACTGTGTCTCTGTTTTGTACTTATGCGATGTTGATGTACCAGTAGGGGGTCCTTAGCAGCAGAAGATGAAGGATTTTGAAATTTCCAATTAATAGCCCCAAAGGGAATAAACATTTGACATGCCAATAACATTCATAATTCAAGATTAATACAAGTAAATAACATTCAATAAATTATTGTGATAGTAAAGTCCAAAGTTCACAACAGTTGGCAAATACACATCTTATGTTTTACCAAGGTTTTTTTTGGAAATTTGACTGATTGATTTTGAAAATAGCTTAAATATCAAAATAATAATAAATCAGTTGTTTTTGGGATGCAACTTTGTTTTGGATCATTAAAAGTAAACATCTACTATTACAATGAATCTCTGATGGACACAGAAATACTAATGCTATCACCTCCACAGGCTCGTAAAGTCAAACAATAAATTTTGATCAACTCATCATACGAAATCAGTACAAAACTGGGACAAGTATATATGTGTATTAACTGGAAAAGGACCAAACCAAATCACCTTAATATAAGTGATTAGTTGCATAGGAAAGTCAACATTCATTATATCACAACCATTAATACATATGTTGCACATATATATTATCTGGGGAAATACTGAGGGCTCAATAGGGGGTAGTAATTATATATGGTTTAATTTAGGGGAGATTTTATTATAGTTTAATGTTTATATCTCAAACAAAAATACAAAAAAAAATGGAGGTGGTGTGTTTTTTATTGCATTCTGACACAGACATTGTTTCTCAATTCAATGGTGTTTGAGGTAAAAGAAGGGAATGTTTTCTTTGAATCTATATAGCTTACTGATTTATAAGATAAGAAATATTAGTCATAGGCATTCAAACTCCTTCCATTAACATATGTTATATTTAGATGGATAACAAAGAAAGTCATCAATTTCAATTTTCTACAGCATCTTTAAGTATGCAGTGAAACTATGTCAATCTCTTATCTTTAATCTTCCAAAAAAAAATCAAAACAGAATGATATATAGGGCGAGGATTGTATCTTGTTGTTTACTCCTATCTAAGTTTCTACCCACCACTTAAAAAAACATATTTTATCTTCAGGTTTCCTGAAATGACCTGTATATATAATGTATTCAAACAAAATATTTTGGTATAATTATGACATTTGAGATATAATATTATTGACTAGTTTCGTATTTACACAGTTTGACCTCAAATGTAAGTAAAATGACCTGGGAGGTGCTTTATAAGTACTTCAGTGTTTTGATAGATTCACACAATAATAAGGTCATTAAAATCATCTGATGAAGAACGACTTTCCTATGTAACAAAGGGGGATAACTCTAAAGATTCCATCGATATATCAAGAAAGATTTTTTATCTGTAAATTTATGATACCAGTGATCATGGTTATTATTTGTAAATTTATGAGAAAGAAGAGAGGGAAATTTTATAGTATTTTATGTATATCATATATAAGAAATGTCATATTTAGACTGTATTTTGTGTATATGATGGAAAAAGATTTTTTTAATATAAAGAGAAGGTCAGAACTATCTGTGTAAATTTTGGTACCATTTGAACGTTTTTTATACCAAGGAAAAATTTTATTATTATTTATTTAATGAAATATAATCTTGAAGGGAATATTTGTATATATTTATAGTTTTTATTTTAAATGTTGAATATTTCAGGTTTTTTGTTGCAATATTTGTTCTGCTTTGTTTTGTGGTTGCCATTTTTATATTAAATTGCATACCTCAGTTGTGTTGTTTAAAATCATTAAACTAATTTTTTTAAATCAGTTTTTGAAAATTTATATGCATTTTCTTTAAAACATTATTTAATTTTAACACGAATATTTTTAATAAATAAAATTATGATTCTTTCATAAAAGGTAAATCACAGCTGGGCCTCTGACCTATGAGCTGAAATAAATTTAAAACATTGTCTAAACATGCTCCAGTTAAGTTTCCTCGTTAAAACAAGTTCATTAAAATTATTTGGTTTTTCTAGTCAATTTCTTCAAATGGATATATTCATCATCAATTTTGTATGTTTGTGTTTTTTATATTCTCATAAATAAGTATATTTCTATATAATGAGTTTATGCATGTTTTGTATATATTTGGACATTAATATTATTGCATTTGTGATATGTGTGCTACATTTCATTTAAACGGTTGTCAAACTTCATTTGAAAATTTTTTTGTCTCTCCTTATATGTTTTTATACAGTGGTATTTTTTGTTGGGATAAAACCCTAAGGTTAAAACTGTGAAAAAATATTATTTGTTACATTTATTTCTAAAAGGTTGTAGAGTAAGAAAAAATGGACTAGAACAATTCATTTTTACATAAAATATGTGATATTGAAAATATGTAAACCAAAAACGTTAAATATTGAAATTATTCTGGTTTGTCCAATGAAATAAAAATGAATATAATTTTTCCGTTTGTTTAAATCATTTAATTTGGATGTGTTCACAAACTTAATTTTGTAATTTTTTTCTTCAAAATATTGTTAATATAAAACAGACTGATTATTCAAAACTGGATGGAAAAAGAGTTGTGGGGGGGTCCAGTTCTAATTTACTTTCAATAATTTAACTCCAAATTTCCGTTTCTACATTTTCATTTTATTACAATTTATATTATTTAATTTGTGTTCATTTTCAAATTACAAATCATTCATCAATGAAAACCATAAAAAATAGTTTATGATTTTTCTAAAGGAATCTGCAAGTAAAATTTGTTAATAATCCTACAAAAAATAAAGCAGAAAAACTTTAAAGATAATTTAGTTTTGCAGATTTTTTTTTAACTAGTGTTAACAAAAAATAAAGGTTAATAAAGACTTAGTGTCAGGCATTATATTGTTTTTAATTTGATTCTGTCAATGTTAACATTATAAGTTTAGACAATAGACATCTGAAAATAAACATCATATACAAATTCATTCTAAAACATTCTTTATAAATTTTCATTTATATTAGGTCATACTAATATTTGTTTTTACAATATCTATGATCAATTTTTATACGACTGCCAAATTTTTTATCAAACCGGTCTGACCTTTATAGTAGAAGTGAGACTTGTCAGACAGAACATGCCTTTGCTGGAACCAGTTCGACAGCAATGAAATTTATTAATTATTTGAAGAGAAAAGTCTGTGACCTTATGTCTAACACAACCAAATCATATTTGTCCAGGTTTAAATTCACAAGTGATGAAAATTTCATGATTTTTATTGAAATCACCTGATTTAATTTGTCAATGAAAGAATGTTGTGAACAGTTTTTCTTTTAGTCACATACTTTGATGAAAATCATGGAAAATGTTGTATTAAAAAATTCCCGAGATGCTAGGGTTTCCATCATTGGAAGATTTCACTTTTAAGATACTTTAAACCATTTTGTGTTTTATACGTTCTCCAAGATGTTAAATACATGCCATTTTATTTACACATATATCTTTTCTTAAGTATCATTATTTCAGAAATAATTTTTTTTATCAATTCAAAGTTGTAAAATAAAAGTTTTTTGCAACTATATCACTTTGTTCATATAAGGTTGTATTTGTATATATATATATTTGCATATAATCATGTGTTTTTGAGTGTAAACTCTAGTCAGATACTCCACAGTGCCAAACTGATGTAAAATACTCTTTCTACTATAATATATTTCATGCATGTTTTAGCTTTAGTGTGACACAATAAATTTGTCAAAATGACAGCAGTGTTTTCTGTTATTCTTATCGAGAATATTTAGTGGCGAGTTCTCTTAAAATTTGTTTTCTCCCACCCCTGTCCCTCATCAGAAACTTCACCAGTTGTTGCCTTTGTTTATAACTTAGTTTTCTATGATCTGAATAATAGAATTTTGTGTCGTTCAGAGATCTCTGGTAGTTTCTCTTGACTTACTGTAAATTCAAAAATTATTGCATTCATTTATTATTGCCATTGTGAAATAATGGACAAAAATGCCAGTTTAATTATAGCGATTTTAAGAAATGCTGCACACAACAATGCTATCAAAATGTAAAATGCAAGTTGATATTTTTGTGTTCAATATATCCTGTCCCTTTGTTGCCATAATAAAAACATTGCAAACATTTCTGAATTAAGTTTGCCCTCGGTGATTTCTTGCTTGGCATATGATTTAGACACTTATTAGTCCCCTACCAATGAAGTTGAAGGGGACTTTAGGTTTGCACTCCATCTGTCGGTCTGTCTGTCCATCCGTCAGCATGGCAAATCAGTTTTCCACACTTTTTTTCTTTGTTCTTGAAGATATTGAATTGAAATTTGGTTTATAGTTTTATCATGACAAGTTACAGGTCAATTTTGAATTATGTTCCGGTCTAATGATTTTGTGCAGAGTTATGGTCCTTGGACTTAAAAATTCACTCTAATAACCAGTTTTCCACACCTTTTTTCGTCATGCTTGAAAATATTGACTTGATATTTGTTATATAGTTTACACCATGACAAGTTATAGATCAAGTTAGCATTTTTGTTCCGGCACAATGAATTCTTAACCGGTAGGGGACTATGTATTGCCATGCAATACTCTCAGAATGCTGGTCTATTGTTATAATATATGAGGCGACATTTGTTTACCAATGTTATGAAATCATAAATCCTTTTGGACCATCCTAGGGAAAAACATGAGGAAATCGCATTCACTCCTAACATAGTTAGACGGGTGCATCTACATGCATAGCCATGCAAATCCAGACTGTATGAAAATGTCACGACAAGGAATAGGATATAATCCATAAATTTTCAGATTAGACAACTCCTGAAGACTCTATGTTGCCCTCATTGTCTCATTGGTGTATACTTAAACTGAACATTATCAATGAACCATGAAAATGAGGTCAGATCAGATGAATCCTGTCAGACACATATGTAATTATACCATTCAATCATTCCATATGATATATTGCTTATAGTATCTGAGAAATGGACCTAACCATGAATAAAATGCTCCGCTGGGCGCAGCTTGATACGACCGCTGAGGTCGAACCCTGAACAGTTGGGGCAAGTATGTACACAACATTCAAGCTTGATACAGCACTGAATTTGGACTGTAATTAAATATTTGACACAGCATAGGTTTCTGACACAGAATGAATGTGGTCTAAGAACTTAAAAATTTTTAATTTACCTATTCAAGCCATATCATTATTATTTGCTTTTATATATAAATCAGAAATAACCAATTTAAAATAGAAAATTTTAAAGAAAAAAAAAGGAAAAAAAAATCCCCCCCCCCCAATTTTTTGAACCCCCTTATGATTCGTCACCCCCAAACTCAATCAAAGCCTTCCCTTTGTGGTATGATACCTTGCAGTACAATTTTTGAGAGATCCATACACTTGAACACAAGTTATTGTCTGGAAACTAGAAAAATGCTTATTTTTGGCCCCTTATTCCTAAACGTTTTTGGGCAATTACCCCCAAACTCAATTCCAGCTTTCCCTTTGTGATATGGAACCTTGTAGTACAATTTCATAAAGATCCATACACTTACACACAAGTTATTGTCATGAAACTAGAAAAATGCTTGTTTTTTGCCCCTTTTTTGGCCTTATTCCTAAAATTTGGAGGCAATTACCCCCAAAATCAATCCCAGCATTCCCTTTGTGATATGGAACCTTGTGGTACAATGTCAGAGAGATCCATACACTAACACACAAGTTATGTCTGGAAGTTACAAAAATGCTAATTTTTGGCCCCTAATTCCTTAACTGTTGGAACCATAACCCCCAAAATCAATCCCAACCTTCCTCAAAATTTCATAGAGATCCATTCACTTAAACTAAAGTTAGAGTGCGAAAACCAATGTGTCTTAGGACGATGACGCCGACGGCAACGTCATACCAATATACAACCGCAAAATTTGTTTGCGGTCGTATAAAAACTTAATGATGGTCACCAATCCATGAAATAAGGTCAAGGTCAGGTGAACTCTGTCTGATGGATATACCTTGATAAGATTCTACACACCAAATATACTGGGGTAGCTGCCCTATTACTCATAAGTAAGAAAATGATGTGAAAACTATACTTTTCCCAAGCAGTTGCTGAACCATGAAAATAGTGGCATCTCTGGAATTAAAATGCCGATGTCTCATTCTGTGACTTTCTGTGCAGACAAGACAATAACACAAGTATCAAATAATTGTAAATATACAAAAGTCAACAATTTATTGCAAAACATGATTATTTTTGGCACATAAAAGTACAATATTTTATAACAAAGAGTATTTGAACAGTTATTGCAAGTTGTCATGGCAATGACAGAAAACAACAAAAGTATACATTATGGACTCAAATCTTAAAAAGAAAGAAAAATCAGCCCGACGGAGTGTCCAATTATTGTGTGTTGAAATGTTTCAGTAATACATATATAACTTTATTCACATGATTTTATCTTTACTTTTTTACTGATTCCTTGTTCATTTTAATCAGTTCCGACAAGTTGTCTGTTGAACAATCTAACATGACATTATTGTCTTATAAAGAATAAATTTAAGACATAAACAAAACGATTTTAAAATCGAGGCAGTGTCAAATGAGGAAGGCAAATATATATCTTAACAATTACAAACCTTCAAAAGTCTGTAAAACAAAATAAACAAAGCAGAAGGTATGATAAGGTATTTTTTCGATCCTTGGATTCCAAAATTTTAAAGTACTTTAAATCTATAAAATGACATACCCAAGATGTTTGTAAGTCATCATTTTAGTCTTTCAGATATAAAAAGGGTAAGGCTGTTGTTATATTTAATCAAATCAAAGATTATTTGTAAAACTGCTATTTTTGTCAAATATGCTGATTGTGTTTTCTCATTAACGAGGTAAAAACCGCAACTGCACTAAAATAATGGAACTATATCATTCGAATCATATATCAATGAAACTAACATAACTATGAAATGATTGAAGATTCCCCCCCTGAAATAAAAGACCAACATAATCCTTAAATTTTTTTTTTTAAAAACATAACATTAACAAGTGATGTTATCCATTAACTATTTTGGCCGCTTGCCCATGTTTTAACATATTTCTTAATTAAAAAAAAATGAATAAAAGATCATTTAAATAAGATGTAAAATTAAAACCAAGTTCGAGAGAATTCTGGAAAGAATGTGGATTTCCTTAACTGGAATGACTTCTCTTGCTTGGAACTTTTGTCTGAAAAAGAAAGATAGAAACAATTTAAAAGCTGTTTGCTAGTATGTGTAATCACAATCAAACCACTTGTTTAAGGTTTAAAACTAAAAAGTACTAATTTTCAGGCAAAGATTGTGGTGGTTGTAGCTGACTATGACCATACCCACTCATCTATTAAAAAAAATCACAATTTTATTTCTTATGTACACAGGCAAAAGTGCCACGCATGATATACGCACGAAGGCCAATACATGCGTGAATCATGCTGGAATCATGCGAAAATTTACGCACGATTATCGGATGTAGCTTGATTTGGGTGTTTCCGTGTGAAAAATACGCACAAACCACGCATGATTTTCGCACGATTATCATGCGTGGCACATTTACTAGTGTAGTTTGCCCCTACAGTAACAAAATTTTATACCCCTTGTGCTGATCAAATTTACAACTGTTTTGAAAGTACAAATCTGCAGACAAAGATTACAGTGGTTGTAGCTGACTATGCCCCTACCTACTCATCTATGAAGAAAATTACAATTTTGTATTTCTTAGGTAATTCTCCTTTCCGAAAATTATAACCCTCAACCCCTTGTGCTTATCAAATTTAGTACTAGTATTACCGTGTGAACAAGACACCACATATGTCCTCTACCACTTAAAAGTTATAAAGTATCAGTCTATATAAAAAAAAAAGTTTTTTACATGAAGCCTACAAAAGTTATAAAGTATCAGTCAATATAAAAAAAAAGTTTTTTACATGAAGCCTACAAAAGTTATAAAGTATCAGTCAATATAAAAAAAAAGTGTTTTACATGAAGCCTACACATATTTAATTAAGTATTTTTTACTAACGGTTGGGTAATCATGAAATGGGTAATTGTTTTGCTAGTATTGTCTGTTCATGGCAGATCATAATACAAAAAGAAATGCACTGCAGTTCGTTGGGTTATCTCCCTTTAGACTTTTCATGGTGCATTCCATATAAAACATGTAATTTATATTTCCTGAATAGAACATGGGTTTATATAGAAATCTTTTGATATAACTTTGCATTCTGAACAAAATATCTAAATGTAACCTTTCCAACAATGAATTACCTATTCATTAATTGATTTTCAGTTGGAGTGGTACATAAATGTCAGAACAATAATGTCATAAACAATATAATTGTAGCAAAATATCTTAATATTTAACAAATAAGTTAAGGTAAATATCTATCGACATCTGAAAAAATGTAAATATCTAATGTGTGAAAAAAAAAAAAAAACTGATAAAAAAAAAAAACATGAAAAAATTTATAAAGTTATTTCCTTTCATATATAAAGTCTTCAAAAGAAAAGTTAAAATCTAAATTGACCAAAAATAAAACCCCATAACAACCCTGAAATTTGGTGAAAGCTGTATACTACATATAATTCCAAAAGCAACAATTCTGTCAAAAAGTTACATAAATCAGATAAAATCTGGCCATTACTGCTGTAAGTCACCAAGCCTTTATCAGCACCCTGTCTCTCTGTATTATCATCTCAAACATCTGGATAAACAGTCTGTATACAGTATCTGTCATTGACATGTGAGTTTGTTAATTATCCATAACAAGATAAATGGAGTTTGTTTCTTACCATGTGACCTCTGGGACAATGTGTTATATCCAGTGTGTGTTATGATTTTTTTCATGATCACACTTTTATTTTTCAGCTGGTTTTGGATTTAACATTATTTTTCAGCAGTGGCTCATCCAGAAGATATAGAGAAGCTTTGAATTTTCAACTTCTTTTGTAAAAAAATTTTTTTTTTTTAAATCGACAAATAAATAAACTCCACAGAAAATGCCCCTAATATTTCTATCAAAATATATAAATATCATTTGAATTCCTTGTATAGGTATATATTTCTAAGAGCTGTCACAATGGCAGAAAATGAAGATTCAAGCAAATTTGATATATGATCAATTAGTGATATTTGCTAACATAAAGAACCTCATTCAAAATTTTGAAAATACAACCAGTCTGTAAATACTTTCTACATTGTACAATGCATCGAAATTTGACGGTGACATATTCACTATTGCTATGTGTTTCTTTATTCTACATTGGCTAGAGGTACAGGGGGAGGGTTGAGATCTCACAAAACATGTTTAACCCTGCCGCATTTTTGCGCCTGTCCCGTCAGGAGCCTCTGGCCTTTGTTAGTCTTGTATGTTTTTTAATTTTAGTTCATTTATATGTTTTGAAGTTTAGTGTGACGTCCATTTTCACTGAACTGGTACACAATTTTATTTAGGGGCCAGCTGAGGACATCCTCCGGGTGTGGGATTTTCTCGCTGCGTTGAAGACCCATTGGTGGCCTTCAGCTGTTGTTTGCTCTTTGGTCGGGTTGTTGTCTCTTTGACATATTCCCCATTTCCATTCTCAATTTCACATAGGGTAAATTTCTTGTGAAATGGCTATTTCTTGAGCGAAAAATAACTAAAATTAGACACACTTGAAAACTTCCCTATATAAGGTACAGGTATATTCATATGACAAGAAAATATTATTGTCTTAGATACATGTAATATTTACTGCTGGACATAAGGATCCTTCAATAAATCATTGTATAAATAAAACAAGAGACATGGGGTCTATGTCAATGAGACCGCAGCTCAATGACACAAAAACTAAAAGATATCTATATTGCCTTCAACAATATACAAGTTTCTACGCTATGTGTCAAGCTAAATGCTACTTAACTTTCAGGTTTTGTGCATTATCTTGATAATATTCTCATCAGTGGTGTGTTGAGCAATTTCTATGAAGCTGGTATTTAATTAGTAAAAGGTCTCGCCTAATTAGAATGAAAGAAAATTATTTTTCCAGTTCAATTCTTACACAATTTAAACAACAAATTTTACGAGGGTATGTTTAACAGTTTGTAGATTTCATGTTTAGAATGAATTTGAGTATATCTAAACAAGTTTTGAAATAGTTTAAAGAAAAAAATTTAAATCATATGCAGAATTATTAAGGCTAACTATACAGTTTTTTCCCCGTTAAAGTTAAATATTTTCCCTTATTTAAATGCATAATCACCACCATTAAATCTTATTTCTTATAATTATGTCATGCAGTAGATGGTATAAAAAAAAATAAGACATTTTAAGCAACTGATATAAAACAAAGCCAAACAGTACTCATTTTGTTGCTAGTCATTGCTTTTCCTATTAAATACCAAAATCATTGATCAATTACAAATAAACATAACATTTTGCTACCATTCTTGATTATTTAAAAGTGAAATTACATCTTATTGAAAGTTAGTTCTTTGGTAAATACAATTAAATCAATACCGCTCTCTTAATTGTTATATTTGGGGAAAACAGTTTTAAAACAAACAACACTTGTAGTTACACTGTTCAGAAATTTTTTATACAGCTGCTTTCTATATTTTTTAATGCTGTTTGATTAAATAATTAAATAATTCTTGAATTCTTTACACAAACCTGAAAATTTGTATTTTTAACAGCTATAAAAATTAAAAAATTGTTGTAAAACAAGGGGAAATAATTCAAAACATATTTGAAGAAAAAGTCTGAATTATCTCCCATTATAACATTGGTTGCAATTAATTACCCTGATTTCCCAGTGAAATAAAAAACGACAATTTCTCTTTGAAATAAATCTGATAATTTCACTCCTCTATGTCATACAACAATGTGTTTTGATAAGACGTTGTCGATGATGTTGCATCCATACAATTGAGAATGTTTAGAAAAAGATAATAATCCTTTCATTTTTTACCTTATTTCCATTAAAAAGTCCATGGTCAATGTAATAAAAAGAATAACCAATCCAAGAATTAAAATATTGAAAAATATTCAACTTGTGACCAACAATACTTATACATGTACATGTAATACTGATAATCAACTCACGCGCTATGCGCATTTCGTGAATTAATGTGTTGTTCGGTGGTCACTTGTTGAATATTTTTCTATATTTGAATTCTTGGATTAGTTATTCTATAATCACCATATTTGTAGATTAACTAATTTAGACATGTAATATTTGATTTAGTTTCTTTTGATTTGTTTTGGACTGAATTAATGCCTTAATTTTAATAAATCACAAAATATACAAGATTTTTAGCAATTCACAATGATAAAAATAATTATAACAAATTCTCCTTCAAAATTATCTTTCATGAATGCAATGTGTAAAAATATCATAAATATGAAGATTGACTAATACATGAGAAGCTACATAACTAAAAAAGACCTGAATAATTTGCAATAACTGTCTTGAGTCAACTTTGTATGAGGAAGCTGAAACTATTTTAGATTTTTTTTTATCAAAATTAATGTAATAAAATAAGCAGAAATTTTGGATTTAAATTTATGTTTATACTGATTTGAAGTAGATCAACACTGTTCGTATGAGCATACATCCACACACATATACTTGGGCCAATATATACTTAGATTTGTTTTAGTTTTGTACCTTTTCAAATTTGCAAATATTTGGACAAAATAACATTTGACATCATTATTAAAATCTGAACATAAAATATGCTTTAATTATAAACTTAAAATGAATCAAAGAATTTGATATTTTGACAGGGGAGATAACAATGGTACAAATTTGTTTCATTGAAGGGAGATAATTCAACTGGATAATACCGCAAATTGACCAATTTTACATAGAAATCTTACCTTTCATTCGTTAGCAAACATTCCTGTACACATTTCTGAATTTTTCTCATTTATAAAAAATGACTGTGGTGATATTTTTGTAGATCTTTTAACTTTGTGTCTATATCTTTTCTTCAAAAATCTGGATTTTTCAAATTTATCTAAATTATATCTGTAAAAGAAATATTTCATGTAAATACACTGTAAAGAGTTGAATGACTTCATTCCCAAAAATTTACTAGACTGCAGGTTTTTTTTTGTGTGTTTTACTTATACGACTAAGGTGGAGATAAGCAAGGTGGAGGTTTGTGTGCACATGTTTTACCCCACCACAGTTTGTCCATGTGTACACAAGTCATGCTATCTGGACCATGCATTGTTTGTTGTACAAAGCAGAAATCACAAAAACACCATTGGTGGTGCACCTGATAGAGGCAGAACTTACAGATTAGGGTACAGGAAACAGGTATTGTTAGCCCTTTTTGTGTATCTATTTCATTTTCAAGGAGTGAGTGGTTGGTGTTGTATTGTCCAATATTTTGTGGTCATTTATGATAACCCCAAAAAAAGATTCTAATAGATATAAGAAGATGTGGTATGAGTGCCAATGAGACAACTCTCCATCCAAGTCAAAATTTATAAAAGTAAACCATTATAGGTCACAGTATGGTCTTCAACACGGAGCCTTGGCTCACACCTAACAGTAAGCTATAAAGGGTCCCAAAAATTAGCAGACCTATCTTTAACCATATTATGTGTAGCTTGAAAACTGACCTAATTACTTTTATAAATTGTAACTTGGATGGAGAGTTGTCTCATTGGCACTCATACCACATCTTCCTATATCTAATCAAAAGCTTAATATGCAAACAATGCAAAAACTAATGGTCAATATATTTATCAACCTATAGCTAACTTGCTAGGTCATTTGGTCTCTCATGAATAGCGGTCTCATTGGCAATCATACCACATCTTCTTATTTCTATGACTGACAAGGAGGGACCAAATAACCTGCATGAAATTGAGATGTGCTGATGCTAATACTGCTGCATAGCAAATATCATTGACTTACAATTAGTGTTCCCTTTAAACTGACCTAGTCACAAACTTTATCATGTAAACAATGAAAAAAATTGTTGATGCCGCTGATACCACAAACTGCATGTCAAAGTCTCAGTTCTTGGAATTTAAACCCAGGCAAGATAAATAATTTAATTGTATAAAATACATTATTGAGGGGCCAGCTGAAGACCAACATGGGTTGCAGGATTTTCTCGCTGCGTTGAAGACCCATTGGTGACCTTGAGCTGTTTTCTGCTCTTTGGTTGGGTTGTTGCCTCTTTGACATGTTCCAAGTTTCCATTCTTTATTCGATCACTTACTTGTATTGTAATGGAGGTCTCATCATTTGTAAACACATTTTAAAAGGCATATCTGAGAAATCTACATCTGTTTTAAAGTCTATAACTGCTTCTGATTCAGCTGTAAAGTTCATTCCTCCTTGTAAAACTTCAGATTCCAACTTCATCCATCCATTTATAATCATAGCACCACTGCAAATAACACATTTGTTAAAAATTATAACAGTAAAAACAACTTTGGACATTAAACAATGTTAAAAGGACAATAATCATAGCAGATATACAATTATTTTACTATTTATTCAGTATCTGAAACAACTAATCTAGAACTATAAAGTCAGTGGTCGTTAGTTTTTCAGTTACCTCAATTTTTGCTATTATAACTAAACTGGAAACTAGAAATGTACAATCAGTTTTTTGAAACTTTTCTTTGTTACACTTTAAAATGTATATTAAACCATACTTTCCAAAAATAATTTGATCGTTTCTAGTTGAATATCATTTATATGTAAAAAATCAGAAATGTTTGCAATTTATTTGATAATAGCTTTATTGCCACTACTTCAGAATCATAGGGAGAAGTGACTTCTCTTTTTGAAACTGAGAAGGAAAAGTGGTGAGATTTGAAAGAGAAGTGCTCGTTCACTCGAGGCGCTACAATGTTTGGTTTTTACTGTAATACAAAGAGCCATATGTATCTTATTTTTTTTATATTGTTCAATTTGTACCTGGGTATACAATTAAAGTAACAGTTCATATTCAAAGTTGTTTAATTTTATCATATCTAGTTGCACAATCATATTAGTCCTCTTGTCAGAAAAAAACAATTAAATATCTGGCAATAAAAAAAAAGGTTTTTTTTTTATATCAAAAAGGAAAAGAAAGTTGTTATATCATGTTTATGAAATTAAGTATTTCTCATTAAAAAGATATTTAAATTTAACAGTTTTATTTAACACAGTTAAGCTTGGATTTTAATATAATTATATTAGTGTAATAGTTCCAGAGTTGAGCAACTTTAAGTTATAAATTGAAACAATGCATATACATGGAAATATATACATTAATCAAGTAGATCTAACCAAAAGTATGTTAATGCTTGTGGAATGTGTAATTTTTCCTTTTGGGATCAATTTTCTTCTGTCAGCTGTGCCATTCATGCGTCCATATGGTAGTCATTATCGCAAGAATCCGGATTTCGGTCATAGATGGTCCGTTTCTGTTGAAGTCCTGACTCCGATCCGTAGTTGTACAATAATTTGCCAAAAATTTCAATGGCGGACGAAGACAATTTACAAATATAAATAATGTTTGACACGCTATTTGGAAGGGAATATGACATTTTTAATGCAATATAAGGATAACAAAATTTACTTCAGGCAAATTTCATCACGTTTTAATGAAGTAATAAGCTTCTTTTGAAGAAAGTTAGAATAATTTGATGTACGCTCTCGAGTAACAAGTACCGGAAGTGATAAAAAAAATGTCTTTACGAAAATAACATGCAACCAACTTTAAAATCAATGCTTTAACATCTTTTCTAAAGAAAATAAATTGTTTATGTCTTTGAATTTCTTTACTTTCAAATGCTGTTTCATCGACTTAGTAAATTTGGAATATTGCCGATGACGAAAGCGACTGAAAGCGAGTATCGTGAACAACAGGGCAACTAGATTTCGCTTTTGACGGTCAGGCAAAGCGAAGTGACAGACGGGAAAGCGACTTTGTCTCCCCAGTTGCCTGCTAGCGTGAGCCCTGATTGCTAATGACCTTTATGTGCTGATACATCAGTCATCAGTTTTACAATTTTGAATTACAATTTTATACAGAAATACACAAATTTGCTTATATTATTTTAAAGGATAAAAGAAAGAGCATGATTCTTTATTTTCTTATTCCTTGTGTATGTTCTTACATTTCTAGCCCGTGCATACAAAATTTGAAAATAACATTTACTGTGGATTCATTGGTTACCTATCTTCATGGATTTCATGGGTACAAGCGAACCATGAATTTAAATGTTAAACATATTACAATTTTTTTATAGAAATATATGCAGACTTTGGCAAAACCATGAAATCAAATATCCATAACAAGTTTTCCTCAATACTAGAAAATTGGTACTCATGAAAATAAATGAATCCACTGTAATTTATTTCTAATTAGAATCAAGTCCTGTCCAGTACACTTACCTTGTTTTAATTAACGAGTTAGAGTTTTTATACCATAAACTAATACTAATGCTGCCTGAGAGATCAATGGAAGCTACACCTGTCACTTGTATATCTATTATTAATCCATTTGATAAATGTAGTTTCTGAGAATGATCATGTAGTAAAAGATTTGCCTGCAAAATAAAATTGAAAAATGCAACAGATATTTTTTTGTCATTAGGAAAAGTTGAGAGGCCCGAAAATGTTACTGTTCACTTAAAATCATAAGATAAGTAAACAAAAATTTTGTTTGTTTGTTATAAAAACCCAAAACAAAACATAAACTGTTTACTGCTACAGTATTACTAAACGAATTAGTGGATTTTATAGATTAATTTTCTGTCAGTATTCTTGCTTGTTTTAACTAATTTTCCAAGTTAGTGAACAGAAAAGTTTAATACAGTGACCATTGCCCTTCTAGTAAATGTCACAGGGCCCATGAATAAAACTCATTGAGAAATATTTTTTTAGTACCAAAATACTTCCACTATGTGACCTTCACTATCCAAGAGGGTCTCACACAGTCAACAAAGTACTTCCACTATGTGACCTTCACTATCCAAGAGGGTCTCACACAGTCAGCAAAATACTTCCACTATGTGACCTTCACTATCCAAGAGGGTCTCACACAGTCAGCAAAATACTTCCACTATGTGACCTTCACTATCCAAGAGGGTCTCACACAGTCAGCAAAATACTTCCACTATGTGACCTTCACTATCCAAGAGGGTCTCACACAGTCAGCAAAATACTTCCAGAAATTCAGGTTTACTCAATAAAACAAAATAGTATCCTATTTACGGTACTAAGTAGTCATCAAAATGTAAATTACACATCTTTTATTGGGATTAAATCTACACAGTTAGCTAATCAATTCTGACAAATTTAGAAAAAACTAAGAAACATCTCCATAAGAAAAGATCTTTGAAGGTTTATCTATTTGTTATATGTCCTGAAGACAATGAGACAGCAATCTAAGAATACAACAAAGCTTTTGAAGGGTCAGAGTACTGCATTTACTAACATTTGTAAAGACAGGATATTACAGAACTTTGAGTGAACTCACAAAAGTATACCCCACCTTATGATAGATTATTACCACATAATGCAATATTGAAGTAAATAAATTTGATCATCTTCCTTTAATATTTAGTACAGAGTTGTATTCCTTTAGCACATCCTCAGGAAGTGTTCAGCAACTGTGAAAACTTTCTTTGATATCAGTCAAGCCATTTAGGAGTTTTTCTTACAAGGCACATTGAAAGGGGGACAGGTTGATTCCTAAATACCCTCCAAAATGTTTTTTGTTTATGGGGGTCATTAAACACCTGTAATTAATATTCATATACAAATGTACCTGTAATGCTGAGATTGGATCAGAGGGTGCATTCCATACAGCAGACATAAGTCCTCCAGAACCACGGAAAAATTCTATTGGTCTTAATAAAACGTCCATCAATGATAAAGTCATGCCTGCTGTAGCCTCAGGTCCCCCTTCTGGTACCTCCTCGTCTCCCCCTCCTATTAATGCTTCTAAGCCTTCAGCATACAGTTCAAACTACAATATTAAGGCAAATAAAATTATGAGGTATTAAGATTCTATATTGTAATGGCGTATTGAATCATGAATACTGTATTTTTTTAGTTTTTGCAGGGAATTTATTATTGCAATTGTTGAACAATGGACAAAAAAAGCAATTACAGAGAATGCTGTCTACAATAATGCTGTCAAAATGTAAAAAAAAAAATTTTTGAACGACCATATCCTGTTCCATTTTTGGCAATAATAAGAACATGTATAGCAACAAATTTCTGAATTTCTAAATTTTGCTGTAGATATTTTTAAAAACATGCTATGTATGAAGACTAAATAAGAGTTAATTGACCAATAAAGTTTTAAAATTTATAACCATTAATTTCTAGCATTTATCAAGTACTTTTTAGAACTGAAAAAATAAGAGGATGAGTTTTTTAAGGAGATTGCCAATGAGACAACTATCCACCAGAGTTCAAATGAAGTGGATGTAAGTAATTATAGGCCATCCAACAATCAACAATGAGAAAAAACCCATACTGTATAGTCAGTTATAAGAGGCCCTGACATGAAAAATGTGAAACAATTCAAACAAGAAAACTAACAGCCTAATTTATAACAATATCTATCTAATTCTCATTCATGCTTTCCAAATTATCCAGTATTTGTTTTTTAATTGAAATGGTATCATTTCTCCAATTGTTAAATCTTTTTCATTTGAGGACTTACATGAAATATATTTTTATACTTGATACTCAAAAATCCCACCTGACATAAAAATTGATCTCTGGCAATCTGATACTGCTCACAATACAGGAATAATTGTTTTAATTCATGACAAAAAGTTTCTGATCACATAAATCTTTACAAAACCTTTATGTCATTCGAGGATCAACCAATAAATTATCTTAGCATAATATTCAGTCATTTTAAATAATATAACTTTTTTTACCATAAATATACAATCATTGTAACTATTTAAGAGATTTTCTACTTTAACAATTTTTTTTCAAAGCATGACAACACAGCAACACTGTGTATTAATTATTTTTTGTCGATATACGTACCAATCTTCGTGGATGGATGAAAAATTGTAATTAAGTAGATATTTGATTTAGAGCTTTTGCCAAAGTCTGTATACCAGCTTATAGAAAGTTTGGACTTGGCTGAACATTTAAATTAAAAAAAAATTGAGAATGGAAATGGGGAATATGTCAAAGAGACAACAACCCGACCAAAGAGCACAAACAGCCGAAGGCCACCAATGGGTCTTCAACGCAGCGAGAAAATCCCGCACCTGGAGGTGTTCCTCAGCTGGCCCCTAAATAAAATTGTGTACTAGTTCAGTGAAAATGGACATCACCCTAAACTCCAAAACATATAAATGAACTAAAATTTAAAAACATACAAGACTAACAAAGGCCAAAGGCTCCTGACTTGGGACAGGCGCAAAAATGCGGCGGGGTTAAACATGTTTTGTGAGATCTCAACCCTCCCCCTATACCTCTAGCCAATGTACAAGGTTATTCTATACCCAAGAAATCAACGAAAAGTCATATCCCACAAATAATTATGAATACACAGTATGTATCTATGGCCAAAATATACTAACATTGAATACAGGCTGTGTCATGGCATCATTATATACTCCCACATCCATACCACTTCTCTTCATCACACCAGTTCTAGCTGTCTCCTGATGGAGGTAGTACGAAGAATTCATATCTTTCATAGCTGAAAAATAAGTATAACAACTCTGCATAAACTCTGCTTGTGTAATATTCTTACATTATAAGACAGTATTTATCCTTACCAATCACACTTTTGAGAATTTGAAATTGATAAGAACTTCTGTAAAAATACTTTGTTTGTATCAAATTTTGGAGTTTTGAAAAAAAAAAATTTGGTTTTAAAAGTTTAACATTTGAGGCTTGAAGAGAAACACTTTCAGACTCGAATATTGTTAAAATGACTTTTATTGAGTATTGTACTATTTTAAAAAATACTGTGATTCAATCTATTGTTCCATACCTACAAGTAACAAGTGTTATAACCTTACCTGCCATTAGTCCTGTAAATAACAAGTGTTATAACCTTACCTGCCATTAGTCCTGTAAATAACAAGTGTTATAACCTTACCTGCCATTAGTCCTGTAAGTAACAAGTGTTATAACCTTACCTGCTTTAGTCCTGTAAATAACAAGTGTTATAACCTTACCTGCCATTAGTCCTGTAAGTAACAAGTGTTATAACCTTACCTGCCATTAGTCCTGTAAGTAACAAGTGTTATAACCTTACCTGCCATTAGTCCTGTAAATAACAAGTGTTATAACCTTACCTGCCATTAGTCCTGTAAATAACAAGTGTTATAACCTTACCTGCCATTAGTCCTGTAAGTAACAAGTGTTATAACCTTACCTGCCATTAGTCCTGTAAATAACAAGTGTTATAACCTTACCTGCCATTAGTCCTGTAAATAACAAGTGTTATAACCTTACCTGCCATTAGTCCTGTAAGTAACAAGTGTTATAACCTTACCTGCCATTAGTCCTGTAAATGCACTTGATTTTCCTCTGTGACTAAAGAAGTTATAGTTGTTTATATCGTATTTCTTCAAAGCTGTTAAGAATGATTCCCTGTGGAAACAAAGTAATGTATTACAGCAGAGACTAAACCTGTGTTTACAAATATTCTTGTAAGCTATCAATTCTATTTAGTCTGCAACTGAAGCATTTAAAAAACGTGTGAAATTTCGGTGAATTTACCTCAGCCTCAGGTTTTCAGATTTCTGCAGAAGGCAATTTTGATTTCAAAAGCTATTGGTTTTAAAACTTTCTTGTAACAGATTGAACAGAAATGACCACTGATAATAAAAATTTACTTAAAAAATATGTTAACACATACATGGATTTTGTGAATTTAATGAAATCTACTAAATTAAAAAAAAAAAAATAATTGTTCATCAAGCCTAATATAAGAACATTAATAAGTAGAATAATAAAAAAAGAGCAGTTCATAAACTTAAAAAAAAAAGGTAATTAAAGAGTTCCTGGGGTAAACACCTGCTCAAGGTTAAAAGTCATGAAGTACCATTACTGTATGCTGTATGCTGATGTCGAAGTTGAAATTGACCTAAATCTCAAATTGTAAAATTGCAAAATTTAACATTATTTGTTTTCACTATTACTCGTATCTTATGTGTTACAAGTGTTTTTTATAAATGAGATTTTCATGCTTTTCTGTTTGAATGTTAATGGGCAAAATTACTTAAACTGTATAAAAAATATTATGTTTTAAGACCTGTATAATTTGGAAGTGTTTACACTTTTGCAAACTGAAATTTTTGGTGGTTTCATTGATCTTATTTTAAGGGATATCCTATATAAGTTTATCTTGGATGTGGACGATACATATTTCAATTTTGTAAAAATGTTAAAGAAAAAACATTGGGCCTTAACATTGCAGGTATTCTCAGCTGTTTCTTCTAAAGTAACATTTTATAGGGAATAATAAATTTTAGTAATAACTTCAAAACATTCTAATGAAAATTAATAATTACAATAGTCATACCTGACATTGTTATTTAAGTTAACCATATCTAAAACTCTTTTCATGGTATATAAAGACAACTCAAACTCCTTTCTATTGTCTAAAGCTGATTTTAATATACTATAGATTTCTTCTGAAGTGGGATTAAGCTGTACCAATAATTCAAGGGCAGCAACTCTGACACTTGAATCATATTCTCTGGTAATCTGTAGATACATCTTAACCAATCTAACTTTTGCCTAAAATGAGAAAGCAAATGACTGTTCATGGAGGAACTTCAATACTGCGGACCAACCTAAGGTCAAGGGTTAAATTTAAGTTGAACTTTTAACATGCTAGCTCACATGGTATCACTCAAAGGGAGATACATCCCCTGCTGAAAACATTCTTCAGACTGAGCTGCCAATATTTGCTTTAAATCTGAAATACAGAGTCCTTAGAGGTTGCAATTCTGTAAATACAGACAATGCAATTTCCCATAGGAACTCCCTTTGCGGCTAAAACTGTGACACTTTTACTATGAAGTTTCATGAAAAATAATATCCCAGAACGGAAAGTTTATATGCACTACTATTTTATTCAAAGGTCAAAATATAGGGCTGTGCGGCATATTTTCAACATTTATATGCCCTGAACTTCTAAGAGTTTAAACTTATACTAAAATTCTATACTACCCTTACCTCCATTTTTGGACCTCCTAAGAATTAAAATTTAGCCGCTACCATGTTTTTCTATACTGGTTACATTCCCAAGTGATGTCTCTATGAGATGAAACACAGAGATCATCAATGGGAACCAGTACGTTAACAAATTAACATACCTATGAATATTAAATATCTCCCCAAAAGAGGCGTGGTTTGAGAAACAGCTGTATTTACAAAGTGCAACCTATACAAACATTTATTCAAATAGAAAACTCTCTAAAAACACTTTTTCTCACAACAATACTTATTTATCAGAATTATAGCCTTAAAGAAATCACTGCATATACTCTAAGTCTCCTTTTACAGTACATTTTATACCCCTACCCCTGTTTCAATTTTTTAAAGATTTATAAAACAAGACTCTAATTATTGCCAGCTTACCCTATGTGCATGTTTTCTGACATGAACTGTCTAAAACCTGTTTGAAACTATTTTGATAACAAATTGAAAGCATTTTAGAATACTATAAATGTATTGTTTAGTAGTTAAGCATTCCAACATTCAAGATTATACAAAGTATCCAATCCTGCCTGTGTCTCCAGTCCACATCTTACTGTATGCCTATTTGTCAATGAAAGTTCACAATTTCTGCCTCAAATGGTCAGTTTAGAATTCTTGTCACAACAGTATCATCCCTAACCATATATCTAACATAAGTTAGTTAATATATGTCCTAGAAGTGTTTAAACAAAGCCATATTTGCAAAAGTTGTATTTATGAAGATATCAGTCTGGTGCATAAATTCACTAAAAGTTTGATTGAAATGACTGCTTACATCTGACTTTTGCATAACTTCCTAGCACAGTTATTGTTCACTTTATAAAAGACCTTTAAAATAAAAAAATCATAGCATTTACAAGTTAAATTATCTGTTTTATGACTCAGGGGTAGGCATTTTTCTCTGTGTTTTGCCCCTGGGGCCTCACATTTCCTAATTTTTTTCCCTGTTTCTAGCAATGTGGAATATTTACTACATATTTAGGATAGAACACACTATTGTAAGTTTTACTGAGGTCTTTTTGTAATTCTAGCTTGTACTTTTTTATGCCGCAGTCACAAAAAAGCACATTTAGGCGTTACGGCTTACTTTTGGGTTATCGACAGGACAAAAACACCCCACCAGAAATATTTAGGAAGGATCAATGAGTTGCGATTACTGCGAAGAGTAAATATAAGCACTTCAAAACAATTTAAATTACAAATAGGCATATATTATGAATTTATTTTGAATTCAGGGCTTTAAGTAAACCATGCATACTGTAAACTGTGAATTTATGCTGAGTCATCATAGTTAAGGCCCAGGATTTTACTCAATCTTCATGAAATATTTATAAAACTTCATATTTGGGTTAAATTCTTTAAAATCTCTGAGATAAACCAGATTTTGTGAAATTCTGTATGTTCTATTTTTTAACCCTATATAGGTTGCAATTCTGTAAATACAGACAATGCAATTTCCCATAGGAACTCCCTTTGCGGCTAAAACTGTGACACTTTTACTATGAAGTTTCGTGAAAAATAATATCCCAGAACGGAAAGTTTATATGCACTACTATTTTATTCAAAGGTCAAAATATAGGGCTGTGCGGCATATTTTCAACATTTATATGCCCTGAACTTCTAAGAGGTTAAACTTATACTAAAATTCTATACTACCCTTACCTCCATTTTTGGACCTCCTAAGAATTAAAATTTAGCCGCTACCATGTTTTTCTATACTGGTTACATTCCCAAGTGATGTCTCTATGAGATGAAACACAGAGATCATCAATGGGAACCAGTACGTTAACAAATTAACATACCTATGAATATTAAATATCTCCCCAAAAGAGGCGTGGTTTGAGAAACAGCTGTATTTACAAAGTGCAACCTATAGGAGAAGAATCAAATACTAACTTTAAAGTCTGCGTGGAATTGGCACAACCTTCTTGAGAAGAGGGGATGAACAACGAGACCACAGGAGCAGTTCAGTCCTAACGAAAATTTTGACAGATAGAATGTGAAACTGATGACATCAAAGCTCAGACTAATAATTTGTGATAATAAGTCACAAACTGTAAACCAACTTAATTTGCTAGGGATCTATTTACACGATGTTCTTAAATATAAATCATGTAAATATATATCTTTTCTGATACATCAATAAAATTACAAAAATATGGAAAATAAATTTCTGCAAACATGGCTAAAAAGGGTTCAATGAGAAAAAAAAAAAGAATATGTGAAAATAAATAAGTTTTCAGTAATGTTCAGTGATTTTTTATCTTGTTTATTGTTCGGTTGCTGAAAATAGTGCAATGGTATTCTTTTTATTAATCATTTCTTTATTCAGTATCCATAGTTCTCAGTTTTTGAAAGTTATTATTGTTTTTGGTACATGTATGTGGATTTATAGTATAGAGGATTCTTATATCAAAGAAGTTCTGTCTCACAATGTATAGCGAATATTCAAATGACACGCATGTTTATATATACTATATGTTTTTCTCACATGAGTGATTTTACTTTAAACTGCTTGATTAGAGTTCATAAATGAAGATAATTTATTTACTCAATTTACTCTTTATTCCTGAACAAACATTGTTACCTGATCTTTTAGGAAATCTTTGTCCATCCTTCTCAAGGCTTGCACTGCAGCCAATGATACTGCTGGATTTTTACTGTTTTGAGCAATAGTAAGTAACTCAGGTAAGAACTCAGCTAATCCTGCATTTCCTACAGATCTAAGGTGTCTCAATGTACAGCTGTCGTCTCCACAATCCTTTAACATTTTTCTAATCAGTTGTTTGTATTCTTTAACTATCTGTGAAGTAAATGTAAAAGATTTTTAAAAAAAACTGGTTTACTAAAAATTAAATTTAATGCTGGGCCAGGAGTGCTAGATACGTCCATCCTATGAATATTAAAATTGTTGTAAAAATATATACGGAAGAAGGCATTATATCAGAAGTGAGAAAAGTGCAGAAAAACTTGCAGCAGACTATCCTTAGGGTTATGAAAATTGACTGAACTTTGATGGTTCTCATAAGTCTGGAATAACAATCAAGAAATTATTAAAATGAAAATTGAACTTACTCTAACCAATCCAAATAATTGTATCAAGTTTTAAGTAAATTGATGCAGGTATTTCACCAATCTCGAGTTGTTTTTTATGAATGAGTTACACTAGTTGACCAGAGGGTTAATCGGCGTATACGATGTCTTCGAACAATCATTTCTGATTGTGACATAACAGAGGCATTGTGACACAGGAAATTTAGGGCAAAGTGCACAATGTCAAAAGTCGTCTATATTTGAGTTAGTGTGTCATATGGAAATTTAAAAATTTAAATCTGAATGAAAATAAAGAACTTTGGTTAGGTGTTGGGTTAAGAGCTCACAACTATTCTATCCCCAGCACATTCTTGATATCTTTGTCCGTAGATAGATGCCAATCATTAAGTGGTTGTCGTTGGCTGCTGCCTGCTATAATTGTTTTTAGTTTATTGTCATAGTATAAAATATGTCTTTGGTTTTCTCTTCTGTATTGTTCCACATTGTCATCTCAAGGTTTTTTAGAACTTATCATATACAGTACAGGTTTTTACTTATTGTTAAAGGCCGTACATTGACCTGTAATTGTTCTCCCTCTAATTTATGATATTTCTATGGAAAAAATATGGAATGAGAAATCTTCAGCTGACACTGTACTAATCTGTAAGTTATTGGCTCCTCAGAAGTCTGTCACTACTATCTTAAAACTAAAGAATATATTACCTCATGTTGACATTGATCTTGGTATTGACAGTATGTGTGTATAACAGCTCCTGTTGCCATAGCAACAGATTCTTGAATATTAACATTTGGTAGTTTCTTCTTCATTAAATTCTGAAAAGACGAAACTATCTTTAAATTTCAATAGGATTATTAAATGTTTCTTAAAAATTCAAGACATTCTTTCTCATTTTAATATCAAATAAATTATGAAAACTAAAAATCTTTCAATAAACATGAACAATTACAGAAGTACCATGGGTGCATTAGACTAGTTGCTATCTAAATAGATCTATAGCAGGAGAAAGAGATAATTTGTGTTGAGAACATTGAAGACTATAATGTCTGTCGACTATTTACATTTGATGGTGAGGACAAAAATTTGTTGAACATATGGTTCAAAAGACAACATGTTAAAAAAAAATTATTGCTGGAATTTCATTTTATCAATAGCTGCTTTGACCTGAACTATTGACCTGTGATCTTGACCTATAACCTCTTTCTTCAAAATCAATAGAGGTCTTTCCAATCCAGTGGGGTATTATCAAACCAAGTAGTGAAAAATTTGACATAAAGATAACATCTGAAAACAAAAACCCCAAAATTTCAGATTGCCAATAGTTGTTATGATCTTGACCTTTAACCCTAAAAAAAGTTCTTCCTCACCCCATAGGTCTTCATCAAACTAAAAGTTAGACATATTGGTCCAAAATCAGAAAAATTAACTCTAGGACATCTAAATGGCATTCATCATATTATAAGCTGAGTATGCTGAATAATTCAGCTAAAAACTTCTGTATATTAAGACTTGATCAGTAAAAAAATATAATCCTGTAAACAGTAAATGAGTTCACAGCATACTTTGGGAAAAGTGGTTATAACATCTTTTTAAAAAAGTTGATTGTCCACTATTATAAAACTTGTCCGAGATATAGCTGATATTAACCTATAGTATAAGTTTTATAAAAATCTGGCAAGAATTGTACCTGTGAGAGCGCTAACAAGACCTTATGGACGGACACATGGATGGACGCGCGGTATTTCCATGTCCCCCACAACGCGTTACACGGGGGACAAAAATATTGCTACTCTTTGCATAATCAGAACAAATGTGTTGCCATATTTCATTACATACAATTAAATCCTTTAAGAGGTATTCGCCAGGATGAGTACTGTAAGCCAGGGCCAGTAACAATCTCTCTGGATATTCTGTAGAATAGTCCTGTTCAAACTGGACCAGGTCCATCATAGCTCTCTGTGCAAATGGTGTCTGAGTAGCTGCTCCTACATCTATTAACTGGGGACTATTAAATAAATAAAAAAAAAATTTAATAGTGTAAAATCCCAAATTTTCAAATATTAGTCTTTCCTCTAATTCATAACAAAACTTTCGATATTCCTCTGGACAAAACAATTACTTTTCTGCAATGTTGAAAACTTGCATCATCGATAAAACTGCTCTTTAAGTAAAAGTGATATTCTGAAGGTTTTGACCACCAAAATTTGGCAAAGGACAAACACAAATATAAATAATATTGAGGTCCAGCAGATTTTCTTCATGGACCACCAGGGAAAAAATATTATGAGAACTCTGCCAGATACTGTGCATTCAGAATTTCATAAGCATTTTTTGTGTTTAAATTTTTTAAGTAGGATTAACAAGATGCATTTTGAGGTATTATAATAGCTTAGTTATGTTCAAATTCAAGGTATTTGTTTTCTGCTTGATTCTTCTGAAACTTGCACTTCATCATACACAAGTTCATGTGACTGACACAAGTCAGGAACCTCAAAAGTGATTGCCTTTTGTTATCTCTTAATGTTTTATGTCATTTGAATATTTGGTGTTGATTGTAGATATTGGATTGTCTCCCTTAGTATGTGAATGATTTATTACTTTTCATATTGTATAAACACTGGTCTAATGTTGTAATACTGTAAATTCAGAAATTATTGTGTGCATTTATTATTGTGATTTTTGAAAAATTTACAACAATGCAAGATTAATTATTGCAATTTCAGGAAAATCTGCTTACAAATATATATGTATCAGATATCAGAATGCAAGTTTTTATTATTGCGAATATCACCAAGTCGCATTATTCACATTAATAAAAACCTCGCACTAATTTCTGAATTAACAGTACCCTATAGATGTTGTCCTAGATAGATCTATTTGGTTTTTTGTCGAGCCTGCGACTTTTGTCGCAGAAAGCTCGACATAGGGATAGTGATCCGGCGGCGGCGGCGGCGTTAGCTAACTTCTTAAAAGCTTTATATTTTAGAAGGTGGAAGGTCTGGATGCTTCATACTTTGTATATGGATGCCTCATGTTACGAAGTTTCCGTCAGTCACATGTCCAATGTCCTTGACCTCATTTTCATGGTTCAGTGACTACTTGAAAAAAAAGTTCAGATTTTTTGTAATGTTAGATTCTCTCTTATTATAAGTAATAGGATAACTATATTTGGTATGTGCGTACCTTGCAAGGTCCTCATGCCCGTCAGACAGTTTTCACTTGACCTCAACCTCATTTCATGGATCAGTGAACAAGGTTAAGTTTTGGTGGTCAAGTTCATATCTCAGATACTATAAGCAATAGGTCTTGTATATTTGGTGTATGGAAGGACTGTAAGGTGTACATGTCCAACTGGCAGGTGTCATCTGACCTTGACCTCATTTTCATGGTTCAGTGGTTATAGTTAAGTTTTTGTGTTTTGGTCTGTTTTTCTTATACTGTATGCCATAGGTCTACTTTATTTGGTGTATGGAATGATTGTAAGGTGTACATGTCTAGCGGGCAGGTGTCATCTGACCTTGACCTCATTTTCATGGTTCAGTGGTCAAAGTTAAGTTTTTGAGTTTTGGTCTTTTTTTCTAATACTATATGCAATAGTTCAACTATATTTGGTATGTGCGTACCTTGCAAGGTCCTCATGCCCGTCAGACAGTTTTCACTTGACCTCAACCTCATTTTATGGATCAGTGAACAAGGTTAAGTTTTGGTGGTCAAGTCCATATCTCAGATACTATAAGCAATAGGTCTTGTATATTCGGTGTATGGAAGGACTGTAAGGTGTACATGTCCAACTGGCAGGTGTCATCTGACCTTGACCTCATTTTCATGGTTCAGTGGTTATAGTTAAGTTTTTGTGTTTTGATCTGTTTTTCTTATACTGTATGCCATAGGTCTACTATATTTGGTGTATGGAATGATTGTAAGGTGTACATGTCTAGCGGGCAGGTGTCATCTGACCATGACCTCATTTTCATGGTTCAGTGGTCAAAGTTAAGTTTTTTGAGTTTTGGTCTTTTTTTCTAATACTATATGCAATAGTTCAACTATATTTGGTGTATGGAAATATTTTATGATCTATTTGGCAGTCACACAGGTTTTATTTGACCTTGACCTCATTTTCAAGGTTCATTGCTCAGTGTTAAGTTTTTGTGTTTTGGTCTGTTTTTCTTAAACTATAAGCAATATTTCAACTATATTTGTTGTATGGAAGAATTGTTAGCTGTACATGCCTGCCTAGCATGGTTCATCTGACCTTGACCTCATTTTCATGGTTCATTGGTCAATGTTTAGTTTACTTGGTTAATGTTAAGTTTATGTGACAGTTGTAATAAAGCTTTATATTTAGGACTATCAACATAATATCAATGATTAGTAAAGAAGGCGAGACATTTCAGCGTGTGCACTCTTGTATTTCTTTCAGTTGATGTCTCATTGATGTATACCCACACATTGTTCTCTTTCTGAACATGCATGAAATATTTGCCACTGGACATCAACAACTGTTCAACAATCAATCAGTCATGCATACCCCAAATATCCTTTTATTCATGTGTTCCTTATAATCTTGAGTCTTCTGTTTTGCATGGGAAGAGTTTTTACTCGAACCTATAGTCATCTTTAAAATTGTTCATACTTACACAATATAATAGCTATCAGTATTGGTAAGAATTTCCTCAATAGTTAACTTCCCTGTATTTCTAAATGTTCTCAACAGTTCTATAAAGGCTTTGCCAGATTCAGCTGTAGCTAATTTTTCACTTACTAAGCTTTCTTTCAAACTTCTTAAAACGTCTATTGGCTGTAAACAAAAATAACTCAGCTAAAAAATTATTTTATAATAGTGGAATTTTCTTGTAAAATCTGAGATATGAGGATTTCAGACATACAAAATACATACACATATACATTTGTTCATTGAAAAGGAGAAAGGTGTTTAAAAAAAGATAAAAACTTGAGAACAAAATGACAGATGAAGGTTGTTGTAATATCTCATTTTGGCTGCCTTTATCTTTGTGGTATATTATTATGTTATGTGTGTATCAAAAATGTTTTTTTTTATTTAACAATGGGTTGATAGTAAGTTACTTCATAAATGTTTAAAACTAAAACATAAATACATGTTATTTCAAACTTTGTGGAAAGTTTGAAAGTTATCACAATATTTTAAATAATAAAAATTTCAATATTTTTCTTATTGAGTATTAAAAGATAAAAACCTTTTGACAGTTATCTATACATGTTTGCACTTCTGTACCACTTGGCAGTAATGTTGATGAAAAACTCTGACCTAAATCTGGAAAAAAAAAAAAAAAAAAAATTCACACAAAACAAGTAACATTGTAATTTATGAATGTTCCTATGATCATATTGGGTATAATTCATTGAAAAACAAATGTAGATTTAATCTTTCAATTCTTTTTTTTACATGAATACCAGTATAATTTTAAATGCTTGGTAAATGCAAGAAACTGAGTTGCTTAGCTACCTCAGTAGTAAGCCTAGCCTTCTCATTTGCAGGGATTTGTCAATTTGATCCTTGGCTATGTTAATCTTTTATTTGCTGTTTTCTTAACTAAGCATGCAGTACTTTCAGGATTTAGGAGTAAAAGTAAACAATCAGAATAATAATTGAGAAATAAACCACTGATGTTAGTTAATCCATCTTCCATCCAAAGTGTTTTAATCAAATATGAAAAAAACTTAAATCAAAACTCTTGATTGACATTAGAATTATATAATTAATATCATAATTTTCTCTGGTAATATTGCCATGCAAAATAAATCAATTTCTTGATAATATACATAAGATCAGGTTTTATTTAAGGAATGACTGTAATATTTTTTTCTGTCTATGAAGAAATAACCTCAAAAATGTGGTGCACACTATAATCCGTGTAGCAGGTTATTTAAAAGAGTGCACCATATTTTTTAGGTTATTTCAAATAATTTTTAAGGAGTAAATCATGAAAAAACTTGGATGATGTCATGGTCACATGACAAAAGTATGTCTATGAGCTGATAGACAAAAAACTTTCAGCCAATCAGAAGACGTGTTACATCCAAAATTAAATTATTGCAAAATATTACCAATACTTAAACAAAGAATTCTTATATACAATTTACCTTTACCAAGATGGCTGACTATATCATCTATAGATGAACCTTGTTCAGTTGACTTTCCTACCATTGAACTGATATGTTGCAATGATTGTCTACAATGAAAAGAAATAATCCTTATTGCTATTATTCAAGTAAATAAGAGTTATTTCCCTTGAGACATTCATTTTTCACATAGCTTTCATATCATTTTTTTCACATTTTTTTTTCAAACATTGGTTTCATTGTTTCTTTTTTGTCAATTTTATATGTTATTCCAAATTCCATTGGCTGAAATAAAATTTCACATGTGAAGTAAACCTTGTAATTTCACTCTTCTGACTCATGTGTCCACTGTCTAGGAAATTGTGTTGAGACGCCACAAAAAAAAAGTCAAATTTCTGATTTCATGGTAAATCAAAATCTCTTTGTTTGTGATCATGTTACAGTACTTATAGCATATCAAGTATCTTACTGAGCTGTCGCTGCCGTGTTTATAGATGACTTGATATTTATTGTAGCTACACTGTGATGTATGCCTTGAGCTGACTGTATAACACCATCAGATAACTCATACTGTGTCATGGAGGTGCTTGAAACGGATACTCCAAACAACTGAAATGTAAATCACAAATAAATAACTATTATCATTTTCAGAAATCAAGGTGACCAGGGATGATTACACTTGAATTTAGCCTAATATCTTTTATATCAAGGAATTTGATCAAATCCACAAATTGCAGTTAACAAGAATTGTCATTGATTTGAAAATCATCCCATATCATCTAACATGTCTAATGTATAAAGGTTCTTCTTTAAATGAAACAAGCGAACAAAATTATTTATCAAAATTTCTTTCAGTGTGCCGCAAAGTAAGGGAACATACTATATTTGGTTAATTATGAAATACTATCATGCCTGTGTATTCCTCCATTTTTTTTTAAAAACAATTTTGTTAGATTGAAGAAAAAATGAATATTTAGGGACACTTTTTTCATGGTTTTGACATTGTAAGCATTCCACCATAGCAAACTCACCAACTGAGTAAAAAGATGATGTCATGAACTGTTTAAAATACTGTCAATTCAGAATTTTTTGCGAGGTTATTATTAATGCAAATAATACGAATGGGTGAGTATTGTAATAAAAGAAATTGTAATCTGATATCCGAAGCTTATACATTTATCTGTATGCAGATTTTTATGACATTGTATCAATTAATCTCACATTTTTGTCCATTCGCCAAAAATTGCAGTAATAAATGCACACAATATTTTCTGAATTTACAGTATCCAATAATGTAATACAGTAGACTCCGGCAAATCGGATACCCAAAATGTCAGGTTAAAATATCCGATTACCCGATATATTCAATTAGACGATGAATGTATATTCATTGAATATTCTGCAATAATGAGTAGATATAATCCTGAGATGTTACTAACCCTGACAATTGCTAAATATGGGAAAGGGCTGGAGGATTGATGGAGTGATTTTTATCAGTTACATCACCACGATGTTCGTGTAAAAAATTATCAGCTGATTATGTAATGATTAAATTTGTTTGCAGTTTTTAAATCCTTTATTTATTAAAATAAATCAAATGTCTTGAAATATTTATGTGAATTATTATCTACCATCCATAGTTTGTCTTTATTTGTTTTGTAAGCAAATAAATATCCATTATTTACATTATCACACAGGTAAACTAATTTGGCTATAAATAGATCTAAGCATGTCTGTGTAGAATCTCCAAACTAAAATCGTATTTGTTATAATTTTATTTCTTTAAATAATCAAATTTAAATTTATGAAAATAATCATGATTGATAAAATATTATTGCATAAAGTTTATGTTTTCTGAAGACAATTTATATTTAGGTCATAGTTCTAGAGGCTTTCTCACAAATTTGTAAACATCCAAAATGGCGTCCATGACATGTGGTTACTTTTGCACATGTGAAAAAAATATATCTGACAAAAGTCAGATTTCTCTTGTCAAAAGGGATTTATATTTATATTGCAATAAATTATTCAGAAGGAGGTACATTCAGTTTAGATTATATAGCTGATTCTGTGAACATTTAGAGTTAATCAAAATTCTCCAAACAGCAACGTCAACTTGTCAACTGAGTCTTGCATATTTTATAAATAAATTCAAACCATTTGAAGTAAAAGGGCATCTAATTCACATGACATAGGAAGACAATGATTAAAGACAACAATTTATTAAGAAATAGTTCCTTTTATTTAGTAAAAACAAAATCTTCTTGTCTGCAAGATTGTAAATTCGGAATTCTAGACATATCGGCACCCAGACAACTCGGCACCCGGACAAATCGGCACCCGAGAAAGACACTTCGGCACCCAGACAAATCGGCACCTACACAAATCGGCACCTAACATAGACAAATCGGCACCTCATAAAGATAAAATCAATTATTAAATTCTTGATCAAAATATAATGAACCAAAAATCAAAATTTACTGTGAGTGATATAGATATGTTGGCATGACCTCAATTTGCAAGTTTAGTGTTAATATAGCAATAATTTCGACTTGTATTCTTTTTCCATATGCATGAAAATTGATTTCATAGATTTCACCATTCATGTACTAGTTTTAATGTAATGCATAGTTCTATTCCGATAGTATTCTAAATCAATGAAACACATGTATCATATTTATAATATTTATTTTATTTATTATAATCATATTCATAACAGTTTATAGACACGTTAACAGCACTAGATTTACATCAAAGGTGAACACATGATAGTAATGAAACATTTTAAGCCCTGTAAATATAACATATAACATATATACAGGCAGCACTATAAGTTTTAACAAAGTCACTTTGGTGGTGTTCCGTACACACTGGCACATTCCTTTAGCAGTCTGGAGGTGGAGATGCTGTTGCTACAATACTGGTCCCACAGTCTATACACTTTTGATCTCCATTGAGAAATTATCAAATTTCATTATAAACTTACATTAAATACTGATTAATGCATAACTACAATTAATTATGATTTAATTAAATGATGTTTATTCAAACACCATCATACTTAACAATCAATTAGGATTTAATTAAAATTTAATGATGTTTATTCAAACACCATTGTTTAGGGTTAAATTAAAAAAAGACAATTATTTTTTCAAATTTTGTAATGCATATTTTATTTACGGATTTTAATATTTCTGTAACAATTCTTTTATTTTTCTTAATATTTATAGATTATCGTTGGTTATCTCAACGAAATTGATTTTCTCGCTTTAGCCGGTACGGCGAAAGTGAGAAAAGCAATCAAGTTGGGCTGACCAATGATAATCTGTTTATCGCTGTTTTACCTATGACGACGTTGCTAATTTTATTGACAACGGGCACGTGGGCCCTTAGTTTCTAGCGATAATTTTTCATATCACTCGACTCCACTGAGAAAGAAAATGATCAGTCAGCAAGATCATAGGAAAATTTTTAAAATAGCGATAAATATATATATATATATAAAAAAAAAAATGAGGTGCCGAATTGTCTTGGTCCCGAAATGTCCTGGTCCCGAAATGTCCAAAACGGATGCCGAAATGTCTTCGGACCTGGGTGCCGATTTGTCTGGATGCCGAAATGTCTTGTTACCGTAAATTCGTAACTTCCGGGTCCATTTCCTGTCAGAAAAACATTGAAAATATCCGATTGTGCATGGTTTTGAACAAAATGACCTGAATATTCTTATCCGATTTGCCGATATATTCTTATATCCGATATTCGATTACACGATAAAATCAACATTAAACATATAGGGAAGGGTTTGGTGTTTTGAAATAATATTACAATAGCCGATATATTCGTTTAGCCGATATCCGATAAGGTGGAGTCTACTGTATGTACCTTATTAGGATTTATATACTGTCCAGCGATCTCTAAATTCTGACAGCCATGTTTAGTCTTTGTTACTGTGGACCCAGTTTTTACATAAGACACTTTACACTCTCCAGACACATCCAGCTGAAACAAAACCATTTAAGATTTTATTATTTACTGAGTATGCATGTTTTCTACATTTGCAACTCCCAGAAAATTTGTGTTTATTCATTCTTTCACATTCCACTGTAGTTAAATAAGGTCATAATATACAACTGAATTATGATTAAACTATAAAAAAGCCTTATTCATATGCCTGTCCCAAGCCAGAACCCTGTAGTGGTTGTCATCGGTTACTACCTGCCATAAAGATATTTAATCAAAAGTACATTGTAACTTAAATCAGGTCTTTGATCTTCTTTTTGAATGTTTCATCGTTTGTCAACCATCTGCTTTTTATAGCTTACTATATGATATAAATTTTGCTCATTGTTAAAGGTCCTTCAGTGATCAGTACCAGTAGTTGTTTTCATTCATGTCCTTCGGTGGATATAGTTGTCCAATGGACAATCATACCTCATTTCCTAATTTTTATATGTATCTTCAGTGCCAATGAAAGGAATACCATGTTATTGCTGTCTGAAATTCATTCATAGCTTTCAAACAAAGTGTTATTAATGGTATTGTTGAAATCATCTGTTTGAAAGTTTTTAAAGATGCCATGATGATTTGGTTGATCATTATGGAATATCTGTATCAATAACAAGGATGAGTTCCACTTGTTATAGTCACATTTCATCCTTTTTTCTCAAAAGGATTTTTACTTGCCATGAAAAATTTGACAGGTACCAATAGTGAAGCAAGAACTGCTAAACTTTGACCAATAGCAAAGCAAGAACTGCTAAACTTTGACCAATAGTGAAGCAAGAACTGCTAAACTTTGACAAGTACCTGAGTTCATACCCTCTGTGTTGTGTGGTGGAGTTAGTGTTCCTCAATATTTAGTTTTATATGTAATGTGTTGTGAAATTGTCTTTTTCTTTTAGCCATTGGGTTTCTTAAGCTGATAGTAAGCTTGAAAACAAAAATTTGGAAAGACAAAAAATAAAGTATTGAGAATAAAAATGAACTACTTTAAAGTTTTTCAATAATTACCTCTTCTCTATTCCCGTCTTTATTTTGCATTTGAAATAAAGATATTATTCCTTTTTTCAAGTTGTTGCAGAAAACACTTTCTTTCTCCAGCCCAAATACTCTTTCCACAGTACCATCAGATAGTTCAAAGTATACTGGGTATTTCAGTAGGGTGGCTAAGGCATTTGTAAGATCTGGTCTTGATACACTTGACAATGCTGCACTAGTAACCTGTAGAAGATATATGTTACAAGGTTAGACGTCATAAGATGTCCATTATAATATATGTACAATGTTTATCAAATTCATTTCATAAGAAATCTGGATAAAGTGTAGTTTTTAATATCTCATTGGCAATTATACCACTTCCCCTTATTTTATATAGTGTTGTGGTGGCACCGCAACACTATATAAAATGACCGTGAGGATCAATCAAAATTTTGATATGTCATGATAATATCCCTTGACTTTTGGTATTTTTATGTGTATTTCAACCAGTTATGATCTAGATTCGTCAGGTATGTTATTGCATTCCCGTTTTGATAATGAATATTAATACTCATGTTGTTAGTTTGTCCTAATTGCGGCAGGTCACTACCAGGTGCAGATTCAGACAGGGGGCGTGGTGGGTGTGCGCCCCCCCCCCCCCCCCCTAAAATTTGCAAAACATGGGTTGTCCTCAGCTTAATAAAGAATATTTCGATAATTTAACCTTAAAAAAAATTTCGCCGAACATTTAAGTTTGCGCCCCCCTAACCTAAAATCCTGGATCCGCCCCCGACTACCTTAAAATTCTTCAAAGGTTTTCAGCAGTAACTGTCATGAAATATAAGTTTCTTCATAAATATAAATATTAAGTGGAACAAATATTAAAGTATTTGCTCATAACGTAATAAAGGGTATAGAATATTTGTTCCAACAGGAACAGATATTATGGCATTGTTTATAACAAAGTTTCCAGGGGAACTTCTGTAAGGCGGAACAAATATACATTGACATCTTGACCATAAGGTTGACTAAATGCTGTCTAAGTATGATTTTGTTGTCACCTTAAATGCTTAGTAGCCTAAAAAACATAACCTTGATCCTGTAAAAGTGTAAATTCAGAAATAATTGCTATATTCTTATTAATGCGAATAATGCAACAGTATCAAGTTTGCAATAATGAAAACTTGCATTCATTATTCCAGGAGTAGTTTTCCTTCATAAAATTTTGGTATTTGCATCATTTAAGTTTCCCATTTTTCCCAGTGGTCATGGATTCACAATAATAAATGCATGCATTAATTTCTAAATTTACAGTAAAAGTTTAAAACTCTATATGGACAAGTGAAATCTGATGATATTTTTTTTTATTATTTTGTGTCTATAAATATTATTTTGCTCAATAATCAATTTTTTAAATGTCTTATGTGCAGTTATGTTAATTACACATAATATCTCATTTAAATTTATAATGAATTTTTGTTTACAATATATGAAACGAGAGTTATCTCCCTTTTGCTGTAAAATTTAATAATAAATTTCCCATTCAAATTTCAGCAAGAATTTGCTTCTGGTTATCATGGTCAATAAATACTGCCCCCCCCCCCCCCCAACCCCCAACCCCCCCTGGAACTATGTTCTACTTTGCTGGATAAAATATTAATTTTTAATGGGGGTAAAAGTCTAATAAAATAGTTTGATCTTGTTCTGTATTATATGCTACATTATAGAACATTTTTTGTTTTGCAAATTGTAATAATTTCAGAGAGCCTAAAGAATCAGATTTTAACAGAAAATCATTCAAACTTGTCAAGCCAAACTCAGATACAATTCAGAAGTTAAAATGCAGTCTATATGTCTATTGTTTATTGTTGGAGACCACATGTTAACTTCTAAATTTCTTTTAGCTTTGAATATGTTGTTTGGTCATTACCTCATTGACATATACCTTTCAAAATATATTTTATTCTTACCTGTAGTTTCATTAGCTGTACATCACCTGCTTGGAAGACAGGCGATACATCAAATTCTGTACTTAAGTAATATCCAACGTCTTTCTTCCCTCCTGAGTTAGCTTCATTGAACACAACATTGGTTGAATATGAGTATTTATGAGTTTTTCCATTTTCAAATGATTGTGAAAGGCCTGTAAAAAAAGAAAACATTTTCCTGCTGCTCAAATATAAAATAACACTAACAGAAAGAGAAAAGAAGCAACCATCTCTTTTTTTCTTTAAATTTCCTAAGCCCTCACCAAAATAAAATGGTTGTTCTTATTTGATAAAAAAAAGTTTGGTGAGGGATATTTCCTGTAACTCTTACTTTAAATTAACAGATTATATTGTTAATTAGTGAGCAGTCCAAAACATGATGAGGATACAACATGTTCGTTTGGTTTTTTTTTTATTTCAAGGACTTTTTAGGGGAAGAACTTTCTTTCTTTATTAAAATTTCATATTTGATAAAATTGAGTAAAAAACTTGCAATTAGGTGATTTTTTTTTTCATCAACACATCTAATTCAAAGAAAAACAAACTAATGTGGTGTGACCTGTCTTAAACTAATTATCCAGTTATTTCCTAAATATTAGTAAAAAAGTACAGATTGGGCTACTTAGCATTCAGAGTTAACTATGCATACACACATACCCAAGAGGGTAACACACTTTAAAGTGACATTTGCATGCATGCAAACAAAAACAATCAATAACATTTTGCACAATATACATGTATGTACAAGCTTAAGTTGATCAAAAAACATTCTACAAAATTATTATATTTTTAAGCCTAATACATTTATACAAAGTTTGAAAATGAGTTTATACAATGATGAAAAGAATATTGCTGTTCATCTGTCAATGCATACATGTATATACACAAAAATTGTAATTCATCTGTCCATGCATACATGTATGTACACAAAAATTGTAACTCATCTGTCCATGCATGCATGTATGTACACAAAAATTGTAATTCATCTGTCCATGCATACATGTATGTACACACAAATTGTAATTCATCTGTCCATGCATACATGTATGTACACACAAATTGTAATTCATCTGTCCATGCTTACATGTATGTACACACAAATTGTAATTAACCTGCAACTTAATCAATTGAACATGTTGAAAAACAAGAAGTGCAGTGAACCAGGAAGAAACTGGAGAGTGCAAGGAGTCTTTTCTGAGTTTGAGTAAATATATCAATTTTCATGCTTATGGATTGGAAAAAAAATTATGTCATGGTTAACACTTGAAGAGATACATGTGTAGGCCTTGCAAGTATACATGTTTGTATTTTGAATGGTGCCCTACCTACCTACTGGCCGAGTACCCAAATTTGGCATAATACCCCGACTCAGTACACCTTTAAAATAATCAAAAATACATTCATATGTATTTTCATAATAATAATTTTGTTGTTTTGTCGGTTTTTTAAATCAATCTCTACTTTTTTAAAGTTTTCCAAGACATCTTGTAATTCTGTCAAAGAAATGCCAGTTTAGCTTATATCTTCATTTTAAACAGTATTCATAATTATACTAGCTCCTTTATTTTTGAACAAACACTTCTTATTTTATGATATATGGCAAAAATGTTACTTCTCAAACTTGCCTAAATACATGTACTTAAACCATTATTGAGGACCAAGTCATAAAAAAATAAGGATATTTAATGCTGAAATTCAAAATAACATCATTTTGACTATTTGAGATCTTTTTCAATAGATAGAATAATACTACACATTAAAATTGTTGAAAAGTTAAGACAGGTCTGCCTACCCAATTTGGAGTAAAATAGCATTTGAAACAAGGGAAATCTGTTATATGAATATTAAATACAATTAAGCTGGCATGTAATGTTTTACATTTGGCATTTTGAAAATATTTTCTATTTAAGCATTTGAATTGTTAGAGTTGAAAATAGCCTAATTATTATACAATATTTTAATGGTTTCCCAAAGCCAAGGGTAAAATATAAAAAGGCAAGTAACAATCCATAAAATCAGGATGAGAGTCCAGGAGACTTTTTTTGTACTTGCTAAAACTTTAAAATCAAAATAACCTTTAAAATATAATTTTTATTTTTTAGTATTGTATCCTGAATCCCAAATTGTATATATTAGAAAAAACATTGTGCATGTTGTTGTCCACATTAAAACAAGGATTTATATATCAAATATTATATATATTTATATTTCACTGAATAAATACTTGTCAAAGTGAAATAAGTTGATTAAACCATGAATATCTGAATTCCTTAAAACCAAAAAACAGTTATGCAGAAATATTTTTGTAATGACAGAGTCTTAAGATATTTATCCGTGGCAACTACATAAATGTATTATTTGTTTGTGATTTTCAAATCAAAGGATACAAAATTTGAAAAAGGGGTAAATGACTGAATAAATTTCATGATTTTTACATCAAATACATCATAAAATATTTCATAACTTCATACTTAAACTGACCATGGGACTATTACACAAATATATCAATCTATTAGTAAGTACTAAACAATGGCATGCAAGTCAATCAAGTATACATAGATGTTGTGTGTGCCAGCATCATCATCAAACATGTGCATCAAAGTTTTAGTGTACTGTGTATTTTTTGGAAAAAAAATATTTTGTTCATACTCACAGTGTAATGTTAATAACAAAAGAAGTAGAATTACTCTTATATCCACTAAATTTCTACCAGCCATAATTAACATTAATTTAAAGTGCACAGGGAAATAATTGTGTAAAATGTGAGTGAACTTTTATAAAAGTCCTCAAGTCCACGACTGTGTGTTCCAAAGTTCATGAGAAGATTAAGCTAACCCCGAATCTACACGTTATTTGTTAATCATCCCTGATAACACGGCTGTCAAACAATGAAATGTTTTGACAGGGCTGTTAATTGTGTTATATAACAAAGCCATAAAACTGATATCAAATTGATCCGATTGGAAACCATTGGGGCAGTGTTCTGGCGGCGTGACCCTTTTATCTCTCGCCCAGACCCTGTATCAAAATTAAAATTTTTTGAGGGGATCAAAATGAAACATTCCCAAGCGTTTATGCATAAAAGAAATTTTCATATCGTCCTTATCATTTATAATCAATATTACAAAATTTAAGTCTGTTGTTTTCTCTAAAATCAGCTTATAATCTCTTTGATGCACATGCATCTTTCTCACATGCAGACGAATTTTGCTTTTAGTTTCGATGCGAGATCTCACGAGAGTTGACGCGATCAAAGATGTCAGCCTCCATGGAATAAGTAAAGAAAACATAATTTCATAATATTTCATCACAAATCTTTATCTGTTTGTGGTTAAAGACGGAAGAATGGATGAAGTGGACAGCAACTGTAGTGACGATGACAGCAGTCAACATTTAGACTCTCACGAAAACAAAACTGATCAAAATAACGAAGCAGCTACCAACTCTCTTGGACATTTATCAAAAAGACAACTTAGAAAATTAAAGAAACATGAGCAATGGCTAGAAAAGAAACCCGAAAAACGGTATGAAATTGTTATGTCATATATTTCCTTAATTTTTATTACTAGCAATACCGTAGACTAGACTAGTCTGCCAAAAATAAAGATTTTGTAAAACATTGGACCATATGGTTAAGATTTTTTCTACCACAATGTTGGAATGACCATGCTTATATACACCTTATTGCTATATGGGAATTTATGACACTTGAAGTTATTGGAAAAGAGTGGCGAAAGATACCAGAGGGACAGTCAAACTCATAGATCGAAAATAAACTGACAACGCCATGGCTAAAAAATAAAAAGACAAACAGACAAATAATAGTACACAAGACACAACATAGAAAACTAAAGACTAAGCAACACGAAACCCCACCAAAAACTGGGGGTGATCTCAGGTGCTCCGGAAGGGTAAGCAGATCCTGCTCCACATGTGAATCTGTGATACTTGAAGTTAGTGGACAATACTGACATTGTACAACAATCTCTAAAAATGGTTTGTGTAGTCTCACATTTTCTGTTAAAGATGTCAGATTTTACAGGAACGTCTGTGAAGTAAAATTATAGTGGACAAATAGTGATAAGGTGTTTCATTACCATCAAGTCTGATAGTTTTGTCAATTTGATTTTTAGTGCTCATGCTTTGTGAAGGGTTTGTTTATCAACGTATATATGTTCTGCCTAACAGAAGTTCCCCTGGAAACTTTGCTATAAACAATGTCATAATATCTGTTCCTGTTGGAACACATGTTCTATACCCTTTATTCCGTAAGGAACAAACACTGTAATATTTGTTCCAATTGAAACAATATTACAGAATATTTCTTCCACTTGGAACTTATATTTTGAAGGAAGTTCTATTCCGTGACAAATAAATATGAATTATATAAAGGGAACGACCATTTAACTTCAAAAGGGGGGGGGGGTGTTATGGTTTTTTCCTAAAAAAATATTCTGATCCCCAATTTGATGAAAAAAAATATTGTGGTCAAGCAGATGACAAAAAAAGTATTCTAAATCCAGATTTTCCCCATACCTTATAGTGTTAAATTTTGAAAAAAATAATTTGATTGATAGCGTCGAAAAACTAAAAAAAAATGTTCACGCTTTGTGTGAAAAAAAATTTCTGACTCACACAAAAAACATAACCTCAGCTTGAAGTTAAATGGTTGCTCCCTAATAAGATCTACAAACCAAATATTTTTTCCTGTAAGAATTTTTGTTTTACCTTGTTCAGAGCCAAAGAAAAAATGAAGAAGAAGCAAAGAAGACAAGAGGCTAGAGATAGAGGAGAAACCCTTGGTCCAACTCGTAAAATGTTAAAGCTGAACAGTATGGAGAAATCTTCATGTAAAGTTAAAGTTGTACTGGATTGTTCATTTGATGAGTATATGAATGATAAGGTAACTAACTATGAGTTTAATTATTGAGTGTGTTATATCATACATGTTTTGTGCCATACATGATATAGGACAATGTAGAAACCAGTTTTCACACAAATAGAAATAAACGTTTTAACAGGCGCCAACCTTCACTCTTATGAAATAGTAGTGTAACATTGCAACATAGAAAGACACACTATAAAATATCAATTGAAATGGCTTAACTCAATCAAAAAGACATGTTAACAAAATCAAGCAAACATACACTGAACGAATAAATTTGATCTATGACACAATGTCAAAAAGACAACTATATAAACCTTGGACAAAATGCATATGGGGATAAATAAAATAACGTACACAGGTAAATTTGAATATAATAATTTTGTTGTTAGGAGTAAGGAGATATTTTTTACAAAATAAATAAATTTGTTGTTCATAGTATGAGAACAGCAGTGAAAATTTATCGTCATACTAAATACTTATCAAAGGTGGTACACATTAAAAACAGTGAGACGAGATATAACACAAAATAAGTAAACATTGAATAACAAAAATGAATTACAAATTGTGTCAACAGGTCAAATTAACACGAAAGTATGATTTGAGAGTACTCGCAGTTACTGAAAGCTAGCTAAAAGCCAAAAACAATAAATAATAAAAAATCGTGCATCAGAGACTGAAATCAACTAAAACACATCCCAGGGATTTAGTGTTTTAACGCCATGGACAGTCAAAGAAGACATGACTTGTGCAATGCCAAAATAAAAGTATCGACAGGCAGTAGGATAGTTTGGATTTAACCTTATAATAAATATGTATAATGTTATATATAGATAAAGCAATCCCTATATAGAAAATGAACGTGGATGTGTATTTATACATCCAAAACCATTCGAAAAGAATACAAATTTAGTTATGTTTTAATTTGTTGATGACAAAATCGATATTTGTGCCAATGTAAACAATATTCAAAGATCTTATTACAACATTTACATGATTAATAAGATTACCTTTACTAATAAGTTTGTTTAAAGGTTCGATGAGTTTACACGGATCACATAGTGATTTCCACGCTTTTAGGTGTAATACCACCATTGATTTTCCCCTATTAGTCTTTGTTAAATTTGCACTTTTCAAAAAATTGTGCAGAATTTATCTTTGTTTCAAATAAAGAAATACTTGGCATGAGTAAAGTTTTATCCTGTCCAGTACTATAGAAAAAAATTCACATAACATTTCATTGCATATAAGAAAATAACCATCACTGGAAGTTAACCAATCAAATTTTCCCCCTTTTTTGACCTGTGTACAAGCTTTAGTAACCATGTAACCTCAAGTTTCCAAAATATTCTATAGAAACCCCAAATAAAAAAATAATGGTGCTTTGAAATACCCAAGATATATGTTTATGATCCAGAAATGTTTTACTGCAATGAAATGTAGGATCAATTACCTACAACTGTCAAATTCAAGGGAATATTTGTTTTCGACCTATTTTCGTATGCAACCGGATGTGACGTACTTTGATTTGGTGGTATTACACCTTTAGTACAATATTACTGTAAAATTTAGGATGTGAAATACCGTTTTTAATAAGTTTTCTACAGGTACAGCCAAATTTACTAATCAAATCTTTGTATCTATGAAAGAATTTAGTAAAAGTTTTAAGTAAGTTATGGTAACGAAATCCCTGACTTAATAATTTACCAGTGATGCATTGATTACGTTCGTTAAAATCTATGACATCACTGCACACACGGGACGGGCATAACGAATGAGTTGGGATATATAAACACCATATGATGGAGCCAAAGGAACATCGATGTCTAAAAAAGGAAAATTAACAATAGGGAATGAAAAATCGTCTCTTTTGTCGTAAATTATAGTATTGAGTTTCCCTTTAGAAATGAAATGTTTGGATTCTGCACTTTGAGAATAACTTCTTCAAACTTTACAAAAACAGTGAGTTCCAGTAACATTTTCTGCTAATTTTGTTTGATTTAAAAAAAAATATTGTCAAAAGGCAGGGTTCTCACTAAGGCGAGTCCATGAGTCCTGGACTCATGAAAATATGTCTGGACTTATCATTTTCAAAACTGGTGAGTCCAAAGATGCTTTTAAATTGTAAAATATTGTATCTACTGAGCACATAGATCATCATTTTATAACAAAAATTTTCAATAATCTAGCTTTGGATGTAATTTTTTTGCTTTATTTTGTGAAATAATGAATTATAAAGCAATGAAATTTCATTTTCTCACTGTTGGACTCACCATTGCCAAAAAGGACAAGTTCCTGGACTCGTTCATCTTCAAAAATCCTTACTGAGAATCCTTGAAAGGAGGGCCCAACATCAAGGACTTACTCAATCTCTCGGGGTATTCTATTGACCTTTTCATTTCTCATTTCAACAAATGCAACCATTCTTATAGAGGTTTTACACCATATGAGGTGATTTTATCATTTCGTTAAAAATTGCAATATTTCTGCAGACTTGCTCGTCTGGCTTACAAAATTTAATCCGGGAATACGTGGTATCTCAGGCGGAAACCCAGTTGAAATAGAACAAAAGAATCGAAGCTCTTTGTTAGAGAAGGCGATAAATGCTTACTGTAGTAACAAAAATTTTAAAAGTTAATAGAAACAAATAAAATGACAGTTTTCAGCTAAATTACGAAGTATTTTATCATTAAAACACCATTTGCATAAGTTTTCAATTTATCTATTATATAGTTAAGCAGAACAAATAGATATCAAGTCGACAACATGGGTGTCTATTCAGTTGGATTTAAAAAAATGCATAACCTCTGATTTAAAAAAAAAAAAAAAACCACGGACGGAGAACATATCAATCTATTTGTTCCTTAATTTTCGTTTCTGCCCTTCCATTATGTGACTCAAGAAATAATTCCAAAAAATGGGTAAGAATTGCATCGAAAAGAGAAAATCGAGTGCACCTTTTTATGTTAGGGCGTGTTTGAGTTGAATATTTTGTCTTGAAAACGTAAAAAGCAAAAGTTTTTGATGCATCATCTCGCTTCAGATTCTATCTTTTTTATATCTCAAGGCTACAGGTTGACTTTATAACATCGAAAATTCACAGTACTAAAAAAAATGAAATATATGGGTCAAGTGAAATAACTTTCTAATGCATCACAGAAACAGAATTGGTGTGTTCGAATAGCAAATTTTTACTAAAAATACTTGATGACAGACTTTTAAGTTGGATCTTAAAAATGCATATCTTCGAAAAAACTTCATTTTTTGTGTGTGATATCTAGGGTTTATAGTCTTCAACCACTGAAAATTTTTAGTCTGCCCTTCCACAAAATATTGAATTAGAATTTTATTAAAGGTTTATGAATTTTGGAAAATTCCACCTGACAACCGATCAGACAATAGTTTTAAGTTGACTGAATGTAGACAAGTACATTAACTGATGCTCATTAGCTAGTAGATACATTTGTCTTTTAAAATACAACTGGCATATATAAAGGATCGTAATGGTGCTATGTGGATAAATTTATCGGTTTTCAAGAGCTATATTGGCAGCGCGTCATCCCTACAATGGCTTCCATTTTTACGATTGTAAAAATGAACTGGCGTAATGGGGAGATAATTTTGACAAAGTAGAATCCTGACTGGTATCTATGATGAGTTTATTTACAACCCCTGGGTCAATGCCACTGCTTGTGGAGGTTTCCTCCCTGAGGATATCATGAGCCCAGTAGCCAGCACTTTTGTGTTGACATGAATTACCATTGATATGGTGACAATAATAAATTAACTGTTTACACAACTTTGAATTTTTTCTAAATACTAAGGATTTTTTACACAAGGAATAGATTACCTTAGCTGTATTTGGAATTTTGGGTCTTCATTGCTTTTCAAGTTTGTTCTTTATTTGACCTTTTTAACTCTCTTGGTTTGAGCATCACTGATGAGGCAATTGTAGAAGAAAGGTGTGTCTGGCGTACACAATTTCAATCCTGGTATCTATGATGAGTTTATAATCTGATTATCCCAACCATAACCAAGATTGAACTATACTTGACCTACCAATACGTTTGGAATTTTGTTGTAAAGGTCCTTTCCTCTAATTTCAGGATATAATGAAACTAACGAAACAAGTAGGATTTTGTTACTCAGCCAACAGGAGAGCAGAAAATCCTCTACAGTTCTATGTTTGTGGTTTACATGGTCACATGCAGCAGAGGTTAGAATCTATAGGGGATTATAAAAACTGGGATGTAAGTAACTTTAGAGAAGTTAATGTTTTAGATCTTTGTTTATCATTTTACTAGAATATCAGTAAAACAATCTCTTCTTTTTAATTAGGCAATTTCAATGAATGAAATTTCACCACTGTGGAGTTTTTTAATTTTTTTTTTTTAATTTGACAATGCTTGCAAACTCTTCTTTAGCTGCCTAATTTTTTATAAAATATGATCTTATGTAAAGTTTTGTAACAAATTCATGCAAAAACTTTATTTAGCCTTGGAAAAACATACCAGCTCATACGTTTTAGTTTACAATCTATATTGTATCCACTATTGATGCAGCTGTTTGGAATTATTTGATACAAAACTTACAAATTGGCTTTTGGTTATTGCCAAATTATAGGTTAATTTCTGGATATGCAATTATTGCCGTTGGTATGTAATTGTGACATACTGGGGTAGTTTCAGAAATTCTCAATATGTAGTGGATGTGTAGCAAACAATATTTAATAGTCATTAGATGTTTCTGTAATAATTTTTTTTAATATCTCCTGTTACTTACTTACTTCACTTGTTCTATTCACCTGTGATAGAAAGCTTTGAAGAGTGTTATTATTTTTGGAGGAATTCTGTCAGCTGTATGTATTTTCAGGCATTTTCGGGTAAAGATTGCATGCATGCATGCAATCAAAACATTGATAGTTATAATTTTACAAACTTTATCACTACTCTTGAGATATATACAAAACATAGTGCATTGATCACAACCTTCTATACATGTACATCCTATCCATGACATTCAAGACATTTATTAATGAAATATATGCTCAGATATGGAAGTTAAAAAATGATGTTTGTGTATAACTATACTTAACTTGTGCAAGGTGCATGAATCTACATGTAGTATCTGTTCTAAATATATCAATGATGTCATGTTAAAGTAAAATTTAAAATTGGAGTTATCTTCCTTTGTTCATTATTGTAGTTGAACCATTATCATACTGCCTTCCAATGCTCAATGCAATGCAATGTTTAATTTACAAGTTCCCATGACCAAAGCTAAATGAAAGCAATCTTTAACCTTCAGTGCTTACTAGCACTTCATTTTTAAATCTATAAAGTTGATAAACATAGGTGTATTTCACTTCATGCCTTGCTCTATTATATTTGGTAGAGTGATAATTTGGTCTATGTAACCTCTGCCTTATCAAAAGCCTGCTTGTCCTTTCTTAATTTGTTGTCAATTGCTTCATCAGCTCTGCCTAAGATGATCTTACAAAAGACTTTTCTGGGTACAGGTAGTAGGGTTATTTATCCCTCTCCAATTGTCACAGATCTGTAGGTCACCTTTCTTTTGTTTTAGTTTTACAATTAATCCTTTCTGCCAGTCTGATTGGATATTCGCCTTTGCCCAGATGTTGCTAACAAGGTTATCTGATGACTTCAGCCCTTTTCAACTGATTTTTATACGACCGCAAAAAAATTTTGTGGTCGTATATTGGTATGACGTTGTCGTCGTCGTCCGGCGTCGTCGTCCGAATACATATTGGTTTTCGCACTCTAACTTTAGTTTAAGTGAATGGATCTTTTTGAAATTTGACCATAAGGTTAAATACCACAAAAGGAAGGTTGGGATTGATTTTGGGGGTTATGGTACCAACAGTTAAGGAATTAGGGGCCAAAAAGGGGCCAAAAATGAGCATTTTCTAGTTTCCAGACAATAACTGTGGAACGGTGTATGGATCTCTCTGAAATTATACTACAAGTTTCCATACCACAAAGGGATGGTTAGGATTTGCTTTGGGGGGTTATGGCTCAAACCGTTTAGGAATTAGGGGCAAAAAAGGGGGAAAAACAAGGTTGTCCTGGTTAATGGACAAATACTTTAGTACAAAACATAATTTAAAGCAGTGTAAGGGAGATAAATCAAATACATCATTGAAATTATCTCCCTTACACTGCTTTTAAATTATGTATAAAGTAATTGTTAATGAACAATAAAGATAATCTAAAACAGTGTAAGGGAGGTAATCCAAATACAATGTTTTGGTTACTTCCCTTACACTGCTTTTAAATTATGTTTAAAGAAATGCATATTTATAAAGGAAGACCAGTAAAAATATCTGCAAATGTTTTCATCTTTTTTTTTTACAAAAAAATCCATATGAAAGATTTGACACTATATTTTTATTAATTCTATTATAAAATAGATTAAGTTAGCACTATGGTAAATTTAAATGGGTAATTATGGTTGCAACTCCATTGGAAATTTGAATTGAGATTATGACCATATCTTCAGGGAAAGAATTTTTTTGGGGAAAAAGGGGGGGGGGGATAAAAAGAAATTGTGGGGGGCCAATTTTTTCTCATTTCAGATTTCAGAAATTAAAAAGAATTATTCTTCAAATATTTTATTTTTTTTTCAAATTTCAAATATTGAAAAATTTCAAGAAGTAATCTTTAATTGCACAGTATGGCGCATTAGATTTGTAAAATCTTTGATCACATTTATTTATTTGTTATGCCGAATCTAACAGTGTTTTTAGATTTTTAATTTTGGGTCCAGTTTTCAAATTGGTCTACATTAATGTCCAAAGGGTCCAAAATTAAACTTTGTTTTATTTTAGCAAAAATTGAATATATGAGGTTCTTTGATATGCTGAATCTAAACATGTATTTAGATTTTTGATTTTTGGCCCAGTTTTCAAGTTGGTCCAAATTGGGGTCCAAAATTAAACTTTGTTTGATTTCAACAAAAATTGAATATATGGGGTTCTTTGATATGCTGAATCTAACCATGTATTTAGATTTTTTATTTGTGGACCCCGTTATCTAATTGGTTCATATTGAGGTCAAAAGGGTCCAAAATTAAACTTTGTTTGATTTCATCTAAAATTGAATTATTGGGGTTCTTTGATATTCCAAATCTAACCGTGTATTTAGGTTTTTAATTTTGGGTCCTGTTTTTTAAATTGGTCTACATTGAGGTCCAAAGGGTCCAAAATTAAACTTAGTTTGATTTTGACAAAAATTGAATTCTTGGGGTTCTTTGATTTGCTGAATCTAAACATGTGTTTAGATTTTTGATTATGGGCCCAGTTTTCAAGTTGGTCCAAGATAGGGTCCAGTATTTAAACTTTGTTTGATTTCAACAAAAATTGAATATATGGGGTTCTTTGATATGCTGAATCTAAACATGTATTTAGATTTTTGATTATGGGCCCAGTTTTCAAGTTGGTCCAAATTGGGGTCCAAAATTAAAGTTTGTTTGATTTCAACAAAAATTGAATATATGAGGTTCTTTGATATGCTGAATCTAACCATGTATTTAGATTTTTTATTTGTAGGCCCCGCTATCAAATTGGTTCATATTGAGGTCAAAAGGGTCCAAAATTAAACTTTGTTTGATTTCATCGAAAATTGAATTATTGGGGTTCTTTGATATGCCAAATCTAACCGTGTTTTTAGATTTTTAATTTGGGTCCCGTTTTTTAAATTGGTCTTCATTGAGGTCCAAAGGGTCCAAAATTAAACTTAGTTTGATTTTAACAAAAATTGAATTCTTGGGGTTCTTTGATATGCTGAATCTAAACATGTGTTTAGATTTTTGATTATGGGCCCAGTTTTCAAGTTGGTCCAAGTTGGGGTCCAAAATTAAACTTTTTTTGATTTCAACAAAAATTTAATATATGGGGTTCTTTGATATGCTGAATCTAACCATGAATTTAGATTTTTTATTTGTGGGCCCTGCTATCAAATTGGTTCATATTGAGGTCAAAAGGGTCCAAAATTAAACTTTGTTTGATTTCATCAAAAATTGAATTATTGGGGTTCTTTGATATTCCAAATCTAACCGTGTATTTAGATTTTTAATTTTAAGTCCCGTTTTTTAAATTGGTCTACATTAAGGTCCAAAGGGTCCAAAATTAAACTTAGTTTGATTTTAGCAAAAATTGAATTCTTGGGGTTCTTTGATATGCTGAATCTAAACATGTGTTTAGATTTTTGATTATGGGCCCAGTTTTCAAGTTTGTCCAAGTTGGGGTCCAAAATTAAACTTTGTTTGATTTTTAACAAAAATTGAATATATGGGGTTCTTTGATATGCTGAATCTAACCATGTATTTTGATTTTGGACATTGGACCATAATAGGTAAATTAAAAAAATTCAAGTTCTTAGACCACATTCTTTCTGTGTCAGAAACCTTTGCTGTGTCAAATATTTAATAACAATCCAAATTCAGAGCTGTATCAAGCTTGAATGTTGTGTCCATACTTGCCCCAACTGTTCAGGGTTTGACCTCTGCGGTCGTATCAAGCTGCGCCCCAGCGAAGCATTTTATTATAGTTAGTTCTTATGTTGTACTGTTACTCCACTATCCCAGATTAGGGGGAGGGTTTGGCCCCAGCAAACATTTTTAACCCCACCACATTCTGTATGTGCCTGTCCAAATTCTGGAGCCTGTAATTCAATTATTATTGTTTGTTGCTGTATAACATATTTGTTTTTCATTTATTGTTTTGTACATAAATCAGGCCGTTAGTTTTCTTGTATTAATTATTTTACATTTGTCATTTTATGGCCATTTATAGTTTATTATGTTGTATGGGTTTTTTGTGGTGATTCATACTTAAGTCTGCGAGAACATGATTTATTTATTAATTGTCATAAGCTTTGAACTAGCTTTCGGTAACTTTATTTCAGTGGTTTGTGTCTATTGTTTTTGTCTAGCCTTGACAGAGTCAAAAAGCGAGACTTGGGTATGCTGTTTCCGTTGGCAGCGATGTCAACAATTTATTAGTTTGTGATTAGGTCAGTTAATGGGGAACCAGTAGTGGTAGGTCAATGATATTTGGTATGCAGTTGTATAAGCATTGGCACATCTCATTTCCATGGAGATTATTTGACCATGCCCCCTCAGTCATGGTCTATTGACTATGAAACTTTTGCTTACTGTACATGTATTAGTTTGTGATTAGGTCAGTTTAAGAAGAACCACTAGTGGTAGGTCAATGATATTTGATATGTAG